TGGTGATGACCTCTGTCTTACTAGGATCCATGGAGACACCTTGATCCGAGACCACAAACCCTAGGAACTCGGTCTGCGAAGTGGAGAACTGGCACTTCTCTGCTTTCGCATACAGGCCCGCTTGGCGGAGGCGTGCCAGGACAGCAGAGACATGTCTTTGATGCTGTTCAAGGGTAGGGGAGTATATCAACAGGTCATCGAGGTAGATGATGAGGGACCTGTCTAACATATCCTTGAATGTGTCATTCATCAGGTGTTGGAAGGAGGCAGGAGCATTGGTGAGGCCGAAGGGCATGACGTTGTACTGAAAGAGGCCATATCGAGTACGGAAGGCTGTCTTCCATTCGTCCCCCTTGGCGATGCGAAGGAGGTTGTTCGCGCCACGCAGATCTATACGGGTGAAGAACCGAGCTTTGCGGAGTCGGTCAAGTAATTCGTCGATGAGGGGTAGTGGGTAACGGTTACGAATGGTGATCCGGTTGAGACCTCGATAGTCTACACAGAGGCGGAGGGAACCATCCTTCTTTTTAACAAAGAGGATAGGGGAAGCTGCTGGCGAGTCGGATGGAGATATGAATCCTTTGGCAAGATTCTCTTCCAGGTACCCCCGGAGAGTCTTAAGCTCATGTTCTGAGAGACTATAGATGGGTCCGAAGGGTGGAGATTTGCCTTCCTCCAGTGGAATCTGATGATCGTATGTGCGATGAGGCGGAAGTTTGTCAGCTTTGACTCTGCTGAACACATCGAGGTACTGGTGGTATTCCGGGGGGATGATATCAGAAAGACCAGCATCGTAAGCGAGAGCCATGGTGGTATCCGAGGATGTTGTGGTGGTGGCGAGTAAGTGCTGTGATTGGATGGGGGAGGGGTAGAGGGTACCCGAGGTGATACAGTCCGACTGGAGGGACTTGTCAAAGGCAATAGCATCGATAACATCGATATCAAGTGATGCAGATGGCAGAGCGGGTGACGGCTGAGATGGAGCCATTGGCGAGGGGGTTAGAGGAGGGCTTCGCATGGTGATGTCGCCGGATTGCCAATCTATATTAGGATTGGCTCCTTTTAACCATGGTAGCCCCAGGATGATGGGACAGGGACCAAGATCAGTGACTTGGAAGGTGATGTCGGATGGGAAGAGCTCTGCAACGAGGCATGGCAGCTGTACTTCCTTGCTGATGATGACTTGGGTTTTGTCGTCTGCAAGCAAGAGGGTCTCGGTGAGCGGCTTCGAGGTCAGAGGCAGGGAGTGGAGAGTGGCGAAGCGCGAGTCTATGAAGTTGGTGGTGGCGCCGGAGTCGATCATGACCTTGTGCACCGGAAAAGAGGGACGTGACAGGAAGCAAAGGGATGTAGATAGATACTGATTACCAGAGGGTTGTGAATCTACAGGAGCGAGTGCTGTCAGTCGGTGCTTAGCGGTTCGGGCTTGTGCTGCTAAGGCGGCTGTTTTTGACAAGCCTGCTATTTTTTTGATTTGATGATAGGACAGTCTGTGACGGTGTGCTCTGAAGAAGCACAGTAGATGCACAAGTTGTTTGCTTGGCGCCGCTTGTATTCGTCCGGGTCCAGCTTCCCAGCTGTGGTAAGGGGGACGCGAAGGGTGGAAGGAGAGGAGGGGTAAACGGCTGTTGGAGCAATGGGAGGGTTGGAGACAGGCATGGGTGTAGGGTTTGCCAACCGGGTGATCGTCCTCCTCTTCTCGGAGATCCGCTCGGCAATACGGTTATCGATCTCAAGGGATCTCTGGATGAGGGTTTCCAGATCGGTTGGTTTGCCAGAGCGACTAAGGTCATCCTTGACGTTCTCCTTGAGTCCTCGATAAAAGAACCAAGCCATGGCGTCTTCACCCCAATTGAGGGTCATTTGCAACTGGCGGAATTGGGTGAGGTAGTTGGCTACAGAGGTGGTCTGGGATAGAGCCTCGATCTCCCGCTTGGCAGTGGCAATATGATCTGGGTCCCCAAAGACCATGCGTAGTTGGTTGATGAATAAAGGGTAGTCCGTGAGCCAGGCGGGAGGGTTGACAGCGCTAAGGTGGGGGTAGAACCACTGGTGCGCAACTCCACGCAGGAGTGTGGATAACCAGAGGATCTGGTCGGAGTCGTTGATGAAGCGCCCTGGGTTGAGTCGCAGAAACACCTCAACCTGAGCTAGAAACGGCTCGAGGTGCCCTCGCTCACCCATGAAAACCTCTGGTTCCTTGGTGCGAAAACCTTGCTGGACAGAAGCATTTTCGCTGGGTGAGGGAGCTGGAGCACTGCGAGCTTCGAGGACTGCGAGTAATGAACGAACCTGGTCCTCCAGGGATTCGATGCGTTCGGAATGGTTAGGAGGGGGCATAGTGACCGATGTTATGGAGGCGAAGAAGATGGTGATGGTGGGGCCTTGTGAGGAGGAAGGGACGTCTGATGACGATTCAGGAGAGAGATGTGTCTTGATCGAGAAGGTAGTGATGTCGATGATAGTGATGGCGACGATGATGCTGATGATGTTAGTGTCGACGGCTCCTAACGGGGAGAATGGCGGAAATGACGATGATGACGATGATGATGTTAGTGTCGAAGACTCCTAACGAGGAGAATGGCGGTACTGATGATGATGACGATGATAGGGTCGATGATGGTAAAGAAGGATGATGGCGACGAAGGCTGGTAGAGAAGGAAAAGAGATACTATCACGAACCGGCCCTACGGTTGGCGATGACGACGAGGGCGAGATCGAGAGGAGAGGCAGAGGAGGCTACCAGACTTCGGAAGGAGTGGATGAGAGAGTTGATTGGGAGAGTGACTTACGATCTCTTTTCCTTAAGGGAAAAGAGAAGAGAAGAAGGAAGGAGCAAACTATGAGATCGAAGGTACAAGACTCAATGCGACGAGTCTAAGACTCTTTTGCAGTGAAAATGACATATCGATGTTAGATCTATTCTAAATATGAGAAGGGTCATGACTGAGTCGTGACAGTAGCTATCTTTGTCTTCCTTCAAGTTGTTGTCTCGGTTTCCTGTGTTCTGGTTGTCCTCTGGGACATCGTTGATTGTCTCTTCCAGCTCCAAAGCCAGTGCTTGTCCTCGCACATCGAAGCGGCCTTGTCTCCTGTTCTTCTTGAATTGCACTTGGGTACTGTCGTTCTGCTTTATGGTAGTCCCAAACTCATCAAAGATTACTCGTGCACCATTCTCGATCAAGCCTTGTATGGACAATAAATTAGAATTGAGCTTCAGCACATAGAGCACATCCAATAGCTGGATGGTAGCCTCGCCAACCTGAAGGGAGGCATCTCCTATGGCTTTTACCTGAAGCTTTTCATCCCCTGCTGTACTGATTTGACCATCCTTGCTTGTCGAGGTGAGCAGCATTCTCTCATCATTTACCATATGATGAGTTGCACCTGAATCAACAATCCAGGTGTTGTATGCTGAGTGCTCCCCCCTGTCGATTGCTAGGAAGGTGCACCCGAGTTCCTAGTGACTCACTTCCTGTGCCACACGAGCAGCAGGTTCACTCGTGTTTGGTGCAGGGTGGTTGTTGGTGTTTGTGCAATTACGAGCGATATGATTGGGTCCCCCACATGCATAGCATCTTGGAGGAGCTGAGGGATTATGCAGATCACACCTGCCCCTGGGCCCCTGCTCCACCTGACTGGTACCCCCTTGCTCTGCGCTTGTAGCAACCCTGGCTGCTCCTCTGATACGACCTGAAATCTCACCATCCTGCTGTTTCTTGGCAAGTGCATGGTAGGCTTCATCATACTTACAGTCTGGTTTGACTGTCTTGAGCGCATCAACAGAGTTAGTGTAGAACCAATCTTGTGCCATGCAACGGTAGAGCATGGATTTCTTTAGGTCCTCATCAAGGCACTTCCCAAAATGTGCAGCATCATTCCAAATGGAGTCAAGTTCCTTGCCTAGCCTGACTACATCGTGATTGTACAGATGCATGGTGTGGATGTGGTCCTGCAGGCCCACTCGCTTCACCACGTCATTCAATGTTAGTGCCTTCCTAAGCTTAGCATAAAGCATGCTTCCAAGTTGGGCCTCCTCATCTGCACCCCTGACAGTGTATGTGTCAATGCGGCTTTCCGGGCTGTGATCACAGCAAGTGTGGATAAGACCTACCAGCGCCTTGTCCAGGTCCTCATCATATCCCTCGCTTCCAGGTGCTATTTCGCCATATAAGATTTCCTTTGCATTATGCACCCGTTGCAGACAGTTGATAAAGGTGGGCTCCCAGGTGTGCCAGTTGTTGTCACTAAGTTTCTTAATGTGTGCAATGGCACTCGAGACATCCTTGGGAATCTTCTCTGCCTCCCCTCTTGGGGCTTGATTGCTAATGCTGACAAGACCCATTGCCTGTACAATTGCCTCCTCTGCTGTCAGCACCGGGTTTGCCAACTGTAGTATCCTGACCACCTGCATAAGCCAACCCTCCTCCCGACCATTGCCTGCAGTCGCAGCTGCTTGATCATCATCTCTCTCCTCCCTTCCTGTCTGTCCTGCTCATGTCGATGGCAGCATTGTACTTATCGTCGGACTATTGATGATGAATGTCGTGGGTTCGAGCCCCACGTTGGGAGCCAGTTAAAGTTTTCGTGTGATTGATGATGATGATGATGGTGTGGAAGAGAGAGCGAGAGAGCGAGGAGAGAGAAGGAGTCTATATATATACAAAAGAAGAGCAGCAGAGAGCCGCATTGACTGCAGAACATAACAAAGCATTTGTCTTGAGTAGGTTGTGACACATGTGGTCCGTGCTCAGATGCTCAGGCCTTTTACTCGGCCGTAAGCACTACCTTCACTGTCTCTACGCTTTGTGTAGCTTTTATATACTTTAACTCAGACGCGGACGCCTTTGCTATGAAATCACGTGATGCAAAAACGTCTTTTCGAGGTGGTTGACATCTCTCTCTCTCTCTCTCTCTCTCTCTCTCTCTCTCTCTCTCTCTCTTCTCTACCACAACATCATCCTCAACCCACGCAGTAATCGAAGAGGGAGCGGTTCACCATGTCATGGTATCAACCTTCCTCCCCACCCGCAGTGGGATATTGGGGTCCGATAACATCAACTCTTCTCTGGTGCGAGTCAAAATATGCATTCTCACCATACATTGCTGAACCTGTCAACACATTTACCAATTTATTCTTCGTATCTCTCTCCCTATACGGCTTTCACACAACCCGGTCTCAGTGCCTTCCACTTCGATATTCGATCTGTCATCTCGGAGTAGCACTTGTGGGCGTTGGATCGGCCTTGTTTCATGGAACACTCAAACATGAGATGCAACTCTTGGATGAACTGCCAATGATCTACACCAGCGCAATCATGACCTATTGTCTAACCGAGACGAGTAAAGGCTATGCAAACCCACGGTTTCCACTCCTACTACCCGCAGCCTTGGTGGCCCTGACAGGCTGGATTACAGCTGTTTATCTATGGAATGGTAATCCACTTTTCCATCAGGTCGCATATGCAGCTATGCAAATACTCTCGACCGCGAGAGTCATCTACCTGCTTCGCTCATCGAAATCACAACTCAATACCACAACCCTGGCTAAGGAGAGAAAAGAAGAGATAACAAACTTGTATATCTTTGGAACCCTAATCTTCCTCCTCGGTTTCGCCGTGTGGAACATCGATAACATCTTCTGCTACAATCTACATCAGGCCAGGAACAAGCTTGGTTATCCTTGGGCACTACTCTTGGAGGGACACGGTTGGTGGCATATTTTAACCGGTTGGGGTGCCTATTGTACCATTACCGCCGGCACTCAATTGGCGGTGGGGGAGAAGGAGCATCCTCGCAATTTTAAACAGGTCGGCCGATGGTTGCCAAGACTTGTGAGGCTCAGGCCCTACACAACCCCGTCTAGGGTGGGCGCGGGAAGGAACAAGGCAAACTAAAACGCTCACAAGTGTAGATTCAGATATAGAGCACAAACAAGGTGAGAAAGAAAGGTGCAAAAACACAATCTGAATTCGAATCAAAGTGAATGTGCGTAGTATGAGGAGAAGAGGAGAAAGGGGAAAGGCGGTTTAGAGACGTCGACGGAGCAAAGCCATTGAACGACGGTGTTTGGGAGTGCCATAAATGTCATGAACAGAATGGCCGCCATTGGATCCAGGCTGACCCTTAGCTTTACTAAGGTCTCCGCCTGGGTTACCCTTGCCTCCAGTAAGACCCGTGTCAGTGGGACCAGCGTCGACGTCAGAATTAGAGCCACCGTAGGCTTCGTGGGTAGGGTCGCTAGAGCCAGCACCGGAGCCGTAGCCACCAGAGCCAGCACCAGAGCCGTAGCCACCAGAGCCAGTGCCAGTGCCAGTGCCGTCGCCACCCGTGCCAGTGCCAGTGCCAGCACCAGAGCCAGAGCCGTCGGCGTCAGAACTAGAGCTGTCGTAGGCTTTGTGGGTAGGGTCGCTAGAGCCAGCACCGGAGCCGTCGCCACCCGAGCCAGCACCAGAGCCGTAGCCACCAGAGCCAGTGCCAGTGCCGTCGCCACCCGAGCCAGCACCAGAGCCATAGCCACCAGAGCCAGCAGAGCCGTAGCCACCAGAGCCAGCACCAGAGCCGTAGCCACCAGAGCCAGCACCAGAGCCGTAGCCACCAGAGCCACCAGAGCCGTAGCCACCCGAGCCAGCAGAGCCGTCGCCACCAGAGCCAGCACCAGAGCCGTAGCCACCAGAACCAGCACCAGAGCCGTCGCCACCCGTGCCAGTGCCAGTGCCAGTGCCGTCGCCACCCGTGCCAGTGCCAGTGCCAGTGCCGTCGCCAGCCGTGCCAGTGCCAGTGCCAGTGCCGTCGCCACCCGTGCCAGTGCCGTCGCCACCCGTGCCAGTGCCAGTGCCAGTGCCGTCGCCAGCCGTGCCAGTGCCAGCACCAGAGCCGTAGCCACCAGAACCAGCACCAGAGCCGTCGCCACCCGTGCCAGTGCCGTCGCCACCCGTGCCAGTGCCAGTGCCAGTGCCGTCGCCACCCGTGCCAGTGCCAGCACCAGAGCCGTAGCCACCAGAACCAGTGCCAGTGCCAGTGCCGTCGCCACCCGTGCCAGTGCCAGCACCAGAGCCGTAGCCACCAGAACCAGCACCAGAGCCGTCGCCACCCCGTGCCAGTGCCGTCGCCACCCGTGCCAGTGCCAGTGCCAGTGCCGTCGCCACCCGTGCCAGTGCCAGTGCCAGTGCCAGTGCCAGCACCAGAGCCATCAGAAGACGACGAGCCCTGACCACCCTTACCCAGATCGCTAAGACGTCCACCCTGGATGCCCACGGGCTTGTTACCCCACTTCTTGAAAACATCAACAAGAGCAGCAACAGCAGGTTTAGCCTTACCCTGAGCATCGAACAGCAAAGGAGCACCGGTCTTACCGTGACCCATGCCATCTGCTTGCTGCTGAGTACCGAACCAAGTGTGCGAGTCCATCAAACCCCAGAATGTAGCACCGAAAGCACCGCCTTCCAAAGCGGCCTGCATCATGGTACCGTATTGCTGAGCCTGCTTTTCGAGGTCCTGCTGGGAAGGAGGAAGGTTGATGGGAATATCGATCTCAGAAAGAACTACGGGAATAGATTCGGAAGTCCAACGTTTGATAGAAGCAAGCATGTCCTCGTACTTGTTGGTCAAACCGATGTGGAATTGAAGACCAACAACATCGACAGGAACACCTTCGGCAAGCCATTGCTTGATCGTCTTGAAAGCAAAGTCGGATTTGGGGTTCTTGATTTCCATACCGTAATCGTTGACGATGAGCTTGTGGTTAGGGCATTCCTTTTTAACGAGCTTGAGCACTTGCTTGTAACCTTCTTCACCGATCACTTCGAAGTAACCGTTCTTCTTGAAACCTTTGCCATCATCGGCGAAAACCTCGTTGAGAACGTCGATACCCCAGAAATTGGCCTCCTTGATGTACTTAGGGCACATCTTGGTGCTGACGAATTCCGTAATGGTTTTCAACATGGCTTCTTTGCTGAATGACTGTTGCATCATCTGTTTGTTCTGTTCAGCACCCCAAACGAGAGTGTGCCACTTCCATTTGATCGTGTCTTTGCCAACAACCTTTTCGACGCCGGTTTGAACCTCGTGCCAAGAGTTTTCGCTCTCGTAGATGAACTGCATCTTGAGCGAGTTGGCCGGTGTCACGTAGGGGAAGTACTTGGTGAGAGGGGCGACAAGGGGATCCTTGAGATCACCGTTGTCGACCGAGGACCCAATGAAGAAATCGTGAGGGACAACTTTGGCAAGTTCAGCACCAGTCATGCCAGAGGCATCAGTAGCCCAGTGCATCTGACCACCTTTGGAAGTAGCCGTAGTGTCTGGAGCACCGCCAGTAGAGGCAGGGTGGGTGAGCGGGTCCATGCCTCCATTGCCATAGCCTCCGGCGGATCCACCACCAGATCCACCACCAGATCCACCACCAGGAGCGGCGGGGTGGATGAGAGGATCGGCACCACCAGCGCCAAAGCCACCAGGCTTGCCGCCGGGTTGACCACCGTCACGTCGAGAAAGACGGTCCGGCGGTCGGATGTTGCTGGAAGAACTATCCACGTCACCGCCAGCGGTGAGCATGAGTATGAGGGCAAGCTTTGAGCTCAACATTTTGTGAGAAGAATAAGGCGAGAGGAGAGGAAGGAAGGTTAGGATGAAAGAAGAAGAAAGGCAAGACCTCAGGTACTGTCTTGGAATGAGGAAACGAGGAGGAATGAGGAACAATAGGGGGGAGGTCTACGGCCTGGAGGAGGTATCTTTATATCTTGCATCACTGAGGGGCCTCATCGGCAAGGAGGAGCACCTCATAACGAAAGTCGCCACAGCTAGAGGCGGGATTCATGTTACTGTAGGCACTGAGGGCAAAGCTTGTTGAGTGGCGTATCAACGTAAAGCAACAGTGATAGGGCGATGTGTTCGGGTGCAACGTTTCATCAGGTGGGCGTTGTCCCACCGTCACTTTGATGCGACAGCCACACTAGGGCTGATCCCACTTGAAGAATGGAAGCGAGTGTCGGTTGCAGGGTGAGACTATGGCGTCGTGGTACAACTTGGTCAGGGGCACGGATCGTCATTATCGAAAGGTCCATATCGGTACAACGTCAAGGAGGTTGCGAATGAGACCGGGCTGCAACCGAATGGTGGCAGCATTGTTTTGTGCTGTCAGGAAATGAAATGTGAGGAGGTACGAGGATGCTTCCCGCCAACAAGCGGCTGACTGCGGCTCGAGGAGGCCATCGTATGCATGGTGGGCTGTTGAGCAAAGTGCACAGATGAGAGGAGGACAGACAATGGTGGTGTCAAAGACGAGATGAAGGACACCGTGCACGGAATCTGTCTCAATGATACCGTGTCAGCACAGCTATTTAGGGGCCATCTTCTGAAGTGCTCGTCCCTTATTGTTTTGATGATATCGTGCGGGATTGGTTGGCAGATGAGCATTCGCGAGCGTAAAGGGTGAACGGATGGTGTCAGTCAGTCCGACAGGCGATACGACAAGAGAGTGATTGGCGTCGCCACACGTCGAAAGTGCTTCGAGGATCACTCTATTTTCCAACCTTGATGCGATTGCAGACAAGACATCCATCCAAACAGCCGCCGTATCACGCAAAGCGGCTTTCTCTCTCCCACAGTCCACTTGCACGATCAAGAGAAAGTATAGCTCCGTCTCAACTCAGCTGCCTATCACATCCAACGGTTCGATCAAGGCATCGAGAAGACAGCAAAGCGTTGAGCTTACAGTACTGTACAGTCGACTGCTATCAGCAAGCCTGCATGTGTGCTGCTTCATGAGATTTGTCGTCGCTTGACAGAGCGATTTAGTTATACAATGCATCGAACAACGAAGGCGCACCGAACGACGAACGATTTTGGTCCACCAGACGATTGATTGCAGGCATTGAGAAGAAGGAGCTCATTGTTGTCCAACTCGCTTAGGACAATGCGCATACGAGCCCGAGGATGGCCTCGAAACTGAACAGCTATCACCCAACTGCTTCCACTAGGCGCGTCGCTCCTGTAACAACATGCTATGGTTGTCATGGTGATTGGTAGTGAATTGCTGTCAATTATTCTTCCCACGCATCTGGTGTCCTGTGTCCCTGTTGGGATTTGATACATTGCCGTCAATAGTATCATTCTATCCGAGGATCTGGGACTTTAGGGTGGTGCCGCATTGGTTAACTGCATTGTATCATGCTGACATTGTATGTAATGTCTGGGATCGAGAGTTGGCTATGGTGTCTGTGCATGTGGCTGGCATTTTGTGTGGTGTTGCACCAATATTCATAACCTTGACACTCTTAGAACGTAACATGACCACAACCAACTGAAACTCGGTATATCAAAGCTGAGCTGGACTGAATGCGCACACGTCATCAAAGCTCAGCTTGGATTCATCAACATCACCATAACCGCCACCACAACACGGTTTCTTTTGCCGCAGTCTTACGTCTACACAATATCGGCTAGCATTTAGCATGCATGGGCTTCACCCTTCCATCATGTCGTCTTTACCATCCTCGCATCCGCCAAGCTCCAGCAGCAGCAAAGCACAGTTGTCTGAGCTCGAAATCCAGATCGACAACTTACTTCCGCCATCTCTTGATGGCAACCAGAACGTCTCAACATCATCACCTCTTGCTCTCGATGTCTCTGCACTCTTGCAGGATGGACTCACTAGCCGTTTCGAACGTACCAAATGGCCTCTGGATCGCATCCACAAGTTTCTCGATTCTTTTTTCAAATCCCACCCTTATTTGCATCATCGCCACCCGCAGTCGGAGCAGGTTGCGGCTCCTACCACACCTGTCAAGCCCACTTCAGCGCTACCGCAACAAGCTCTCAACAATACCCCTCGCACTTCCAAGGCAACAGGTCATCTAGCTCAGCTCGGACGTGTTGATGGTTGGAATTCTCTCACCTCCAAGCACGAATCCGTTTGCAAGACGTATGGTGTTGACGGCTTTTGCGATGATGACGGCCTCTCAGCCCTGTCCAAGCGCCTTATCCAACACAAGCCTCAGCTTTGCGCAATCATACCAGAGCTCAACAACGTATTCAGCGTAAATATCGACGTGGTGTACAAGCGAAGAGCGACGAAACGGATAGCAATTGCGATGATGTTGAGAGCAACTAAGTACAAAGCAATGAGAAGCATATATATCTCTCTCCCGATGACCAGTGTGTGCGTGTGTGGAATGAAGTGAGCAAGAGCTCAATAGGAACAGGAGGGTGTTGACGTGGATCTCAGCAACTGTGGTGGGTGACGATGAGTAACGACGGTGAGCGAGGTTGGCGGAAATGTTAGAGCGAAGAGGAGAGGTCATGTGACTTGGCTCACACCTCTCCCATTTGGGCCCTTGCGTCCTTGGCTCGCCTTTCCATCCTACCACCACCACCATCACCATCCCATATCCAGCCAGCCTAAAGCGTAGTTGCCAGCGAGGCATCAGTTCAGCTCGACTTGGATCTCACCCTCGACATCACGCTCCACCTCCTTTAGACAAGCATTTCACGCCTGTCTCTCGCTCTGGCAAGCATCTCAAGCAAGGAGCAGCGTATTGGATTGTATCGACAGCGCCATCGGCACACACATCATCAGCATCTTTCCAGCCACATATACAATGTTCCGTGTTCGATGACCCTCAAAGCTGTCTCGATAGGCAGCGATACACTCTCGCATCCACTTTCTCCCTGCATTAGACAGCATCCATCGATTCATTGGTATCTACGCCAACATGTCTGGCAGCATTGCAAGTAGTCCGCGCGCTGCCGCAGCCCGCACGAAACTCAAGTCGATGGCTCGATGGTGCGGCAAGCACCTCAACTTCTTCCGAGTCCACGTTCTCGTCTTCACCTTCACACCCCTCATCGCTGCCGCTATCTTCTACGCTTGCAATGGCGAGACCCACGTCAACTTCATCGACTGCCTCTTTGTCTGCGTCTCTGCTATGACCGTCACCGGTCTCGTCACAATCAACATCAGTACTACCAATGGTGGTCAGCAGGCCATCCTCTTCTTCCTCATGTGCATTGGCAACATCTCGGCCGTCAGTATCACCATGATCTGGATTCGTAGAAGCTTCTTCCGTAACAAGTTCGACAACGTCGTTCGTCGAAGCGCCAAGGTGCGTAAGCGTATGCACGATGTAGAGGAACAGCAACGTAGAGAGCGAAGGCACAACATTGCCAAGATCCAGCGAATGGTCGGTCTCAAGTCTTCCGACAGTGCCACTACAATCAGTGATACTGAGGACCCGGATCGCACAGATAGCAGCTCCAGTGGCCACCAGATCGAGCTTCGTCGTATCACTGAAAAGAACAAACAAAAGAATAGGCGCAAACGCAAACCCATCCGTGCCGACATGATCCGTCGTATTGATGGTCCTGCTTTCCTCATCAACTCGGCTGGTGATCCTTCCAATACAGTGCCAGAGCCTGCTTCGCTTCTGCAGCTTGGCGAGCGACCTTCACCCATCACGCGCGGGCCAGAGCAGATCACCTCAGCTCAGCCTAGTGGAGGTGGCATCCTTACATCCGATCGAGATAGACAGGCCTCCATAACATCTGGCCATCAACAACAGCAACAGCAGCAGCCTAGCATTCGCATTTCGCTTCCTCGTGACGCTGTGAACGCTACCGACAGTGCCAGCACCAAAGACGAGGGCGCAAATCGAGTCGACTCGCCTCCACGCCGTAGACTTTCCATTCCACGATTCAGCGGACGTCATGATCCTGATGCCGACTCGGATGAAGGGCCAAGTCGACAAGAGACGCCACGCTCACCACTCCTCCGTGCACGTTTCCCGGACGACCAGGTCGCCGGACGTACAAGACGAGGTTCCGATCCAGCCAACTCACGTCTCCGTCGTGGCTCCGACACCGGTCTCATGCATACATACGCCAGGCACGAGAAGCCTGATATGTTTCCACGTGCTCAGACCGTCGAGTTTGCGGTGCCGAGTGATTACCGTACATCTATCGACCCGCAGTATCGCGAATCGGGCTATACAACCGGGCAGAACTTGAACAACAGCAGTGGCCTACGGCAAAGGACCACCACTTTCAACCGCACTGTCACAGGTCGATCCTACCTTTCTGGACGTCTTAGCAACGGCAGATCAGGAGTTCCGCTTGCCCGTACTCAGACCTCATCCAAGCAGCGCGGTCTTGGTGGTTTCCCGACTCCGTTCGAGATTGCTGGCATGGCTATCAAGAGAGTCGTGCCTGGTGTGCAAGAACGATTGCAGAGAACCATGACGATGCCTCGAACTGCCACCTTCACTTCGATTCGCTCGGGTGGCGGTCTTACAGAAAGTGGCGCCAAACCAGCACCCTATCTTACCTTTGACGCTACCGTTACGGGTAACTCGCGCTTCCATGCGCTCACAGAGGCACAGAGGGACGAGCTGGGAGGTGTCGAGTACCGTGCGCTCGACCTGCTTGCCAAGTTGGTACCTGCGTATTGGCTCTTTGTCAACTTGTTCATGATCACCATGGTCGCTCCTTACATTAACAGCAGAGCTTTCGCAAAGTATCAAACAGTCTTCGAGGCGCAAGAAGCCGATAGGCCCAACTACACCTGGTTCTGGTTCTTCCAAGTCATTTCGGCTTACTCGAACACAGGCATGTCGTTGATTGATACAAGTATGACTCAGTTGCAAGATGCGTACTTCCTGCTCATCCCCATGGGCTTTTTGATTTTGGCTGGAAACACTGCTTTCCCTATCCTGTTGCGATTCTTCATCTGGGTTATATCACTCTGTGTCCCTTCAGGTTCGAGGATTTACGAGACGCTTAGGTTCTTGCTCGACCATCCACGTCGATGCTTTGTCTACTTGTTTCCTTCGAGTCAGACGTGGTTTTTGTTCTTTGTGTTGCTGCTGTTTAACTCGATTGATTGGCTGGCGTTTTTGATTCTGGATATTGGCAATCCGGTTATTGAATCCATTACGCTCAGCATTCGAGTCTTTGACGGTCTCTTTCAGTCGATCGCAGTACGAGCTGCAGGATTCACGGTAGTCAGCTTGTTGGTGCTTGCACCCTCTGTTCAGTTCCTTTACGTGATCATGATGTATCTCTCCGCCTTCCCACTTGCACTTTCCGTTCGAAGCACCAACGTTTACGAAGAGAAATCGCTCGGAGTCTACGTCGATGAAGGACCAGTGGAAGCTGGTGCACCACCTGAAGAATCCAACAATGCCAAAGTATGGGGTTCCTTCCTTGCCTCTCATGCCCGTCGACAGTTGGCGTTCGATATCTGGTGGTTAGGCTTTGCGCTTTGGCTTATTTGCATTATCGAGCGTAACGATATTCAGGATCCCAACTCGAACGGATGGTTTACTATCTTTAGCTGTTTGTTCGAGCTGACCTCGGCATATGGTACGGTTGGCTTGAGTTTGGGTACGCCTTTTGATAATTTTAGTCTGTCGGGCAGGTTTCATACGTTGTCCAAGTTGGTGGTTTGTGCGGTGATGATTAGGGGTAGACATAGAGGATTGCCTGTTGCGATTGATAGAGCTATTCTTTTACCGAGTGAATTGGAGGCGGAGGATATGTTGGATGATGATCTATCGCATATGGGTGATACGTGGGAGAGGAATGGTGCGTATCTGGCGGAACCTACGATTGCGCCTAGACCGTCGATGAATTCTGTGGGTAGGGAGAGGAGTGGTAGTAATGCAAGTGGTGGTGCAGGTGGAGCAGCAGGCGATGATCCGGATATGTCGAGTGTTAAACGCTCTGCGTCTGGAGTTTCGTTTGCGATCAACCCGCAGACTAAGATGAGGAGGAGCAGTATACCTCCCACAGCTATGGAGTCATTGTCGCCTAAGCAGTTGGCAGAAGCTGCTGCGGGGGGTGAGTCAAGGAGGAGCTTTACACTCACCCTTCCGCCAAGCAGTTTGCCTCTGCATCATGGTGGGGCAGCACACGTTGCACCGAGTACAGGAGTGTTGGGGCCTATGATGGCCTCATCGCCGGGACATTTGACTGCGATAGACGAGATGCCTAGTGGATTTGGAGCTACGCCGTTGAGCGAGAGTAGAGCCGAGTCGCCAGCAGGGCAGGGAGATCAGCCGCCTAGTTTTCATACCAACGCAAGCAGCGGCAGTCCGAACCCAAGTAGTGATGGAAGCGTGAAGGGGAAGGAGAAGGCAGCGGTGGAGGAAGCGGAGGAGAAACAGAAGAAGGAGAGCGAGATGGCTCAGCGTGCTGGATGCTCTACTCCTAGTGGCAGGCATGATCCTCTCACTCTTGAGCCGTAGCGCCACTTGTTCTCGAAACTGATCTCATGTTGTTCACGTTTTGTTGTTTACGATATCTCATGTCTTATGGGAACGGAAATCCTACGATATCTCTCGCCCATAAGCTGTGACTGTGCCGAAAGCTGATTCGATGAATGTGTGTGTGTGTGTGGTATACAAGTACGAGATGCCGAAACGTTGTACGATCGAGCCAGAACAAGGCGTGTAGAGGGGAGGTTCATGCTTCGCTCTTAACCTTCTTCTTTTCCTTCTTACCTTTCTTCTCCTTCTTCTCCTTCTTCTCCTTCTTCTCCTTTTTACTCTTCTTTCTCGGCGATTCTTCCTCGGCATCATGCACGGGATCCTCGGTCGTCAAACTATCATCAAGATTTGGTGTTTCGGCATGACTCAATTCGTCCGCCTTGGAAAAAGAATCCCTTCCTTCTCCATCTCCTCCAGGCGCACCTCTCTTCTGACTCGGATCGAGTACCTCTCTTGGCGTTTCTAGTTGGTCAACTTGTTCTTGGTCGATATCAAGAGCATCTGCTGCAGTGGTAGAAGTGGTGGGGAAGAGGTTTGCAAAGATATCATGGTCTATTTTGCCCGCCAAACCGTTCATTAATCGGGTTAATTGAGCAGCGACCACTCCGCCAGTTGAAGCAGAGGAGGATGAGGAAGAAGGATCGTCCGACGAGGAAGCGGCATTTTGAGTCCCTGTACGAGCAGCATAGGCGGATAGGAAATGGGAGATGGATTCTGATACGCATTCGTGCGACCTAGATACTGGGCAATGCGTGAGGTCTAGTCTTAGGGGGAGGGGTAGTGCTGGTTCCATGATGATCTTTCTTCACCGAGAGTGTTTCGAATTCGACTTGCGCTAAGCTTTCACCAGAGTTTCTCTGGTAGGAGGAGGAAGGGAAGGTGCTTGTATGTGCAGAGATAGCTGTGTGAGGTATTGTAGCAGGGGATAGAGGTAGCATACAATGTGAGAAAGGAGGTCGAGAATCCTTGATGCAGAATATGAGCGACTTGCGGAAAGTTGAAAAAGAAAAACTTGGATTGGTAAGCATGACCAAGCAAAGATTGGTAAGCATGACCAAGCAAAGATTGGTAAGCATGACCAAGCAAAGATTGGTAAGCATGACCAAGCAAAGATTGGTCGCTGGAAGAAAAGCCTCTCTCGTCCTCTGGCTTTTGGCTTAGCAACCACCCTTTCATCTTGCCCATCGTCTTTCACTCTTCTCTACCAACTCGACAGCAAGCTACGCTCTGAACCGGCTCCATTCGTCCCAACATCGGCCTGCTTTTCAACCGAGACCTTTGCCTCCGCTCAGACACGGAATGACCAAACGCTGAACAAGTCCCAACCACACACACCCACCCACACACGCGCACACGTTGCATTCGAGAACAGAGCATTATAATAGCTCAGAAGTATGGAGGCAATCCAAGCAGCAGCAGAAGGCACCGCAGATGCAGCCAGTGATGCGGCAGGTCAGCTTTCTGATCTGAGTCTGCTTATGGGCGGTACAGAAGCAGGATCAGGGATGTTATTAGGATCATTATCTTCCTATACAGCAGCGTTAGGGTTAGACGAAGCGTTGAAGAATGATCCACGAGCACTTTGGTCTAGCTTCGCGATGATTATTGTAAGGACTTTGCTCCCCACCCACTGACATTTGGGAGGTAGAGAGTTGCTCTTGACACCTTTCTCTTCCCTCTTTCTCTTCCCTCTTTCTCTTCCCTCTTTCTCGCTGTTTTCATCCCTTCTGCCTTGATCGCCTCAGGTCTCAGAAATAGGCGACAAAACATTCCTCATAGCCGCAATCCTCGCCATGCGACAATCTCGTCTCGTCGTATTCTCGGGAGCATTCGCCTCTCTGGCTGTCATGTCCCTTCTCTCCGCCCTTCTAGGCGTAATGTTCCCCTCCCTCCTCCCCAAATCACTAACCAACCTCATGGCTGCAGCACTGTTCCTGCTCTTCGGTCTCAAAATGGTTCGCGATGGCCTACAAATGTCCGGCGATGAAATCAAAGAAGAATGGAAAGAAGCCGAACGAGAAATCGCACAAGAAGACACTCACGAACTCGATTCTCTTGAACATGGTCATCCTACTCCCTCCCATCCTCTCCCACCCTCTTCCAAGAAGCGATCGATGGCAAGTAGAATTCGAGAAGGATCGAAAAACCTTTGCGGTTTATGTTTTAGCCCCCTCTTCGCACAAGCATTTATCCTAACTTTCTTGGGAGAGTGGGGAGATAGGAGTCAGATCGCAACAATAGCATTAGCAGCAGCACATAATGTAACATTGGTATGTGTTGGGACGATCGTCGGACACGCTTGCTGTACGAGTATGGCAGTCATCTGTGGAAGTTGGTTGGCCAAGAGGATAAGTGTTAAGCACGTTACGCTCGGTGGAGCAATGCTGTTTTTAGTTTTTGCCCTGGTTTATGCTTGGGAGGCCTATGCGGAGGAGGATGGCGGCATGGGCGAAGAGAGGTTGGTGCAGATTGCCAAAGCTGCCGTTGGCGCTCGAGGTGCTGCGGTGTGAGCTTTGGCGGGACATACTGCTCGGTCTGAAGGTGGTGGAGATAAGAGCCACTCGTTAGCATTCTCACAAGCTCAGCATAGCTAGTGCTGTCTGCATACATTCTTTACTGCATCTTTGTGTCGAATCGCATTGCATACTGTTTGCATCAAGCCGAATCCTTCGTGAGCTGCGTCCAAGGGAGCATAGAAGATACGTTTGTGTCACTGGCGGCTTAAGTTGCATGCCAGCGTGGAGGCCATGCCGTATCGGCTCACTGCTGATCTTCATTGCTGGCTTCCGAACCTGTTCGGATGTCCAAGCTGGTGGATGAGCATTGCCCCGTTCATCAACGGAACTTGACATTACTTTGCCAGATGGCAAATTAACTAGCAACCTCATCCAACATTGTCGTCATGCCAAGAATCGAGATTTGCAAGATGATACAAAGGAAGAATGGAAACTTGCACCAAAACCCCCATGAGAGGCTGCTGGGCTGGGAGACACTGCAACTTGATCAACTGTTTGCTGGTCAAATGCTACAACATTGCTCACAATCTGCGCTGTTTGCACAAACGTGGGTGGCCAACAGTGCTTCTTATACAACCAGAAGCATATACATCAAAGACCTGCTCTCAGTGTGGCAAAGACAACCAAAGACTAGGTGCTAGTAAATGTTTCTGATGCCCAACCTGCTTCTACTTGGCCAATTGTGTCCACAATGGTGCTTTCAATATGCTTATCAAGGCTATCTGTAGGACTTCTTTATCTTTGATGTAGCATTGCATAGCATGATTATGGGGCCCTGGGCATGGGGTCCTGCCCCCCTCTGGGAGTTAAGCAGAGGGCAGACATATTTGATGTGTTTCATCTGAATCTCTGCGAAAATGCTGTGGAGGTGTGAAAGACAAGGATTGCAGTTGAAGATTGGAGTGTAAGAGTTTACTTTGTTGGAGCTAGGATCAAGCTTGCTTTGTACAGGTGTATGCTAACTGCAATGCTTACTTATTTCAATGGGTTGAAGCTACAAACATGAGCATATATATATATATATATATATATGCATTGAGCTTGTCTTCTGAGGATGCTATGGATGAGTCAAGTGTTACTCCTGCAGAGCTTCTAAACTGTTGCTATGTCATCCTTCATGTGTTTTGCATGTCTGAGTCAGCTTGTGAGTAAGCAGCTTGTGCTTTCACAAGCTTTGGCAATTGGATAAAGTCTGGACAATTTCCGAGGTATCTTCATCTATTCCTCACACCGCTCCCTATCTCGCTTGCATCCAAGACCATTGACCACCATCCTGCATCACATCAACACCTCTCGTCGCAACCATGTCGAAAAAGTACGATCTGATCGTCTTTGGTGCTACAGGATACACGGGTCAGTTGGTATGCCGATATCTTGTTTCCCACCCCGAATCCCATTCTTGGGCTGTAGCTGGTCGTTCTGCTTCTCGTCTTGCCTCTCTCAAGAACAACCTTTCTCTCCCTTGTTCCGTGCGGGTGATTGAAGCTGAGACTTGCAACTATGCTTCTCTCACTTCTATGAGCTCGCAAGGTCGAGTGCTGATTAACATGGTTGGACCTTACCGACCTTTCAAAGGGGATCAGGTGGTTGGAGCTTGTGTCGAGACTGGAACGCACTATGTCGACCTTTCCGGCGAGACGGGCTTTAACAGCGATATTATCCAGCAGTTCCACCTAGCAGCGCAGGCAAAGGCAGTCGTGATTTGCAACAGTGTTGGCTTCGATTCGCTTCCGTTCGATCTTAGCACCTACCTTGCAGTGCAGAAGGCGAAGCAGTTGACGGGTGGAAAGAGCCATGTGAAGCTAGCCGAGTGCGCTTATGACTTGCCAGAATCTCTCTCTGCCGGCACGTTGAGTAGTGCAATTAGTATGGCAAGCGAAAAGGAACAGATGTATGCTACTCGAGGCGATTGGCTTTCTCCCATTGCTAAATCGGCTAGTTTGCAGTTCAACACAGTGCGATGGTTCCCTCAACGTCAAAGCTGGGGTTCCCAGAACACGTTTTCCTTGCACAACACACGTATGGTCAACCGCACCTGGGGTCTGCTCCAGCACCATCACTCCCCTCAAGCTTACGGTCAAGCTTTCGTATATAAAGAGGGAAACATTGTCCCCAACAAACTCCTCGGTGTTTTGCTCGCTTACATCGGTGCTGTTTCCATCTGGGTTCTCATGAACTTCGCAGTCGTTCGTACACTGGTGGCCAAGACTATGCCGCCTAACTCGGGTCCGTCGGAGAAGAGTCTGGTCAACTCCAAGTTGAGGGTCGAGACTGTTGCGACTGCTAACGATGGGACCAAGGCGATTTGTAGGATCAAGGCAAACGGCCATGCGGGCTACTTGTTGACCGCTAGGATGATTGTGGAGACTGCATTGACCATCATTGATGACAAGAGCAACAAGACCAATCCTTTCGAGAAGGCTCAGGTGGAGGGTGGAGCGTTGACACCTGCCTTGGTCGGGGCTGAGAGGTTGGCGGAGAGGTTGGTCAAGTACAGTCAGTTTGAGATCACGACCGAGCCTTTCGAGGATGGTCAGGTCAACAAGTCCAAGTGAAGCACGAGTCAGGGCTGAAATCGCTTGACCTGTGTTCCAATGTGATTCTGCTCTTCCTCCAACCCTACTCCCTCCACACTCCAAGGCCCGCCCATACTGTAGCTTTCCATGCGCTAGGTGTCATATGCTTTCTCCGTCTTTCCTGGAAGGTGTTGCGAGTGAAAAAAAAAAAAAAAAAAAAAAAAAAATGAAAAAAAAAAAGATGCGAGCTGCTTGCTTTGAGACGATGAGAGAATACACGTACACTAGACTCGAAAACCAGAAACGAATACAAGACCCGTCACAATAGTATTAAGCCAATCAATGCCAAGGCTTCGGTGAATGTCAGCTTTCATCAACTTCAGAGCACAACTTCGACCTCCATGTTGTACTTTTCAGCAGCGCGGTACTCCTTGAGCCTCTTGGTGCGCTCCGAATCATCCGAGTGGATTGGAGATGAGCCGATATCCTTTCTCCATCTCTCCTCGTCATCAGAGATGGCACGCTTCTTCCTCTTCTTAGAAGTCGACTTTGCCTTGGTGTTTCTCTTGACCGTCCTGCTTCGGGGTGCTTCATCTGAATCGTCATGAATCACGACGCTGTCTTCTAGAGTTGATCCCTTTCTCTTCCGACCGTTGCCCTTGCTATCAGCCTTTGCTTTTGAAGAAGCTGAAGCCTTTGTCAAAGACTTGGCAGACTTGCTTGTGTGCGTGCCCTTCCGCTTGTTGACGGAAGCTGGAGACTTGCTTTCGATAACGTGGCGCTTACGAGAAGGCAGCAGACCGAGGATGTCGTCCATGCCGAGTTTCTTTGCCGCAGGAGAAGCTGCTGCCTTCTTGCTCGTCCTGGTAGTGCGCGGCGACGATGGAGCTGACGAGGGGGCCGGCGACCAAGAGTCTTGTGCTGCAAGCTTGTTGAGAATGTCTTGCTCCTTCTTCTCGTTCCTCTTTAACGGAATACCAGAGGTTGCCTTTTTCGCTTTGGCTGCCCTTTCGCTGCGCATGCGGGTGGAAGGAGGGGCAGTCGACATGGGCGAGTGCTCATCATCTGTGTCTGCAGTGGTAGCAGCTATTCTGTGTGGCTTCGTGCGTGATCGAATTACGCGACGCTCCGATTTGTCGGCTTCATCAACTTTCTGCTGTTCCTCAGAGCGAGTGAGACTCCCCGCGACTTGTGCTTCCCCCTCGGTGTCTGTTTCGGTTTCTTCCTGCGGTGCTGCATGGAGCTTGTGCTTTCCGAGAGGCACGGCGTCATCAAGGGGCGCCGTCGAAGACGATCGATCCTGACGAGGCGGAGGAGACGACATGTGTGCAAAAGCTTTCTCGGCCAAGCGTCGATCGTCGCTCGTGCTGAAAGGATCGGTTGGAAGCTCAAGGTCAAGGTCGCTATCATCCTGCTCTGATCCTGCTTGGCTTTTCTCGTCAAAGGGGAGCTGCGTGCTGCGCTGCCTCGCGTGGGGCATCGCTGTGAGGAAGCCAAACAGCTCGTCATCATCATCAGCACTCCTCTCAAATTGCTGAGCACCTGCATCAAAGGTAGCGCTTTTGTGCTCGTCAGGCCAAGAATCGGCGTTGCTGATATCGTCGCTGTCATCTCCTTTGCCGCTGTCATCTCCTTTGCCGCTGTCATCTCCTTTGCCGCTGTCATCTTCTTTGCGAGCGCGACTTTCACCTCGATGGTGTCCTGCGGCCTTCCACTCCACGACTTTGGACACACCTCGGTCTTGGTAGTCATGCAGCTGCTGAACGGATGTTATCAACGGCGCAGCTCGACGCCCCACTCCGGGCGAAGGAATTTCGCTGGATCGGTCGGAATCAGCCGCAAACAGGTCGTCAAGGTTCGGCCCCGCGCTTTGCGCGTGAACATCATCTTGATCGTCACGATCGCAAAGTGCTTTGCGCTTCTGCGAGATGGGTGTCGAATGCGTCGGCTGTTCGTTCTCCACCGCGCGCAGAACTCGAGTACGAGTGCGTGTAGACTGTATGTTGCCGACTGCTGCTGCTCGCCTAGCTGCTGGCAGAGGCACGTTCTCTTTGTCCGAGGAGCCATGCGAGACTGTTCCAGCAACATCAGAGTCTTGGCTCTTCGAGCTTGGGCCTTGTTTGCGCCTGCCTTTCTTTGTCGTGGCTGCGACAACGAGAGGCTTAGTCTGCGGTACGGTGTCGACATCAAAGTATTCGAGATCATCGCTGTCGAGTCTTGGAGAGAGACGGGTGAGCTCATCTTGCGATGAAAGGCGCTTTTCAGCATGCTGAGCTGCAGCCTCGATCTGAGCAGAGAGAGCATCTGCGCGAGACGATACAATGCCGCTTGGAGGAGAGGGGATTTCGATGTAAGCAAAATCTTGGGTCGGATATCTTTTGGCTCGGCTGGTTGTTCTGGACGACGTGTGGACTGGCTTTGAAGGCCGAGCTGGTTTAGATGCCGTCTGCCGAGCAGCTTGCTCAGGTCTTGAATGCTGCTCTTTGCGCTTTAAGGCTGTGGACGACTGTATGCGAGACTGCTTCTCGAACTTTTTCGACGACAAGGTGCTCTGCGTTGCGAGAGGAGCGTTTCGATCAGCAAAGGGCATCCTTGGCGAGTCGCTTGTCTGAGGTGGTGCCTTGCGATCGACGAGGATGTTGCTGATGTCGCCCAGCGCGCGTCTGGTCTCGAGAAGGTTCTCGTCTGATTGCATAGGAAGGGTAGCTTTAGAGCGCGTGCTTCTACCTGTGCCCTTTGAGCCAAGGCTCGACATGAGGGCTGAATGCTGGCCTGGCGTGAGCAGGCTCGTCGAGAGGCAAAGTAGAATCTTGATCTTGCGGTCTTACGGTGCCGTGTTCGATGGTCGGAGGTGTGGTCGTCAGGAAGCTGGAGGATGCACTTGGAGTTGTGGCCGGAAGGGGAGACGTGCTTCGGTCAAGAGGCGGCCTTTAATAGGTGATTCCGCTTGGGAGCGGATGGTGAGGGTTGCTGAGCAAAGGAGAACTGCCTCTCTGTTGGAGCATTGAGAGTCAAGAGAGATTGCTTGGCTCAGTTGTGAGTCAGGCTCTTCGGCCCCTCCGACTTTTTCTTTTTTGGAGTGGAGGCCTGACGGCAAAGAGCCGAGTCCAACCAACACCTCTCAGGTCGCGCTCACATCAACTTTACGCGCTTTCTCGCTTAGCTTAACAGACACAATCAAATCCTTTCTGGACCTCGATTCGATTGGGGATAAGTTGGCTGTTTCGAATAGCTTTCTGGACTAGTCATCTTGCAACAGCACCTCGACCTCAGCGTCAAAGACCTCTGAGAGCTCATTCTTCAGAAGCTCGTGAAGGGTAGATGTCTCGCCTTCCTTGAGACAGAACCAGGCGTTGCTGTCTGCATCGTAGTCGAATCGCTTGGGCCCACTGAAACCAGTTGCGGGAAAGAGGAAAGAAGAAGGCATATCAGCGTCAAAGTCGATAGCACTGCTGTTGTCATGGTCCGTCGCAAGGGCTGCTGCCTTGATACGCTACCTCTTTGGACTTGACAGCCAAATCTGCTTGTTCGGAGGCTGCTTGTTGATGACCCAAGTGCCGTGCACTCCACATCGCAAGTTCATTACGCCAGACTGTGGTTCCAGTGTAGGGAGATGGCATCAAGAGAGATGGCGTGAGAGAGATGGCGTGATAGAAGTGGCGTGGGAAGATTTCAAGGTGTCAGCGTGTGCTGTTAGGAAAAGTACAGTGATCATGTCGGATCTGCCGATTTCTAGGCTCAGGAGGGCGAAAAGAGAGTAATCGCTTACCGCACACTCGATATCCCATTCCGAAGCTGGAGAGCCTCTGGTGGCGCCCTTGTTGTGGGCACGAGCCTGCTCTTCCAGCGTCTCAATGTCTGCTTGTTCAAGTAGCGTTTCGAGAGTTTCGGTGAGAGAGTCCAGAAGATGGTTCGAGAGCTTGTGATATTCGCTGTCTGCCAAAGGTGAGGCTGTGTACTTGGCAGTCGGATGCGCCACACTCCTTGAGACGCTGAATGATCGAGTCGGAGCTGCCGAAAGCTTGGTCAAAATGCTAGGTGATTGGCGACTTGGAACCTTCTCTGTCGAGGTGAGAGAGCGCGCTGGAACCGATCGAGCAGCAGCTGACGGTAGCAGGCCACGCTGAGCAGTTGTGCGAAGCACCATTGGCAGCTTCATCTAGACCGTCTGGAAGGGTCTCGCAAGGTCTCGCTCGACTAGGCGTGTTGCAGCTCCAAGATGATGGTTTCCACTGTCAAACGGCGAAAGCGCGACGAAGCTCTTGAAATTGCGTGTGGAGGAATTGAAGATAACAATTAATACATGGCGTTATCGGGGTCATGATCAGACTCCCTTTAACACAGCCATATGTTCTATGTAATGCTTAGTTTTCATAGTGTGAACCTAAATGACAAACACATATATATACTCCATTTGCCACTCTAGTCCTATCCAAGACAGGACATGTCACTTCATTTGTACTCCTGTGTTGCTATGATACTGAGTGCCACTGAGCTGTTGCCATGACAACAATCATGTACCTCATTGTGCTTCTCACTTAAGTAAGCCTCCTGTGCCTTGGTGTCTCAGCTGTGACATGTGCATCTTGCTTGAGATGCTGATGCATCTTCAACTCCCCCCTTTGGTGGGATCTCCAGCCCTATCATCCTAGCCAATCATGAGGTGTTGAGACCCTGTAAAGGTTTTGTCAAGATATCTGCAATGTTGTTTGCTGTTCTGACATGTTTGATTGCCACATCACCCTCTTGCATGTGATCACAGACAAAATGATACCATGTGTCAATGTGCTTTAACTTCCAATGTTTGGCTGGATCTTTACTCACCTGCATGCACCCCTGGCTATCAGTGTATAGTATGGGCCAAACATCCATGATCTCCAAGTCCCAGAGCAAATATGAGAAGAACAATGCTTCTCACACTGCTTTGGAAGTGGCAATGAACTCTGCTTCGACTGCTGACAATGCTACACATTTTTGAACATGAGACTTCCAACTCACTGGACATCCACACACATATGTTATCAACCCCAAGGTGCTCCTTTGTCCATTTGTGGGGTCAGATGCCCAGTTTGCATTGGTATACGTCATTACCAGTGTATCTGAGTGCTTGTTTGTCTCCCCTCCTAAGTGCAACTGATATCCATTTGTCTGGTTCAGGTACTTTACCATGTGAATGGCTGCCTTCCATGCACTGTCGATTGGGATCAACATGTATTGTGACAATACACCAATGGCAAAGGCAATATCTGGTTGGGCTGTGTTGGAGACCCATAATAGTTGGCCAACCAACTCTTGATACTTCTTTGCTCACTGAGGATCACATCTCTTGCCTCTGGCGACATTCACTACACTCAGCATGGGTACCCAAGATTTCTCATTTGCTCCTCCTAACCATTTGTTCACCATTTCTTTGATGTATGCTGTTAGACCCAGAGATATCTTCCTCCATCTTCTATCACATGTGATCTTGATACCCAGAAATTCTTTGATCCTTCTGTTGTCTTGTGTCTCCCATTTGTCCATGATCTCTCACTTAGTGTGGTCTACTTCATCACAACTGGGTGATGTTATCAGCATGTTGTCCACATATGCTGTAATGATTGTGATCTTGTCACCTGTCCCTCTTGAGTATAGGCATGGTGTGCTCAGCATGCAATGAAATCCAATCATCTGGAGATGTGAGTCTAACTCAATGTTCCATTCTCAGCCCAATTGTTTCAGACCATACAGTCCTTTCACTACCTTCAACACTTTTCTGGGTGGTATTTTGATTCCTACTGGGGGCTTTAGATATACATCATGGTGTATAGTAGAGTTCAGGTATGCTTGCTTTATGTCAATAGAGTCTATTTCCCAATCTTGTATTGCTGCAACAGCGAGCACCCCTTGAATGGATTGGATGGGTGCTACTGGTGCAAAGACCTCTGTGTAGTCGATGCCCTTGCATTGGGTGAAACCTCATGCCATGAGCCGGGCTTTGAACTTTGTCAGCATGAGGTTCACATTGGTTTTGATCTTGAGTACCCAACATGTGTTGACAGTGTTTGCACCCTTCAGGAGGTCAACAATCTCCCACATGCCCATCACTTCTAATCCATCCAGCTCCTTTCACATGGCCTCCTCCCAGTGCTTTCTGTCTTCTCCACTCATTGCTTCATGTATGGTTGGGTCCAGGTTCTTTCTCCCTACCTGTCCATTTTGTTTGCTGTTGTACCCTATGGTGGTTTGCCACTCTATGCCCTTTTCTAGTGACCATTCTAATGCATCATTGCTTCTCCATTTGGTTCCTTGATCGGATCAGATCACTTTTAGCTTCCAATCTGTCTGTGTTTCCAGGAATGAAACAATCCTTTTGAGTTGTGTAAATGCATGACTCTTTCATGTCAATGGCTGTGCATACACATACTTGCTATGATTGTCGACCAGCACTAACATGCATGTGTACTCCATCATGTGGGATGAATCTATTATTAGATTGACGTGGATAAGATCCAAGGGCCCTATGGCTCTTTCACTGCTACCTTGCCCCATCTGAGCACTTGTGCTCTTGGATCATATGCACTGCTCACATGTCAGAGTGGTGTTTGGATCCAAATGCATGGTATGCTTATCTTTTAACTTGCTTGTGATCACCTTAGCTTTATCTCTTCCTGGGTGTCTGAGATGCTCATGCCATAGTTGTTGCTTTGAAACTTTTGGCTCATTCTTAATATGCTCAAACTCCTCATCAATGCCTTCAAACAATGGTGTTGATGTGGCCATTGCACTTTCTTGCCATGTGTCACCTCGGAACTCCAAAAGTCCTCACTTGCGATTCTTTGCAATCTTAAGTGTCATGCTGTTTGTTAGAAAAATTTGACTGCCAGTTGTGTCCAATATCACTCATGCTCCTTCATCCATTAATGAATTTGTTGACAGAAGGTTAACATTAAGGTGCTTCACATATAATACATTTTGTAGGGAGATTTCCCTGTAATCTGTTGATATGCTTGCATCTCTTATAGCTGCCACTTCCAAGACCTTGCTTCTGGTGGTAATTATCTGCTTTCAGCAAGTTCTTGGATGGATGAGCATGCTATAGTCATTCACCATATGATAACTTGCCCCCAAGTCCAAGATCCAATGAGCTGTTTCTTTTGTGTTCAGGGGGTCTTGCCATTTCAATGGGAGGGTGAGGGAGCACCATGCTTCCTATTTAGGTTTAGCAAGGGGGGAGTCTTTGGGAATGGTGACTGAGGCATCACATTGACTAATACCATGTCTGGGTCACTTGCAGATCCAGCATCAGATTCAGCATGGTCTGCCTGCATTCCTCAAGCTTGCATGGCTGTTGTCGGCTTTGGCTTCAGTCTCTCTGGCCTGTTCATTTTGATCGTCATTGCCAGCAGTTCTAGCACTGGCTTGTCAGGGGTTGATCTTTTGCATGGGGATGCTCTCAACAGTGGTCTGCCAGATGCTTAGTGCAGTGGCGAGGGTGTTGAAATCGATTTGATGGATGGTGGCAACTGTCTCCTTATACACTGGATGCTGGATCATGCATTTCTGCAGAGCTGAGAACAATGTATCATTGGCAAATGGTTTGCCAAGGAGGCTACTTTCAGTCTGTATGGACCAGATCTCTTGAATTAGCTTTCTGGCATCTGAGTGAAACATCTTTATATCATTGAGCTGCGAGATGAGCACAAGTTTGTGAGACATCTTGGTGGCCTCATTCATGAGACCATTTTCAATCTTTCTCCATACTTGATTGAAAGTAAGGTACTCCTTGATTACATCTAGAACAAGGTAATTTACATTGTATTCTCTGGTAGTGTTGATTGTTCCATGCAGGGCATTGATTAAAGCATCATCAAGGGAGTGGCTCCATTTCGGGTGCTTCTTGTTGTACATTCCCTCGAGATGTTTCATTGCATGGGGCACAGATCGGAGGAAAGATTTCACGTGAGTGCTCCAGCTATAATAGCTGCATGATGTGAGCTTTGGCATGGGTTTGAGGAGCTTTGCTAGGGTGCAAAAGTTATATCGCTTGTTGCCATCATCAAAGTTGGAGTTGGAATTGGTGTCTTCATTGGCTTCATGGTCAATGGCCTCTGGCTCATTCTCATTTGTGGCATCATTGTCGACCCAAACCTGGGTGTTCTTGCCTTTTCTGCTTCCTTTGATCCTCATTTTGGTGTCTTCTACCATTGTTGTCAATGAGTTTCGGTTAGCTCAGTGATAGCTTCTTCAGACTCTTAATCAATTGAAGATAACAATTAATACACAGCATTATCGGGGTCATGATCAGACTCCCTTTAACACAGCTGTATGTTCTATGTAATGCTTAGTTTTCATAGTGTGAACCTAAATGACAAACACATATATATACTCCATTTGCCACTCTAGTCCTATCCAAGACAGGACATGTCACTTCATTTGTACTCCTGTGTTGCTATGATACTGAGTGCCACTGAGCTGTCGTCATGACAACAATCATGTACCTCATTGTGCTTCTTGCTTAAGTAAGCCTCCTGTGCCTTGGTGTCTCGGCCGTGACATGTACATCTTGCTTGAGATGCCGACGCATCTTCAACTGGAGGATTCCAGCCGATCTTTGTTCCGGCCGATTGGAACAAGTGACTCGCTCTTGTCACCTTCAAGGGTCCCTTATCGGCTGATATCATAGCAACACCCTTCATCCTTCACCCTTCATCCTTCACCCTTCATCCCCATCCGCTCATTTCCCTAGAAAAGGCTCCGCTCTTGTCAACTCCTTCACACAGTCCTCGACATATATATCCTTCTTTGGCCATCAAAGTAGTGTTACCGCCCCAGTAAGCATGACGATCAAAGGTCTCGACGGCGCCGCAAATTCGGCAGCCGCAGCTCATAAACCGGCGCATTTCAAGCTGGAGAACGTCATCCGACCCAACATTCTCTCGCTTGAGCCTTACCGATGTGCCCGAGACGACTATCAGTCAGGTATTCTTCTCGACGCCAACGAGAACAGTCTCGGTCACTCGCTGCCCCCTAAATCGGTCATCCCTCACAACCCCGGCAGATGGAATGGTGCTACACCAGTCCAGTCTAGCGAAGCAGACGACCCGCTTTCACTCAACCGCTACCCAGATCCTGGTCTCTTTGGCATCAAGCAATCCCTCGCTGAGCTCCGCGGCCTACCGAATGACAAGTTTGTTTTCCTCGGTGTCGGCAGTGATGAAGTTCTCGATTTGGTCCAGCGTGTTTGCTGCCGTCCTGGCAAGGACAAGATCTTGATCTGCCCACCAACCTACGGCATGTACAGCGTATGCGCAGCAGTCAACGATCTTGAGGTCGTCAAGGTGCCATTGATCCTCCAAGGCGGCAAGTTTGCCTTGGATGTAGAGGCAGTCAACAAGAAGCTCGGCGAGGATCGAGACATCAAGATCACCTTCATTTGCTCGCCAGGTAACCCCACGGGCACATTGATCCCACCAAGCCAAGTTAAGAAGGTGCTCGATAACGAGAAATACAAGGGCTTGGTCGTTGTCGACGAGGCATACATCGACTTTGCAGAGCAAGAGAAGAGGATGGGTAAGCGCCCCGCAGAAGAGGTGGTCAGCGCAGTAAGCTTGACTCACGAATACGAAAACGTCATGGTCACACAGACACTCTCCAAGGCCTTCGGTCTTGCTGCTATCCGGTAAGTCTATGTCATCGCTGTTGAACACATTGCCTTGATCAGATCTATCAGATCATGGTTGCTGACACGACGTTTCCTATTGTGCCTCTATTCTCCTGTTTTGTTGACCGAATGGCGCTGCTACACAGTCTCGGTATTGCATTCGCTCAGCCGGCATTGGTTCAGATCATGAACAACACCAAAGCGCCTTACAACATCTCTTCGCCCACCGCCCACCTTGCCTCACTTGCCCTCTCACCTAAAGGTATCGCTCAGATGCGAGCCAAGGTCGAGAGGCTGATTCGCAACCGCGACCAGCTCATCATAGACCTCAAGGCTCTCCCAGGCACTGGCGCAATATTGGGTGGCAACGATGCCAACTTTGTTCTCATTCAAATGCTCGATCTCGAGACAAGATCCAAGCCAGACAACGAGGTCGCTCAGATGGTCTACAAGCGTATGGCAGAAGAGATGGGTCTTGTAGTCCGCAACAGGGCCAAAGACCTCGGATGTGCCGGTTGCTTGAGAATCACGGTAGGAACAGAGGCGGAGAACAAGAGATGTATCGACTTGATCAAGCGTTTGCTCCAAGGTGGACTGTAGAGACGTATCGACTTGATCAAGAGTTTGCTCCAAGGTGGACTGTAGAGACGTCACTTTTGCAATACATGCGATGCCCACTTGCAGATCCTATTCTTTTGTACCTTGCATGCCAGTCATCCAGGATGAGGGCCGATTCGGAGTGTTCTTCACAGGGGTCATGATCTTCTGCTATGAAAGAAGCGTAGGATGTAAACAAGAATTGAGATTTGCTGCAAGAAGAGGTCTCTGTTTCGCACGAGACCTTCGGATTCAGTGGCGGCGGGAAAGAAAAAAAATAAAAGGAAAAGTCGGCATTCTCTCGGCTTTTGACCTTTTTTTTTTTTTTCTTTTTTTTTTTTTTTTCTTTCGCCTCCACTTGGAAGCAGACGCACTGAGCTCATGTTGTTCTAAAGTGACTGTTGCTTCTGCTTGTGCCTTTGGAACGGTTCTATCCATTACATCAATCTCGCCAAGCCATCATCTGCGTAGAGACACAAGCTAGCTGTTGATCATGTCGTTCAACAAGAAGTCAAGCAACAAAGTATCTGGAGGAAGTCTCACCAAGTACTCCTTCATCTCCAGCTCTCTTGGCTCGCTGGAGACCAAGATCAACGTCTTCCTCCCCTCTTCGGCTGCAAAGGATGGCAAGAAAGTACCCGTGTTGTATTACCTTTCTGGCCTGTCCTGTACCGAGGACAATGCTGCCCAGAAGGGCGGCTTCTTCAACGCTGCCGAGAAGGCTCAGATTGCTCTCGTCTTGCCAGACACCAGTCCAAGGGGTGCCAACGTAGATGGTGAAGATGAGAGCTACGACTTTGGTTCCGGTGCTGGCTTCTACCTCAATGCTACTAAGGAGCCTTGGAGCAAGGCCTACAACATGTATGACTACGTTGTTAAAGAGCTTCCCAAGAAGCTTGAGGAGAACAATTTGCCTATTGTAAGTATTCGCGAGCTTCGAAACGGGAGGGAGAGACACTTGTCACCTCCAAGGCTGAACGGAGTCAAGAGACAGCGAAGCTGACATTAGACTCTTGTCTCTTGAACGATCCTTGGTGCATCTTTTTTTCTTTTTTCTTTTGGTCCACCTGACGATGCGGTAGGAGACGTCACGAGCATCTATCTTTGGTCACTCGATGGGCGGACATGGAGCACTTTGCCTTTACCTCAAGAATCGCTCGCAGTATCGATCAGCCTCGGCCTTCTCGCCCATCTGCAATCCTACTGCCTGTGCTTGGGGCAAGAAAGCTTTTCAGGGCTACCTCACAAACGGACTTTGTGAAGGTGAACAGTACGATGCTACGCTCCTACTCAAACAGACTTGGGATCAGCCCAACATCCTCATCGACTCGGGCACCGCTGATGACTTTTACAAGCAGGCACAGCTTTTGCCAGAGAACTTTCAAAAGGCTGCTCAGGAGAAAGGCTTCGGGAAGGGTGTGGAGATCAGGTTGCAGGATGGCTATGACCACAGCTACTACTTCATTTCGACCTTTGCTGAGGATCATATTCAGTTCCATGCCAAGTTCCTCAAGGACTGAGCATACAATAGAGCATATCAAGACCTCGACGAAATTATAAGCGACATGGCCATCTGTACCTTGTCTGCTCGAGCTTGGAGGTGGGAGGTGTGTAAGCTGTCGCTACTTCTGAGCAAGCCTTACAAGCATGGCCAACGGCGGTAAGGATGGATTCTCTTTTTTTCTTTTTTTTTTTTTTTTTTTTGGTATTGTTGAATTGTTACATCGCCGTAGTTGACAGCCACTAGACTGATCGCCGATTCGAGCTTGTTGAAATTCCTCGATCGCGCGAGTTTTGCCAACCAGACCAAGGCAAAGCGAGGCGATTACAAACATGGACAGAATATTTGTATTCAAGATTTTCTCTCAGGCTTCAGCTCTCTCTCAAAAAAAAATGATTATGATTAATTTTCCTTCCTCGCCCCTTTCTGCCAAGTGCGGCTAAACGCGGTGGTGCATCCAAATAATGATGCTGTCTCTGCTTTTCTGCCTTTGCTTTCCGCCTTCTAGTGTTGCTGAGCTTTTCCTTTTCCTTTTCCTTTTTCTTTTCCTTTTCCTTTTCCTTTTTCTTTTTCTTTTCCTTTTCCTTTTCCTTTTCCTTTTCCTTTTCCTTTTCCTTTTCCTTTTTTTCTCTTTTTTCTTTTTTCTTTTTTGCTTTTTTTTTGTTTTTTTTTTTTTTTGGGCAAAATTGAAGAAAAATGGGCCATTCTACGCCTTATAGAGATGGTCAGCCAAATTGCGCAGGCGACACATGCTCTCAAACTCAGCCGTTGATCGCCTCCTCTCTCATCACCACCTATCCGACCTCATCCCTCCTCTTCCTGACAAAGCTGAGGTCTTGTTCTTTTTCCCCTTTCTCTTCCTTCTCCTCTTCGTTGCTCGTCGTCTTTCGTTTGATTCGAGGGACACCAGTTCAGAGACGAAAGTCAGAAGAGTCTTGTTTTCCCCTCTTCTTTTCCTTTCCGACATTTCGGCTTGGTTCGCCACTCGAGGATCCTATCATTCTCTTAGCATCTCTCTGGATCGATCTCTTTTCCCCGCTCGATTCGATTTGTGCTTCGACTCTCGACTTGGCTTTCGATTTGCTTCCGACGTGGACGCTTGGTTGGCATTGTTTCAATCAAACTCTCGCTTCTTTGGACTGCATCGATTGCTCCTGGAGCGCCTCCTCTAGCAATCTAAAAGGTTCACTTTCCACCACCAACCGCGCTCTCCTTCCGAAGCGGCTCGTATAGCTAGCTGCTTTCCATCTCGACATACATCTCTGCCCATGTCGAGTGAATCCAATCCAGTGGGCAACTCTAACCACCTCGCCGCCGCTGGCCCCAACGGTGATGCCAACTCTCGTCGTCAGTCTGCAGTGAGCCTTCCCAAGGGTGCTGCCAACACCAGCCCCGCCGCCGCCATCAATTTTGGCTCAGTCCATGACCAGAACGCCATGCTCTCCTCGTCCCCCGCTGCCCAGCCTAGCTCCGGCCAGCATCTTCACGGCGAGAAGCCTACCGTTTTTGGCTCCGTAGCCGCTCACCACCCTCAGTCCAAGAAGACCACCATCGGCTTCGCTGGTGCCAAGTCTGACAACTCTAATTCCACTTCTCCTAACCCTACCCCGCCCAAGTCCATGGACTTTCAGAAGCTTTTCCAGGCTTCCAGCTCCCCTCTGCCATCTCAGCCAACTGCTTCCAACCCATCTGGCCCCTCATCCCAGTCCAGCACAGCTCCCGCCTCCACCGCACCATCCACACCACAGCCCAACGCTAGTGCACAGAACCAAGCTGGTTCTCGTCATGCCTCGTCCAACTTGAGGCCTCCATCAGCTACTTCTCACCTTCCTGCTGCCAGACCTTTTGAGCCTCAACGTTCGCCTTCCGCACACCAGGCTCAGGCTTCTAGAATCGCCTCCCACGCCCCACCACACCAGCAATTCCATGCTCACCCACAAGCCGGTCCTCAGCAGCCTCGCTCTCCTCACATGGCCAACGCTGTCCCCATGCAGCCTATCCAGCCTATCGGAGGTCCATGGCAGCACCAACAGCCCATGCCTTATGCTCCTCAGTACGGCTACCACCCTGGTTACGCTTATCAGCCCCTCCCTCAGCACTGGCCACAGCAACAGCAGCCCGGCTACGAGATGCCCGGCACTCCTCGCTCCCCTCGTCATGCCAACCTTGGATCATCGCCCATCGGTCCCAACGGCCTTCCCGGAACCCCCAATATGGCTCCCTCCACCCCTTTGTCCGCCAGAGGTGCCAACGTGCCACCTTCCCCTTCCCCTGCTCACAGTGGCCTCACCTCGCCTACTCACCAGCCCATCTCGCTCGGTCAGTCCCAGCCTGGTCGCCCACCAAGCTTCAGCCCTTCTGCCAGCTACGCTCACCACTCGCCTTCGCACTCTTTCAGCAATCCCATGAGCCCCGCCGCTCGTCAGTTTGAGCCACAACAGAAGCGACAGAACGCTGCCATCCGTATCGTAAACCCCGAGACGCAGGCTCCCGTCGACATCCAGAGGATCCAGAGGACGCCCTCCACTTCCCAAAAGTCCACCGCCCCTACTTCCGCAACCAGCTCACCCAGTATCTCTAGGGCCTCTCCTGCCATTGTTCAGCCTGTCCAGAGCAAGCCTGTCCGTATGGAGACCCCCGAGGCTTTCATGGCCCGCATTCACGCAAACAAGGAGGAGGCTGCCAGAAAGAAGGCTGGCCAGGAGGGTGGCCCCAAAGACGCTGATGCTGAAAAGAAGCAGAACAGCGACAAGGATGCTGCTCCTGCTAACCAGAAGGCTGACCAAGAGGCAGCTGCCAAGAACGAGGCTCAAGAGAAGGCCGCCGCCGAACGCAAGGCTGCTGAACAAGCTCAAGCTCAAGCCAACGAGAAGGCCGAGGCTGAGAAGAAGCAACGCCAAGACAAGGAGAAGACCGAAGCCGAAGCCGAGGCTAAGGCCAAGGCTCAAGCTCATGCTCATGCTCAGCAGAAGGCTGAAGAGGCCAAAAAAACTGAAGAGGCCAAAAAAACTGAAGAGGCCAAAAAGGCTGAAGAGACCAAAAAGGCTGAAGAGGCCAAAAAGGCTGAAGAGGCCAAGGAGGCAGAAGAGGCCAAAAAGGCAGAAGAGGCCAAGGAGGCAGAAGAGACGGCCAAGGCCAAGGCTGACGCTGACGCTGCTGCTGCTGCTGCTGCTGCTGCCGCCGCTGCCGCAGCTACCGCCGCTGAAGCCAAGTCGTCTGCTGAGGAGGGCAAGACTAAGCCTGCTCCTATCGACACCGAGAAGGCTTCGCTCCACCAGGATGGCGACAAGGACGCAGCTGGTATGCGCAGCTCGGTCGCCGACGTTGAGCGCATGGCTCGTGAGGCTTCCTTGGTGCCTCCTTCCAGCCAGGATGCTCCCAAGACGCCTGGCCTTCCTCAGACTCCCCGCACGCCTGGTACACCTGGTTTCGCCGGTCTTCCTGCCAAGCCTCTCAGCACCATTGGCACGCCTTCCAACGGCATCAAGCTCGACGGCGAAGCACTCGAGAAGAAGAAGAAGACTACTCCTGCCGCTTCTAGCGATCCCCAAGGCGCTGCCGCCTCGCAGCACGCTCCTGCCAACAAGGCCGAGAGCTCTTCGTCCGGCGCTTCCTCTTCATTGACCTCGGCCAAGTTCATCGACAACTTCAACAAGGTCAGCTACCCCAACAACATCAGCTCACCCAAGTCTGAGCTCAACGAGACTGCCGAACCAGGCAAGTTCCGTTACGACCGAGACTTCCTCTTGCAATTCATGAATGTCTACACCGAAAAGCCTGCCGACCTGCCGCCATTGGCTTCCATCGGCATGGAGAGCGGCGGCACGGGCGCCAGCTCTCGTCTCAACCGACGTGCCTCGGCGATGGGCCCTCCTGCTGCTCCTAGCCGCGCTCAGGGTCTGGGAATCAGTGGCTCTTCCAGCTTCGGCGGCAAGGGCGGCATTGGCTCGTTCAGCCATCCAGGCAAGACCAGCGAGGAGCGTTTCGCCGCTGCCTCGGGTCCTCGTGGTGGCGCTATGGGTGCATTCGGTGTCATGGGCTCCTTCAACGCTGGAGTACGATCCCAGCCTCTCTCGCGAACCGGCAGCGGTAGCACTGCTTTGCCTTCGCGTGACATGATGGGCACCGGTATTCCTCAGGGTGGCCGAACCAAAAGCAACCGCGGCCGTCAACGTGATCCCAACTCGAGCCGTGGTCCTCAAGTCAACCCTCCCGAGAAGGGAGGTCCCACGATTCCTCTCGACCAGGTCGTGCCTCTGGCCAACTCGGAGAACCGATGGAGCCGAGGTGCCTCTGTCAAGGCTGACTCGCCCGAGATGGTGCAGCGAAAGGTCAAAGCTCTGCTCAACAAGCTCACCCTGGACAAGTTCGACTCGATATCCGACCAGATCCTCGAATGGGCCAACAAGTCCGTGTCCGAAGTTGATGGCCGAACATTGCGACAAGTCATTCAGCTCATCTTCGAAAAGGCTACCGACGAGGCTGCCTGGTCCGAGATGTACGCTCGCCTTTGCTGCAAGCTCATGGAGCAGGTCAGTCCCGAGGTCAAGGACGAGAGCCTTCGCACTTCCGATGACAAGCCCGTTGTTGGTGGTATCCTGTTCCGCAAGTACTTGCTCAACCGATGTCAGGAGGACTTTGAGCGTGGTTGGGCTCAGCGCGACACTGCCATCGCTGCTGCCAAGTCCAAGGAAGCTGAAGACAAGGCTAAAAAGGACAGCAACGACAAGGCCCAAGCCGAGACCAAGGCTGCCGAGGAGCGTGGTGAGAAGCCATCAGACGCTCCCAAGGAAGCCGAGCTTTTGTCCGACGAGTACTACGAAGCTCAGAAGGCCAAGCGACGTGGTCTTGGTTTGGTTCGATTCATTGGTGAGCTCTTCAAGCTCGGCATGTTGTCAGACCGTATTATGCATGTCTGCATCAGGAAGTTGCTCGCCAACGCCATTGACCCCGAAGAGGAGGAGATTGAGTCGCTCTGCAAGCTCATGACCACTGTCGGTAAGCTGCTCGACATCGAGAAAGCACGAGGACACATGGATATCTACTTTGGTCGCATGAGGAATATGTCCATGAACGAGGCCACCATCAACTCGCGTATGCGATTCATGCTCGTCGATGTCATCGAGTTGCGAGAGTCCGGCTGGGTTCCGCGACACGACAACACTGCTCCCAAGACCATTGCACAAATTCACGCCGAGGCTGCCAAGCAGCAGCAGCAGCGCGACGTCGAGAACGCCGCACGTGCACGAGGCGGTCCCATCTCCCGTGGTGGCTCCAAGCGTGGCCAAGCTCGTGGTGATGGCCCTGATGGCTGGAGCACCGTTGGTGGTGTTGCACCTCCACCTCGTCCCAGCAAGGCTGGTGATCTTTCGCACTTTGGCAAGATCGAGCGCGGCACCTCTGGGCGACCTTTGTCGTTCGGTCCCTCGACTATGCTCGGCAGGAAGAACCCAGGCAAGGGATCCGAGGACGGCAGCCAGCCCCCTACCCGCACCAGCTCGCAGACCAACATGTTCTCCTTGCTTAACCAGGCTGGTGAGGGCGAATCGGCGCCCGCTGAGGAGCCACAGCGACCTAAGCTCAACCTTCAGCCCCGTACCAAGCCTCTGCCAGGCGACGACAAGGAGGGTGAGGGTGAGGGTGAGGGTGAGGGTGAAGGCGAGGGCGAGGGCGAGGGCGAGGGCGAGGACAAAGGCAAATCCACCGAGATGTCGGATGAAGAGGCCAAGCGCAAGATCGCTAACGACATCAAGGAGTTCCTCGAGATCAAGGACGTCAATGAGGGTGTCGAAGCCTTCAACGCTTTGCCAGCATCACGACGATCGCAGTTTGTTGACTCTATCGTCAGTTCTGCCATCGAGAAGAAGAAGGACGATGTCGCCAACGTCGCTGCCTTGTTCGCCAAGCTCAACGAAGAGGGTCACCTCGACGAGGAGACTGCGGTCAAGGGCTTCGAGCCGCACATGGAGTTCCTGGACGACGCTTCTATCGACATCCCCGCCATCTACACATTTGTCGCAGACTTGCTGGTGGGCGCCAAGGTGTCACAGGAGAAGATTGAGGAGTTGGCAGGCAAGATCGAGGGCGATGGCCTAAAAACACCCAAGGACAAGCTTCTTGAAAAGGTTGCTGCTGCTCGAGGCTAAATCTCTCTGGTGGCGGTCAACCACCCACGCGTCGCTTTGATTCCGATCGCGTAGGTGTCGGTGTTACTCGCCTCCTCTGCAAGCTGTTCTTTGCTCGTGCGATGGTCTTCGTGTCTCGTATATATCCCTTCGTCCATCGCCGGAACAGCTCTGCAGGGTCGCCGTCGCTCGCTGCCACCTCCTTCGGATGTATTCCAGCTTCAGCGGAAACGCCACCCTCTGTTCGACTATAGATCTCGGCAGGTTCTTCGACTCTCTCCTCTTTGCATGACTCCACTTCGGAAATCACTCGTCTCGTCCTCTCCTCGAATCGCATGTCTGCCTTGCTCTCGCTGCCAGGCATGGTTAACGCGAAGCTTGCTTTGCGTCCTTCTCTTTATGCTCGGCAGTAATCACACCTGCTGCTGTGCTAACAAAAACACCAAACTCATATGTCAAGAACAAGTAAAAGAAAACTTCACCCATTGCTAGTCAGCCTGCCTGAGCTAGCGAGGCATGATTGATATCATGCTGGTTCCTTTTGAAGGAAGAAAAGTCGTGTTGATTTCCCGATTTGGTTTCTATCTCCTCTTCGAAGTCTTCGAGGACCTGTGCATATCATAGTCCAAGAGTCCTACCTTGCTTTCCCACAATCATGTCTGAATTCGTCTTTGACAGTGCGACCGTTGATGCAGCTGACAAGATTGCTACCGAACACGTGTGTTCGCCAACAGACGTTGAGCCACGGGTCGCTTGAGTAATGCAACTCTTGGACGTCAGGCGCCGTTCCAAACTGTCTTCCAGGATAAGTGACTACCTATGTTCTGTATATAAGCTCTATACAAAAAGGAACTTGCATACAAGTCCTTGTTCGTCTAACGGTGAAGATACGGCTTTTTCAACAGCTCTGGTTTTCGGAACACGAGCAGCTGAGATCGGGGTTCGATTCCCCGGCAGGGAACGTTATTTTTTATTTTTTTTTATATTGTTATGTGTGTGTGTGGTGATTTATTAAATTTTTGCTCCCCTTTTTTAGCACTGCTCACGCTGTTATACGCATTGCTGTTGTGTCACTTGCAAATGGACGTTGTCGAAGGATGTAGTTACACGTAGTCAAGTGGGCTTGCAGCGAGACTTTGTTATTCGTCTTTCCGCTCGTGACATTTGGATGATTATTGTGATGCTGGGCAGTGATTGAAAGGTCACGTTCAAGCGGTGAAGGACCTTATTGCTGCGGGGCATGAGTGTTTAATCATACACAAACCATGTTGCAGTGAATGGAAGAAGTATCACATGAGCGGAGGGTGAATGATCCACCTAGGTCTTTCTGTCTCTGTTCGAATGGCAGAAGTGAATGAAGAAGCAGATGGCAAGGGAGAAGTATTTTCCATACCTGCAAGAGCTAAAGCAGTGGACTTAGCATCATCGGACATATTGGCTAACATATGTGCAATTTCCAAACTTGATATCACATCTCCTGTACTACCTGACTTGTTCATCTGGAACTCTTCCTCTTTTCCTCTTGGCACAACGGTTGTTTCGGTAGTGAAAGTTGACCTTGCACAGTTGCATCGTTGAAGTTTTCCTTCAGTGCTTGTTGAGTAACGAAGAGAGGTATCAGGTGCAGTTGCACCAAGTTTGCCGTTACGTTCGAAGGCTTGTGAAATGCGCAAGAATTTAGACGAGGTCGAGTCTCGTTGCGGCCGAGCGGTAGGTGTGGGATGAGATACATCCATGAGAGGATGGTCAATTGCGTTCGAGGTGGAACAAGGTGGTGCAGCTTCTGAGTTAGCAATCGAGACATTCACGCCCTCTTCACGTGACGACTTGGTTAGGGTGGCGAGAATCTTGTTGGAGCTGTTTGTATTACGAAGCGCTCCGAGTCGATTTCGAAAACCACTGTTCCGCTTATCCTCGATGGATGTCTCGTTGGTTTGAGTGATCAATGCACTCGTCGACAAGTCGCCATCCACGGTGGTCATGCGTTCAGAGTTGACGTTTGACCTGGACCCTAATGCGTCGTAGCTATCCCCGGGTATACAAGGTCGAAAGTCGTGAAGCTGTTGGACTGTTGATTCTTCCAAACCCATGTTTCTGATAGATGGCTGTCCAGTTGAAGTTTGCCTTGTCTCAACTCTTGCAAGCGTTTGTGATGAACGCTGTTGAGCTCCTCCTCCGCAACACTGCGTTGGTGCTGCTTTCAGACAGCTGTCTACGGACAGGCTTAGTACTATTTCTGGATCTCTTTCTTCCTTTGAAGTGTCTACTTGTTGACCGTTGTTGTTCGCAAGTGGAGTCTTGCAAGCCCAGGAGGATTGCAATATTTGTACGATCAATCCGTCTGTCTCGCTGTTGGATACACCCTTGGACCTGAGCCCGATAGCTCCAGGTCGATCTCCCCACGTTGCTCTGATCTCCAGCAAGACGAGACGCTGGCAGACGACCCACATGACCGACGACCATAGCAGCATCATATCTTGCGCCCGAGCTTCGTTCCAATGGCCGATGAGGAAGCAAACGACGTTAAAGCCGGTGGAAAAGGCTAGGTACAAGACGCCGTTGGATGTCAGTCGAAAGAGGAGAGGTGTGATGCTGTTCCATTGCGAATGCATCCAACGGGCCCACCCGATGCCGCCCTTGCTCGTGTCATCCACGTTGGCTCCGGGAAAGACACCGACGTCGTTGTGATGCTGCCAGAGGCGATAGGTACTCAGCACGATGACGAGCGTATCGTAGACCACCGTACCAGCATAGAACCAATAAAGTGGGAAGGATTCGTAGTTGCCGTTTTCGACGAGCACGCATTCTCCGTTTTCTAGCCTTTCCGACTTCATGCTGAGCACGAGTAGGGAGGAAAAGACCATGAGTGTGGTGAGAAGGAGGCCGATGATAACAATGATACGTGCATCCTTCTGCCAGATTGCAATCGTACGCCAACCCAGCACAGCTGAGACCGAGACCTGGACTAGTATTGTAGCAACCTCACTATATGCAATACAGTGGCCGTGCTGCCGATGCCAAGTCGCATATAGGCCGAGAGTGATGGCGATCAGTGTAGAGTATCGCATCAGTACGAAAAGTACGAGATGAGGGGCGGTCCAAGGTATTGAAAAGTAGATTTGGATTTCGGATGGCACCGTCCTGTAACACGTCCAATTGAGCATCGCCAGTGCAAGCGTCGGTCGCATGGCATCGTCATGAAGAGGCAGTATGGAGATGAGCACACATTGTTCCCTTTCTTGGCTTTGAGCAACCTTGTTGCTGCCATGTTGAACTTACATGATGTATTCCCAGCAATACAATGTCGCGGCAACAATAGCGACGTTGTTCACAAAGGCCTGTGAGTTATTCGGTCGGCGATGTCAGCATACTTTCTGTGCATGAATCGGTGATCGTCTTTCTGGAGCGTTGCTTACATCGTGCGTGTCGTAAGATGGCAGCAGGATCCCGGCTGCAACAAGGTCTTGTTTGGTGCGAGGGGTAGGAGGGGCAGTGTTGTTGCATAGCCTGGCCAGCCAATCTGCCTGTTGGTTTGCATCCGACATGGGAAGGGATCGAGCGGAACACGAAAGGCGAGGCAATAGCAGCGGTATCAGCCTATATTTGAACACAATAGACCATGATGGCTAGAAAGAAAGGGCAACGGGAGAACTCAGCAAGGAACACTTAGCGAAGCATGTCTGTTGCGACCCACATTTCTCCTAAAGTATGACGAATTCACCCACGCGGTAGACTAATCAGTACCGCCGGATGAAGTTGCACATGGAAGGTGGGGCAGGTGGGCATCATCTTTTGCAGAACAAAGCTGCTAGAGCCTTCTTTCTATCTCTATTGCTTCGGACACATTCTTGACAGAGTAGAGGCCTTCAGGTTAGATGCTGCGATCTAGTCACTCGACAGTAGTCCTCATATTTGGGCAGCTCAACCAACGATTCGCAAACACTTGATCAATTCGTGCTTCTTGGCGTTATGTAGGTCTCTTTGCAGAGTGGGATAATGTGCATGTTCGAACGACTGGTCAATTCACTAGTATGCATATGCGCCTCGACCTCGTAGTCGAACACATCCCGAGATCGCACATGTTCGAATATGATACTCCAGTCTCTGAGTTCATTTCGACGACTGCCATTCGTGCTCTACGGTCCAGGCACAGTTCAATGTAGTTGATTCGGGTATAAAAGCACCATCCTTTCTCCTACCCTCATCGCGGCAGCTGCAAATCAAACTGTCGCAGGCTCCCATCCCCACCATCGTCTTTGATTGTTGCTCATCTCAGCATTGACTCTTACCCTATCTCACACCCAAAGGATGCCTTCTAACCACAGAGAACGTCGATCAAACAGACTAGGAAGACATTCAGCACGCTCGAGAGCCTTCCCTTACTCTGCCATATGCTGATTGATCAACATGAACATTGACGCCATTTCCGAAGCGCGATGGAAGCAAAGACCCAAGACCCTTCTCAACGCCGGTCATCATCGAGTTCAGGGACACCTTCATCACCCCTAAATTTGCCCATCCATAGCGACAAGACTGTTGCGAGCATCGCGAAGCTCCATGGAAGAGTACAACTTCAATGACATGTATCTAGCGCATTCATAATTCAAATGTTTCAGCGTCAGATCAGTGTGGACTGTAAGAAAAGCACAGGCAAACTACAAGCAAGTTCAAAGTAGCCTTACGACCGGTGTATTAAAGGAAGCGAGCATGATAAGACGACTAACTCGACTGATTTGTGTCGCTAGTAAACACAAATAGGAGGCGGAGCCAGATCGAAGCCATAAAACACGAAGCACAGAAGCTAGGGGGAAACGATCGAAACTAGGCGAGAGAAGAGGACGGGGGAAAGAGAAGCTAGGATGGGAAATGGACCGTGAGGCTAATGAGATGCTAGAACCGCTCAAAGTCGCACGGTACCTAACGATTGGAAAGCGGTAAATATTGTTCGAGTGCTGCTACTGTTAGTGAGTGAGGAGAGAAGAGAGTGGAGTAGTACGCCAAAAGAGTGTTTTGAAACAGGACGATGACCAAGACAAAAAGAGTGTGTGATTACGACGTAAGGGCGATCGAACGACATGCCGTATCGCCGACAGTATACTGGCAACCAATGATGCCAATGCGAGTGTGAAATGCCAAAGATTGAATGTGATGCACAACCGAAAACCGAAACCTCTAAGAAGAACTTTAAAGAACCGTTGCCGGAACCAAAGTGAAAAGCTTAGTTGATTGGGATGGAAGTACATCCAATGTTGACAAGTCCATCTTGGACAACGTTGGTGCAGCAGACTGGCGACGCCTTACAGATGCTCTGAGCCGAGATACCAAGGATGGGGATTTGCTGGCAGTTGAGACCAATGTCACCAGCGATCGAGTTGAAGCCGAGAAGGCCGGCAAGCGTCTTCTTCTTGCCCTCGTCGTTGATGATCTGGCTACAGTACTGAGCTGTACCAACCGAGCATTGACCGTTGTTGTTGTGCTCCGAAGCATTACGAGGGCGGGGTCGCTGACCTCGGCCGTTGACCGAAGGGGCACGCTTAGCCATGGCGGCATCCTCCTCCTCAGCCCATCGCTTGGCGAGGCTCTGAAGCAAGTCCATGTTTCCGACGGGAACAGAGACACCGCTCAAAGACTGACCGAGGAAAGCTGAGGGGTCGAGGGAGCCGTCGCGCTTGGTGGGGTTGATGTGTTCAGCGGTGCCGGTGAGGGCATCGACGTGGTGGGTGTCATCACCAGTGTTAGTCTTGACCAGTTCCTGTTGCAAAGCATCAATCGCGTACTGCAGAGTCTCGTACTGCTTTACATCCATCGCTCGGCGGGTGTTCGCGCTGTTGATAATATCGGAAAGAGCGGAAAGGGTGGCTTGAGCAGGTGCTACTTGGTGTACGTCTTTGGTCACATTGGTCTCACCTCGTCGAGTCTTCTGTCCGCTAACCACTTGGGAAAGGGCGGCAGCGACAGCCTGCACAGGGATCACCTGGTTGTCGTTGACAACGGCACCGTCACGCTTGCTGGCGGCTTGGCCGTTGGCGACCTGGGAAAGGGCGGCAAGGGTGGCCTCGATGGGAGCAACCTGGTTGGTGTTGTCAGCAGAGAGCGCTCGCTCGGCCTTCTGCGAGTTGAGGAGGCTCGATAGAGCAGCGAGGGTGGCCTGAATGGGGAGGACCTGGTTGCTGTTGTCAACAATGTTGTCACCCTCCTCGTCGTTGTGGCGCTTGTCGATAGACTGGAGGTTAGCAACCTGCGAGAGGAGAGCAGCGGTCAGCTGGATGGGGAGAACCTGGTTGCCGTTTTCGACAAGGGTGCCCTCGTCGTTGTGGCGCTTGGAGCCAGCAGTCTGAAGGTTGGCAACCTGGGAGAGGAGAGCGGCGGTGGCCTGGATGGGGAGGACCTGGTTGGTGTTCTCAACCGTGTCGAACTCAGGGGCCTTGCGCTTCTGGACCTCCTGGCCGTTGGCAACGGCGGAGAGAGCGGCGAGGGTAGCCTGGATAGGGAGAATCTGGTTGTCGTTCTTGACAATATTGTCACGACGGAGGGCCTTCTGCTCGTTAAGGACCTGAGAGAGAGCAGCGATGGTGCCCTGGACGGGAAGGAACTGAGCAGAGTTGTCAACCTTGACGGAGCGCTCGGCGTGCTGGCCGTTGCCGACCTGCGAGAGGAGAGCGCCGGTGAGTTGTACGGGGACGACCTGGTTGGAGTTCTCGATGACGGAGCCTGCAAGGACGGGGCCAGAGAAGGCGGAGACGGCTGCAAGGGCAGCAAGAAACTGAAGGTACTTCATTGTTGTAGAGGCGTGTAGATTAGAGACAAGGTTGGCAAAGAGTGTAAGGGATTGTTGGAGGCTGAAGGCGAACGGTGTCAAATTTGGTAGAGAAAGTAAATTGGGAAATGGGGAGCAGCAGCAGGAACGGAGCACAGGAGGGAGGAAAAACTAGCTTGGAGGAAAGACTGGGAAGGAGGGAGGCAACGAGAGCATTATATATGTCTGAAGACGAGCCCTGACAGGCGAGATGATCGGAATGGGCGTGGCGCTTAGTCTGTTGCAGAGAATAGCCATGGGTTTGCTGTGTCGAGGGCAGGGTCAAGCACACCAGGACAGCGGTTGGATCAAAGCATCGCAGGCACGGCTGATCAAGGAGAGTGTTGACAGAGAACAGGTGCGGAAGGAAACAGAGAGGCTTGTTTTGGATGCGTGAGCGAAAGCGAATGAGGAGAAGGATGAAAGGATGGCATCCAAGTTTGAGGCGTTGGCCGCATTCGCTTAGCGAGCCGACGTTGAGTGAAGTTTCCCTCAGGCATGTTTGCGGCGGAAGGCAAGCGAATGACTATCGAGGGCCGGAAGGCATGGGAAAGCTAGCGGCGAGGGAAGCAAGAGGATGGCGACAGCTGCGACACAAGGAGGTGCAGAAGATTGCGAGGGAGCAGGCGGGTGCATTGCGGAAGGGAGAGATGAGGGAGAGGGACAGAAAAGGAAGCAGTTGACATGCATCTCTGCAGCTTCAACGGCGAGCTGGATCTGGGAAGAGGAATGAACCATTGGGGTATGTCTCGTGAACGAGGTCCTAAGATGGCTTGGATGCTCGTTTCATTGCCTCGATTTCCGTGCTATTCTGGTCGCCGCTGTTGACATTAGCCAACGCTCTGTCAAATGCTGCATTCGACGGCCTTTGAAGATGATGTGTAAAGTTGGATGATGCGATCGAAGCTTCCAAGAACATCATGTGTGTGCGCTTTTCGACATGAGCACATGGGAACCAGGCGCCAGCATGTCGGAGGAATAGATGAAGCTCTAGCTGCACCTAGTTGACGAGGACTCAGGGATGGCAAGGACTGCAGCAGACATCAAAGTGACCGGAAAGTGTGCAAAGCATGACTGTGAGGATAAGCAGCGGCTTGAACAAGCATGCGGTCCTATCGAGACGAGAGAAGCAGAAAGGATCGAATGCGAGCTCTGAGCAAGGCAAAGGCGGATGGAGAATATGGACTGAGTGGCGATGGAGAAAGAAGCGACGAGGAGCGGGGGTTGGGAGGCTAGCAGACGACCGAGTTGAAATAAGAGAGCAAGGTAAGGAATGCTGAGTTGAGCTGAGCTGAGTTGAGCTGTGCTGAGTTGAGCTGTGCTGAGCTGTGCTGTTGGTGACAAGGCAAGAAGCTCAAGAGGGCTCAGCTGCAACGCCACACGGCAAAGAAGCGCCCCAATGGACGCTGCACGTCAAAATCCGCCAATCTGTCTGTCTCGGTTGAAAGCTCAACCGCTGGTCGTCCGTCGTCGTCACGCAAATCCAACACTGACACTATACCCTCACTTCCATACAGTCACTTCCATACAGTCACTTCCATACAGTCACTTCCATACAGTCACACATAGACTGCGCTGGAAACCCTGGAACGATCGGCATCTCCGAGAGCGTGTTGAAAGTGACTCGCAAATGGCCATCGGATCCTCCGACTGCACTCTCAAGGATCAGCGGCTGAGAAGGGGACAGTTGCAATCTGCACTGGCGGGCAGGCCTTGTGTGGCGCTTTGCCCGTCATCAGCTATGTGCAATGCAGGCAAGCCTACTGATTCCAGACTGAGACTGAGACTGATTCTCATTTGTCACTTCTCGCACGTCAAACATGGCCAACTTCATTTTTCCCGCGCCTGATCCTTTGGTCAACGTCTTGATGCTTCGTTGGCCATCTATATCAACTCATATGAGCAGCCATCGTTGACGACAAGCAAGAATTGCTTGTCAGCTTGCCAACCTTGTTTCAAGGGGTGTTGGTTCTATTTCTGCAAGCACATCTTTGGCTGGTCTCTATACTATTCCCCCCCTCCCCGCTGCGAGTCATCCTTCTGGCACTCTTCCGACAAGCCTTTCTCACGCCATTCAACGCTGATCACGTCGAGAGCAGCCATATTGACGCAATGATTCACAGAACACAGCTGAAAGAAAAAGACAGACCCGAGTAGAGCGAACGGGAAGATGCATGGAAAGTGGAATATGCGTACATTAGTCGGATGTGGGGGGGGGGTGGGAATCTTTTTTGAGCACCAGTCATGAAGACCAACACTGACTACAATGCATCGCTCGACACAAACGCAGCCTGGCCTACACGAGCCTCGAGTTCCTTTTGATTCGCACTCGACTCAAGATCGTGATCAAGAGCACACACAAGTGCCAACGGTGGCCTGAGCGAGAACGATGCAAGATCATCAAGGAAGAGACAGTGGAAATCTAGAGCAGCACTTCACAACCTCGCATTGCACCTCGCTCCGCACCTCTCCTGATACCTGACAAAGAAGAGCAAGCGGTTTAACGGCCACCGAAAGCCTTCTGCATGGAGCGCTTGAGGCGGAGCGAAGCACGGCGGTACTCGTCGGCGGAAGCCTCCTGGACCTCGAGGAGCTCGAGAGCCTTGGTAAGCTCCTGCTCGATCTGGATCTTGGCGGGGCGCTTGAGGTTGGCAGCGGGGCTCGAGATGGTCTCCTCGACAGAGTGGACGTATGCCTCGAGATCGTTCTTGGCATCATGCTTGGCAGTGAAGTCCTTGTCGGCCTTGGAGAAGGTCTCGGCATCCTTGATCATCTGCTCAATCTCGTTCGAGCTCAGACGACCGACCGAGTTGGTGATGGTGATGTTAGCCTTGCGGCCAGTGATCTTCTCCTGAGCGGAAACCTTGAGGAGACCGTTGGCGTCAATCTCAAAGGTGGTGAGCAGCTCCGCCTGACCACGCGGTTGAGGGGGAATACCAGTCAGCTCGAACTCACCGAGGAGACGGTTGTCCTTGCACTGAGTTCGCTCACCCTCGTAAACGGGGAACGTAACCTGAGTCTGGTTGTCCTCGACCGTGGTGAAGACACGCGTCTTGTTGCAAGGAATCGGCGTGTTACGCGGAACGACAACACCGAACACGTCACCCTGCATCGCAACACCGAGCGAGAGAGGAGCAACGTCGAGGAGGAGCAGGTCAGCTGTCTTGTCGCTCGTCTGGTTGGTCAGAACAGCGGCCTGGACAGCGGCACCGTAGGCGACAGCCTCGTCGGGGTTGATCGACTTGTTCAGCTGACGACCACCGAAGAACTCGGAGATGAGCGACTGGATCTTGGGGATACGCGTCGAACCACCCACGAGGACAATGTCGTCGACCTTGTCGGCGGGGATCTTGGAGTCCTTCAGCACCTTGGCGACGGGGTCGATGGTACCCTTGAAAGCAGCGGCGTTGATCTCCTCGAAACGAGCACGCGTGATGTTGGCCTGGAAGTCAACACCCTGGAAGAGAGAGTCGACCTCGACGGTGGTCTGGGTAACCGACGAGAGAGTGCGCTTAGCACGCTCACAGGCGGAACGGAGACGACGGGTGGCACGCGCATCACCAGAGATGTCGAGCTTGTTCTTGCGCTCAAACTCCTTCTTGAAGTGGTCAAGGAGGGCGTTGTCAAAGTCCTCACCACCAAGGTGGGTGTCACCAGCGGTGGCCTTGACGGCGAAGACACCGCCAGTGATGTTAAGGAGCGAAACATCAAACGTTCCTCCTCCGAGATCGTAGATGAGCACGTTCTTCTCGGTGGACGACTTGGAGTCGAGACCGTAGGCGATGGCGGCAGCGGTGGGCTCGTTGATGATACGGAGGACATCGAGACCAGCGATGGCACCTATTGGCAGGAGAGAAGTTGAGAGAGAAAGAGAGAGAGAAAAAAAAAAAAAAAAAAAAAAAAAAAAAAAAACCAGTCAGACGTGTCGGTGAGAAAAGTTGGCGTGAGAGCATCGCGGACAACATGCTTGCGACTTTTGCTGCTGTTGCCATTTGCTGTCCTTGTGAAGGTATCAAGCCAACTTCCATCTTCTCTGTCCTGCGTCCTGAACCATGATCTCTCGATCGGTGACGGAATGCGCTCAGCTAGCCGTTCTTAGTAAAGTATTTTTGCTTCCGCAACGCTGGAGAGCCTCGGAATTAGCATGGAATAAATTTGTATCATCGCTGCGCAATCGTTTCGTGCCAACTGTTTCTTCCTTTCCTCCTCCTCCAATATCATATAATGAAATCCAGCAACAGCAGTAAAAAAAAGTCGTGGGGTTGAAGAGAGAATACGTACCAGCATCCTTGGTGGCGAGACGCTGCGAGTCGTTGAAGTAGGCGGGGACAGTGATGACGGCCTTCTTGACCTCCTTGCCGATCTTGGCCTCGGCGATCTCCTTCATCTTGGTAAGGACCATGGAGGAGATCTCCTGGGGGGAGAACTGCTTGGTCTCACCGAGGTAGTTGACCTCAATGAAGGGAGAGCCGTCCTTGTCAATGACGGTGAAGGGCCAGTGCTGCATGTCCTTCTTGACGTCAGGGTCATCGTATCGGCGACCGATGAGACGCTTGGCGTCGAAGACGGTCTGCTTGGGGTTCATGGCGGCCTGGTTCTTGGCGGCATCACCAATGAGACGCTCGCTCTCGGTGAAAGCGACGTACGAGGGGGTGGTGCGGTTACCCTGATCGTTGGCGATGATCTCGACACGCTCGTTGACCCACCAACCAACGCAGGAGTAGGTGGTACCAAGGTCTGTGAGAGATGACAGAGGATTGATGTTCAAGAAGAAACAGGTCAGTTTACTGTTGTTGCTGAGGTGCCAAAATCAAGTTGCAGTGCTCGCCATGTTGCAGTGCTCGCCATGTTCCGGTGCTCGCCATGTTCCGATGAAACGACATGTACTGTGCCCATTATCTCGCCAAACAAGTTCCGCAGCAAGCTGCCTAGAAAAAGTGGTGTGCTGATTGATGGGTGGTAGGACTATCGTGGTCTGATCTGCAAGCTTTCCAAGGCGACTCTCCTGGTGGTTGGCATGGCGAGTTGCTGGGTTGCAATGTGGCGATGGAATACGTACCAATGCCGATGGCGCCCTGGTAGACGGTCTCGTCTACGGGGGTAGCGGGAACCTCGTTGGACATGATGACGAAGTTTTGTGGATGATGAGGAGGGGGTAAGATGGGGTGATGGAGAAGGTTAGGATGAAAGGATCACGATTGACCCTGTTGTGTGGCTGGCGCACAGTGTTTTTCCACAGTGTTTTTCCACAGTGTTTTTCCACAGTCTCTGTCTCTCGTCTCTCTGTCTCTCATCTCAAACACTTTGAGCTGAGACGAGCCTGCTTGGTAACTCGACTTTCTTCTTGATCCGACAAGTTCTCGCCTTCCTCCAACGAAAAGATAATTTTTTTTTTGATTTTTTGATTTTTTGATTTTTTTTGATTTTTTTTTGATTTTTTTTTTGATTTTTTTTTGATTTTTTTTTTTGATTTTTTTTGGTCGCAGATCACACCTTGGCTTTCCTGAAATTCTCAATCGATTGGCCAGACGAAATTCCTGCTGCCAGCTTCCAAGGAAATTTTTGTATTCAGATGGGCCAGCTTCTGGAATTCAACAGCGAGGGAACTGCTTTCAATTTGTCGCTTCGGGTTGGACAACTTGAATACAATTTCGACTCGCTGCGGCACTGGCTTTGATTTCAACCAGTTCAGGGTCTCCAGCCCTTATTCGTGCGAGACAGTGTTCCTGACCCTCGCTCACCGGTTCCGAGATGTGTCCCTTCTCAAGGAGAAAGTGTCAGAAAAAGTGTCGAGATCGTTAGCTGATCGCTCAAGGTTGTTGATCACTTGAGCCTGTCCACTTTCCCTGCTCCACTTTCCCTGCTCCACTTTCCCTGCTCAATACCATCAACAACAGCGCCGACCCTCACCGTCCAGATCAACAGACGTCTAGAGCAGTCAACATCTCGACAATGGCCAGCCCAGTCGCCAGCTCTTCGAGGACAACCCTCGGCAGCTTGCTGAGGAGCTCCACATCCTCCTCCACCAGCACCTCCTCGCGAGCTTCTTTCCTTGCCCGCCCCATCTCCAGCCAAGTCCAGTCCAGCACCTTTTCTGATGCAATTGGCGCTGCTGCGGAGCCAGTAGCCCTATCTGCGCCCGCATCCACCGAGACCAACACTAGCAATGACGCTGTCGAAAAGCGACGTCTCAGGCGCACGCTTATGGTCCAGCTTTCCGACCTTGGTAGCACACAGACCCGCGCAAACTCATTCCGACCATACAAACAGCGTCTCAATCCCATCGATGCTCACAAGCTCACCTTGAAACATCTTGTCGCATCCACCGCTCAGGTCGGCCACTCGCTTTCTTCGCTCAAATCTGCCCACCAGCCCTACATTTACGGTCAGCGTCACGGTGTCGCGATTTTCGACTTGGAGCGAGCAACACTGCCAGCCTTGCGAAGGGCAGCAGCTGTAGTCAAGGCTGTAGCTGAATCTGATGGCGTCATTCTCTTTATCGGTACGCGTCCAGGGCAGCAGGCAGCAGTGTTGGCGGCTACCAAGCGTCTCGGTAGCAACGGCTTCCATGTTACTGCCGAGCGATGGATGCCAGGTGTCATCACCAACGCTCCCAAGCTTCTTGCAACAGCCATCTTGAAGTCGATCGACGACCTCGATCCTTCCGGTTCAGCCAACACCAACCGTCTGGCATCCCAGACTCTCCAGCCTGATCTCGTCATTGTTCTCAACCCTCTCGAAAACTCTTTCGCTATCCGTGAAGCTACCCAGGCCAACATCCCCACTATCGCCATCACTGACTCGGATGTCGACCCGAGATCCGTCACCTACCCTATCCCCGCCAACGACGACTCCATCCGCAGCGTCGAACTCATCATCGGTCTTCTCTCAAAAGCAGGACAAGAAGGTCTCCGAGTCAGGGCAAAGAAGCTCGACGAGGCCGATAAGATCGAGCGCAAGGTTAACAGGACACTTCACAGCCGTGTTGTGGGCGCCAACTTTGACCCTCGATCTCGATCTGCACCCATTCGCACTGTTCCCAATTCCGAACAAGACGACGATTGATCGCATTCACATACCATCACATGCTTTACCTTATCCGCAATAACACCAATTCATTTTCTCATCCCAATCTCCGCTGCCTGAGTCATCATTAGGCTTTTCCGCGATCGCTGGCAAATCGGAGCAACTCAGCCTGCGCCAACATGATAAAGATAGGATGCAGTAGTAAGATTGCAATAAGTGAAAACATTAGCATGAATAAGGCTCCAAAGTTGATATCATCGGTACAAATTTGCTCTGATCAGCCTGTCCACTCGCCGCCCCTGGTCAAGGAAGCAAAGTATCCACCGGCCATTGCGACGAGCGCATCATAACTCCCTTGCTCAGCGATGCGACCTTCCTTGAGCACGAGGATACGATCGCACTTCCTCATCATATCCAGATTGTGTGTGATCACCAAGGTCGTCATCCTTCTTCTCCTCACCTCTGCATTTGGAGACAGCAACGTTTCCACGATCAACTGTTGATTTGCAACGTCTAGCGCAGATGTGCATTCATCCAAGATTAAGATCGGTGCCCTTACTCGCAGTAATGCTCTTGCAATTGCAACGCGCTGTGCTTGACCGCCGGAGAGCTTGCATCCCGCGCCACCGCCAACACTTGTTGCGTATCCAGCAGGAAGAGCTTGCACGAAGGAATGCGCATTGGCAGCTTGAGCAGATTGTTCGACTAATTGCATCTCCTTCTCGTCCAGAGCGGTTCGCGTGGTGGAGCAAGGAGCTTCGTCGTAGATCTTTGCGTTGGCGCCATAAGCGATATTTTCAGCGATCGAGAGGTCGAATAGGCTTGGTGTTTGACCGACCAGGCTGATGTGTTCGCGCAGCCATTGAGTGGAGAGTAGGGAGATAGGCGTGCCGTCGATAAGGATGTTGCCGGAGCTTGGTTCATAGAGTCGTTCAAGGAGAGCTGCGATAGTGCTTTTACCGCAACCAGATGCGCCGACAATCGCGACGCATTCACCAGGACCAACGTTGAACTGTACCTCATTCAGTACTTTGACGCTTGCTCGACCATCGTATGCAAAGGCGACATTGCGGAACTCGATTCCCCCTTTGATGTCTGTCGTCAGCTGTCCATTCGCTTCTGTACGTACTACGTTGGCATCCGAAAGCTTCAGAAGTCGATCGAGATCCGCAAGCGCCTTCATACTCTTCGACAAGCCCGGCAAGGATGTTAACATCTGCGCCGCGAATGTCACAGCAAAGATGATCAGGTTGAACACCTGCATCATCCGCTTAAAATCGTACTCGCCCGAAATCATCAGCTTGGCACCAAAAAAGAAGATCATCGCCTCTGCAATGTACGTCAGCGCCTCGCTCAATCCATGTCCAAAGCCCGAGAAAACAGAGGATCGCATTCCACACCGTTGTGCATCAGCTACAGCAAGCTGATACATCCGATCAAAAACTGTCTCGAGACCCATCGATCGAATGCTGCGGATGTGAGAGACCATGCTATGAAACTGCTCCGACACAGTCTCGCGCTTGAGCTTGTTGCGCGCTTCGTAGAAGCTGATCACGCGAGATTGAACCAAGGTTGCAGCGAGGAAGACAGGGCCAAAAGCAACACCTGCAAGTGTGAGCTTCCAGCCGACGACCATGGCCCAGACGATACCGAGTGTGATCATAGAAGTGATCAGAGCGAGCTGGCCGATGATGGAGCCGACAAGGTTGCGCGCATCGTCTCCGTCCTTAACAATGCTCTGACAGATTCGAGCTGCTGAGTTGTTGCGTTTATCGAAGAAGGTTCGGTCTTGAGCTACGACGTTGCCGTAGGAACAGCGGCGGAGACGGTAGAGCCATTCGTCGGCCAAGACCTCCATGAGGAGGTAGCGGATGAAGGAGAAGATGCCTTGAAGGAGAGCGATTAGCAATACGAGAAGAGACCATTTGAGCACCGTACTGTTTTGATCCGGTCGACCCATCGTGGACAAAAGCTGAGCCAGGATGTAGGAGAAGATCGGGGTGAGTGTACCCGTCATCACACACATAACGATACCGACTAGCAGCCAGGCTCGGCTGGGGACTGTTCGCCAAAGGATGCTCCATACTTGACGAACGGTCGGTACCTTTGTACGCGCGCTCTCGTCTGATATGCTGACGGATGTCTGTCCGCTCTTGGTGACAAGTGCGGACGAAGGATCGAAAGATTCAAGGCGAGCGTCCCATCGCTTCCTCTCCACTGCAGGGCGTTGAGCGCGACGATTGCTAGCAGTGGATCCACTAGCTTTGAGCGCCTCAGCATCTTCCAAGTAGTTATGCATCGCCTGTCTCTCAGCCAGACGCAGCGGCTTGAGATGCGAAGGCGCAGTATCGAGCTTTTGCGAGATGATCAAGGATAGATGCTCGGAGAGGATGCCACCTTCTCGTTCCCAACCGAGCATTGACTTGTACTTTATCCGTCTTGGTCGGCTGTACGGCTCATCGCGGCTCTGTTCTAGACGGCTGCTGATTTGTTGCATCACCTCTCCCTCATGCTTTTCTTGGGCGTTGTTGCTAACATGTCGCTGCTGCGCCGACATGCGACTAAAAGCTCCTTCTTTGGCTTCAAGATCAGATCGGTATCCTTGCTGCACGACCGATCCGTTCTCGAGGAGGTAAAGGAAGTCTTCCTTTTCGATTTGAGAGAGGTCGTGAGTGATGATGATGGTGGTCTTGCCTCTACGCCATGTTTTGATGGCTTCATGGACGAGGTGTGTTGTTGTTGGATCCAGCGCTGATGTGGCTTCGTCGAGGATGAGAATCGATGGATCTTGAAGTCTTGCTCTTGCGATTGCTAGCCGTTGCCTTTGACCACCAGACAATGCTGTGCCTCTTGCGCCTAGCATCGTTTCATATCCTTCAGGCAGATCTCGTACGAACTCGTGCAGCAGCGCCAACCGGCAGGCTGATTCAATCGACTCTCTCGACACAACAGGAACGCCAGTCTCGGCTGCCACTTGCAGGTTCTTATCCTGCTTGCCAACGAGACCGAGAGCAACATTTTCATGGACGTTCATATCAAAAATGATCGGATCCTGACTAACCGCGCCTATATGTTGCCTGCACCAGTGAGGATCCAGATACTCGATGGTTTGATCGTCGATCTGGATCGTGCCCTTTGTCGGCTCGTACAAACGCAGCAAGAGATGCGCGATGGTACTTTTCCCACTACCACTGCCACCGACGACATAAGTCATCTCAGCCGGTGGGAAGTAGAGATCGACATCCTTGAGCACGCAAGTATCTGGACGGGAAGGGTAGCTGAAGCTAACATTTTGAAGATGCACTTCACCCTGGCAGCTTACTGGAGCGATACGGCGCAGACCTTGTACGCCACGTCTCGCAGCTCGCGCAGTATGAGCGAGTGGTTTGGAACGGTAGGTGAACTTGTCCGGGCTGTGAATGCCGGGTGAAGGTGTGGAAGGGATGTGTTCGATTGACATGGGTACTGCTTTTGCTCGTCGCATGTCGTAGTCGAGCATGTCGAAGATTGATGTTGTTGCCAATCCAGCGTCGCATGTGGGAGATGCAATGCTGCTGATTGGTGCCTTGTCGTCGCTGTAGTCTGAGCTTCGGTTCGAGTTGGTGATAGGCGAGGATATGCGGGTGGCCTTGCTATGGTCAGCTTGGGATGTTACATCTGGCGAGTTGATGAGATTGATCAAGTTCGCAGCGCCGATCTTGCCCTTATCGATAAAGGACAGAACTTGTACGATCTCGTTGAGCGCTCCAGAAACGAGCAAGCTGGACATGAAAACGGTCATCACCTGCCCTGGCGTCAACTTTGCTTTTGACACCAGATGACTGCCGAACCAAAAGCCTTGTACAAAGGTGGCAAAGACCATTGCTGCAGTGATACCGAATCGTATCGCCCACCACAGCAGCAATCTACGGTAGGACTTGCAACCGTTCTTGAGCTCCGCTTGAAAGCGGCTAGTCTCCTTGGTCTGCGCGTTGAATGCTTTGACTGTGTTAATGGCCTCCACTACGCGTTCGACCATGGAGGTCGCGCGCGACGTGCTCGTTCGTTCTCTCTGCAGCCACGGTGCGGCACCAATCTCAGTGACAATCGTAACGACTAGCACAAGAGGGATGGATGCAAGAATGACGAGGGTAAGTGACCAACTTGTGTAGAAAGCCAACACCAAGCTTGCAGTGGCTGTAGTGATGTGCTGCACAACTTGGCCGATCTCGCGAGATAGGGCAACTCGGAGGTCGTCGCACTCTCGAGCGACTTTAGTCATTAGACCTGCTGGAGAGATCTCGATGTGATCTTGATCATCTTGGTCTTGTTCTTGGGCGGTTTGGGCGAGACCCATACCGGTGTCGTACCAGGCCAATTTCTTGCCGATGACGCTGGCAAAGAGAGCGATTCTGACTCGGGCTGATGTTCGCTCGCCGAGGCAGATCCAGAATGAGACAGAGACCGTGCTGATGATGAATGTTGCTGCTGCTAGTCCGAGAAGGGTATACACGGTTTCGAGAACACGGTGGAGGAAGTGATGGCTGACTGCCTGGGGTATTGTCCAAGTGGGCTGTGCGGTTGGGTTGTAGGCAGTGAAGGCGTCAAATGCCTTGCCGATGATTTTGGACATCGCTGTGGGTATGAGGCCCACTGCGATCGAGCAGAGAAGCGCTGGGATGAGGATGAGCGAGACATCTTTGGTTGAGAGGAAAGTGAACAAAAGTCGGATGGCGGGTTTGGTGCATGGCGGTGCTGACGTGGTAGCGGTCGACTTGGCTTGTTGCCTGGACGACCTTTCGCCAAACATCTTGGTAGTAGCAGCTGCAGGTCAGGCGCAAGACAGGAGCGAGCCGGATGGATGGATCTGTGCTGTTGGATGAGAGTCAATAAAGATCCAGGTAGCGAGAAGAGATGGCAAGTAGGGATGGCGAACAGAGGTGGGCGATGCTGTCAGTTGCTGACCATTGAGCAAAGTCGGATTTGTTAATGGAGTATCGAGTGTGGCTAGGGTTCAAGATGGTGTGAGTAGGCAACGATGAGTGAGCGATAGGAAGTATTGCCACTCCACATCCGTCTGGCATCCATCATAGCAAGACTACCAAGACCGGCGCAAGGCAAAGACCAAGGGTGAATGGACACGAGTTTCCGAAGAGACCCTACACAGTCGAGTGGGACGGCATGCACTATCGTCTGATGTCTTAGAAGGCCGCATTGTTCTTCCAAAGCTTTGCATATCCCCTTTGTGTTGTTGAGCAAGTCCGTGTGAACCTGAGAGGAGAAAGCGTAGAAGAGCTGGGGATGATGGTACAAAGGGACCTGGAAGAATGAAATAATATCCATCTTTCCCCACGCTACAACCCAAGAAGGGCACAAAGGATTGTGAGTGTGTCTCTGTGAAAATCGCAGCTGCAAATTCCCTTTGTGTCAAATAACGCGGCGCGAGGCTTGCATGGGAAAAGGAAAACTTATCGCGATTTAACGCATCCCGATATATTCCAATTGTCCCGATCTATGTGTGATTTCGAAGCTTCAATTCTTGGAGGAGAGCCGAGGCAATTCTGAAGGAGGAGGGTATCGACTCACACCGGGAGTCCGATGATCAGCACATCCATCGGTGTATCCAACGGGATGGCCAACGGCATTTTCCCACACCTGATAAGAGTTGTCAGAAAAACTGTCAGGCAGTCCCCAACAATCAGATTGGTACACCCAATGAGGCAGAAGGCAACCCTCCATCTTCAGTAAGCCTCTGTTGGGACTCCCCTTGAGGGCTCCAATGCCTCTCATGCTCCAGACCTCTCTCCTACCTCTTGTCAGTGTCAAGACATGTATAGAAGGTGTCCAGAGTTGGTCAGTTCATTTGTACTATTATCATCCTCCTGTACTTACTCATCAATGTCGAGTGTTCAATATCAAACCATGTCCTGCCACAGTTCACTAGCCTTCCAACAGATTATGAGACCTAGCAGTTACTAGGCCTCTCAATGACACTAAGTACAAAACAGATTGGATCAGCTCCTGAGACATGATCTCAGTTGCAGCATTAGCAAGATCACCAAACAGCTCACCATCAAGGCTGAAGCATATAAGCCTGCCATCAAAAAGGTTTGAGACAGTGCCTGGTTGATCAAAATGGATGCAGCAATGTCTTTGTCAATGCCACCCATGCTGCGAGGCAGCAGTGATTACTACACCTGGCAAAGACAGCTGCAAATCTATGTTGATGGGGTTAACCCAATGATGTGGGAGGTGATTACAGGTACATCGACTCACATGGCCGATGAGATGGATGAACGCCTCTGCATCTCCCTCCAGACAACCACAAGGCATGCAGTCAACATCCTTCTGTGAGCCATTGCCCCAGAGATTGCTGTTGTGATTGAGGAGGAACAAACTGCAAACCAGATATGGAAATATCTTGAACAGCATTACTCTAAGGGGACCATCATCCAACCATATGTCCTCCTCACCAAACTTACTCACCTTGTCCAGGTGGGAAGCATCAATGAATTTATCTCCAACATTGAGCATATTGCCAACAAGAGAGCTCTGATGGATCACCTGATTGATGCTGGAATGAAGCTTGGCTGCTTACTCCATGGTGTTCAACCACATCTCTGCCCATACACCATGGCTTATGAGGCATGGTGGGAGTTGCTTGCCCTCAGCAAGGCCACCAAGTCTACTGGATCTTCCAATGCAGACTATGAGCTTCAACTTGTGTGAATGTTTGAAGCTACTGCCATGGGCTTATGCAACTATGAGGAGTCCATGCATCTCAAGGAAGATGAGACTGACAGTATGACACTCATCACTTGCTTCACAAACCTAGGGAGCCTTCAACATTGCTCCTCCACTCTTTCCCAGGGCCAACCAAACGCCGCAGTGGCTAACCAAGTCATCTGCTGGAAATGTGGTTGCCATGGTCACATATCGACAGAATGCCCCAACCCCAAAAAGGAGGAAAAACAGGGCAAGCAAGGAAAGAGAGGCAAGGGAAAGCAAAAGAGCAACAGTGCCAAGTCAGCTGGGGAGAACAGAAATGATCAAAGTGATCAAAATGCACATGTCCTAACTGTTTTCACCACAGGTATGGCTGACAAGGAAGTCATTGAGGGCTGGATCTGGGATACTGGTGCTGATGTCCACATCTGTGAGGATGAGTCACTCATGATGGATGTACAACACACCAATGGATGCATCCAGCAAGCACAGGGTTGTCAGCGGTCACGCGCCTGAAACCTGAGATCGGTAGTTGTATCAATACTATTACTGATTCTGTCGAGTTATGCAACAGTGCTTGTGGTATTGCGATTCTTCACGAGATATGCAGTAGAGCCATCTCTATTACTTTTCTCGCTCGAATCTGTAGTTGTGATGATGCTATTGCAGATTTCAACTGACCACTGTCAGACACTCTGTTCAGAGGTAGCTCAGCATGATCAATAACTTATGTGAACTTGCTGATGACACCAAAGGTCTGGTGTGAATATGGATTGGTGGCATCGACACAAGTGTCCAGTGTGTCGACTATGCTTGAGGTGACCCCCGGACCGCAGTGGATGACTGCCTTCAGTTCTATCGAGATCCAGACCACTGGTTTGCTAAGAACCGCCTTTGGATGTCAGGAAACAGTGATGCAACACATGCACTTCAATGAGGAGCAATCTATTGATTGCAACTTATGCTGACTGAAAACTAATGAGTACTTGTGTTTCTAAAGTATTGACTAGTTGTATGGTGAGTAGAGTGGATGAGGATCCACTTGACCACTTAGTGACAAGAAGGTATGGCTTTATACCTCTTTGCAGTGCCGCCAGCACCACTGCTCCAACTCTCTCTCCAGAGAGTACCTCCTTCGTCGAGTGCTATGCAGGAGTCCCTGTAACCCTACTCCTGTCCCTCTTGAGCTGTGTGTCGACCTCCTTGACACAGCTCTTCTTCCTCATGAACTATACACTGGTGTCTGTGACACAGTTCTCCTTCCTCCTAACTGGCGACTGTTCTCTTGACTCATATCTTGGGAACCCCTGAGTGGTAACCAGCTGCAATTTACTGAGCTTGGTCCCCATCTTGGCAGAGCTTGGTCCTCCTCGCCTGTGAGCTTGGTCCTCTGCGCGTGTGAATTCATCGTATGAACATCCTTGTCACTGATCTCCGCGGAATCTACTATACGACCTCTCCTACTACTGATCTCGTCAGAATTCGTGATATCATCCTTGTTCATACTGATCTCACTGAGATCTGTCATAGAGCCGATTCTACTGCAGATCTCGGCGAATTCTGCTGCGAATCCTATGATCCACCCGATCCCCTGATTCCTGTGCTCCCTTCATATGAACTAGCAGGTCTTCCTGCTTCCTGCGCACTCAGGCCCATGACAAGGGTCCTCCGATCGAGTACAACACCATTGGAAAGGTTGCCCTAAATGTTAATACCAGTACCAGTGTCAAGCATATCACACTATCAAATGTTGTCTGTCATGGGCCTGGATGCTCAAGAAGCAGGAGGGTCACAGGTTCATATAGAAGGAGCACAGGTATCGAAGATCTAGTCGATACCAGTAGAGAGCATGGTCGTAATGCAGTCTCCATGGAGACCATGGACTCCTACAGACTCACATGCAGAAGAGGACCAAGCTCAAGGAGCAGGCACAGCCACAAAGAGGACCAAGCTCAAGGAGCATGCAGACAGTTACCACTCAGGGGCTCAAGAGACAAGAGTCAAAGGAACTGTCACCAGTCAAAGGAGAAGGAGCAGTGTATAGGGAACCAGCAAGCAGGTCCTGAGGAGGAGGAGCAGTGTTGAAGGAGTCGACACAGCTCAAGAGGCACAGGGGTGCCAAGCAGGAGAGGCCCCTGAACAGCACTCGATGAAGAAGGTACTCTCTGGAGAGAGAGCAGGAGCAGCATCACTGGTGATGCTGTGAAGAGGTATATAACCATGCTTTCTCATCATCATAGGTCGAGTGGATCCTCATCCACTCTACTCACCATACAACTAGTCAATACTTTAGAAACACAAGTACTCATTAGTTACAGTCAGCATAGCAGCAATCTATCAAGGTTGCTCCTCATCGTAGTGTGTGTGTTGTATCACCACTACCTGACGTCCGAAGGCGCCCATAGCAGGTTAGCGGTCTGGATATAGATAGAACCGAAGGCAGTAGTCCACTGCGGTCCGGGGATCACTTCAAGCATCAAAGTCAACACACTGGACACTCGTGTTGATGCCACCAACCTTATCACCAACACCATCAACCTCATTATCATCAACACTCACCAACCTTATCACCAATGTCATCAACCTCATCATCATCAACACTCACACCAGACCTTGGTGTCATCATAACCGAAGCATTGATATTGATCGTGCTGAGCTACCCCTGAATGGAGTGTCCACAGAGGTCAGCCAAAACCTACAATAGTATATACAACGAATGCCACCTGCTGTCACTGCGCAACTTGATAGTCACTGCTACTGAGACAATAGCTGTCGCACAGTTTGATAGTCACCGAGTATCTCGACAGACCGACCTGGGTTTCGGGCGCGAGACCCCTGACATTGTCCTCCTTTGCAATGGAAATTTCAACTTGTTCTCTCCAAGGGCTGCAGCTAAAACGAGTGAAGGAGACATCAGATGCGATTGGCAAGGAAGAGATTGTATTATGGTTGGGAAGGACAAACAATGAAAACAAGTCACCCAGGCTGTGAAGTGTGGTGACAGGCTTTACTTAGATGTGGTGGCAAAGGCTACCCCGAGCGACTGCACAAGGCCAAGCAATCACAACTGAGTGCTGCAGGTGAAGTCGCAAGAGGACACCACCGCTTTCTGGTGCACGTGGCACTGCCACCTCAGTCATGCAAGCCTAGACCACATCCAGAAGTCATTGAAGGCTGCAGGCATTGATACCCATGACATGCCTAAGGTTTTCAACTGTGAAGCTTGTAATGCAATGAAATTTGCTTGCCCATCATTCAGATTGGGAAGAAATGATACAAAGGTGAGACTTGATGTGGTTGTCAGTGACCTACAGGGTCCTATGCCAGTCCCAAGCCTTGGAGGAGCAAGGTATGTACTCACTATCACTGATGTACACATGCATTTTGGTTGGGTAAGGATGCTTGTGTCAAAGGATGCTATGAAAACAGCAGTTGAGAAGTGGCTGGAGGAAACAAAGCAGGAAATGGGTCAGTACCCAAAGGTTTTTCAAATTGACAATGGTGGCGAGTACACATCGAATGCCTTCAAGACCATGTGTCATGGGCCTGAATGCTCAAGAAACAGGAGGGTCACTGGTTCATATGGAAGGAGCACAGGTATCGAAGATCTAGTCGATACCAGTAGAGAGCATGGTCATAGTGCAGTCTCCATGGAGACCATGGACTCCTACAGACTCACATGCAGAAGAGGACCAAGCTCAAGGAGCAGGCACAGCCACAAAGAGGACCAAGCTCAAGGAGCATGCAGACGGTTACCACTCAGGGGCTCGAGAGACAAGAGTCAAAGGAACTGTCACCAGTCAAAGGAGAAGGAGCAGTGTATAGGGAACCAGCAAGCAGGTCCTGAGGAGGAGGAGCAGTGTTGAAGGAGTCGACACCAGGTCCTGAGGAGGAGGAGCAGTGTTGAAGGAGTCGACACCAGGTCCTGAGGAGGAGGAGCAGTGTTGAAGGAGTCGACACCAGGTCCTGAGGAGGGGGAGCAGTGTTGAAGGAGTCAACACCACTCAGGAGGCACAAGGGTGCCAAACAAGCAGGATAGCAAGGAGGAGGAGCAGTGTTGAAAGAGTCGACACAGCTCAAGAGGCACAGGGGTGCCAAGCAAGCAGGAGAGGCCCCCTGAACAGTACTCAATGAAGAAGGTACTCTCTGGAGAGAGAGCAGGAGCAGCATCGCTGGCAATGCTGTGAAGAGGTATATAACCATGCTTTCTCATCATCAAAGGTCAAGTGGATCTTCATCCACTCTACACACATCATAACTAGTTATCACTTCAGCATAAGTATATATTAGTTTCAGTCAGCATAGCAGCAATCTATCAAGGTTGCTCCTCATTGTAGTGCATGTGTTGTATCACCACTACCTGATGTCCAAAGGTGACCCATAGCAGGTCAGTGGTCCAGATATAGATAGAACTGAAGGCAGTAGTCCACTGTGGTCTGGGGATCACCTCAAGCATCAGTCAACACACTGGACACTTGTGTTGATGCCACCAACCTTATCACCAACTCCACCAACCTTATCACCAACACCATCAACCTCATCATCATCAACACTCACACCAGACCTTGGTGTCATCATAACCTATGCATTGATATTGATCGTGCCAAGCTACCCCTGAACGGAGTGTCCACAGAGGTCAGCCGAAACCTATGATAGTATATACCCGAATGCCACCCATCGCGCAACTTGATAGTCGCCGAGCAACTAGCTCATCGAGACCGATACCGAGACAATAGCTGTCACACAGTTTGATAGTCACCGAGTATCTCGACAGACCGACCTGGGTTTCAGGCGCGAGACCCCTGACAGTCTCTTCTCCGCTTAGGTGAGCACGGCGAAGTCGTTCTTCTCGTTGGCCTTGCCTGGTGAGCTCGAGCTGGGCTTCCAATAGTGCTAGAAGCTGGTCGAGCTTATCGTTGAGGCCTTGGTCTGTCATCGTGATTGTGGGGTGCTGCTTGAACAATCCACTCTAATGTCAGCAGTCATGCACCTGAAACCTGAGATCAGTAGTAGTATCAGTACTATCACCGATTCTGTCAAGTTATGCAACAGCACTAATGGTATTATGATTCCTAGTGAAATATGTGACAGAACCGTCTCTGCTGCTTTTCTTGTTGGAATCTGTAGTTGTATTGATGTTATGACAGATTTCGACTGACCACTGTGGACACTCTGTCCAGAGGTAGCTCGGCACGATCAACTATGATATGACTCTAAGTGAACTTGATGTTGACACCAATGGTCTGGTGTGAGTATGGATTGATGACACTGACACGAGTGTCCAGTGTGTCGACTAATGCTTGAAGTGATCCCCAGACTGCAGTGGATGACTGCCTTCAGTTCTATTGATATCCGGACTGCTGGTTTGCTAGAACCACCTTCAGACATCAGGAAACAGTGATACAACACATGCACTTCGATGAGGAGCAATCTATTGATTGCAACTTATGCTGACTGAAAACTAATGAGTACTTATGTTTCTAAAGTATTGACTAGTTGTATGGTGAGTAGAGTGGATGGATCCACTCGACCATTCATGACAAGAAGGTATGCCTATATATCTCTTCGCAGCATCGCCAGTGACACTGCTCCTGCTCCCTCTCTCCAGCAAGTACCCTCTTCGTCGAGTACTGCACAGGGATCTCCAAGGAGGCACCTCCTCTGTATTGAACCTTGTCCCTTCTGTCTTTCCTGAGCTGTGTTGACTTCATTGACACTGCTCCTCCTCTTCATGTCCCTCTTGCTGGTGTCCTATACACAGCTCTCCTTCCTTTGACCAGTGACAGTTCTCTTCTACTCCTGTCCTGTGGGCCCCTGAGTGGTAACTGACTGCATGTCACTGAGCTCGGTCCCTCTCACATGTGAATTGTCGTACAGACCTCCTTACTACTGATCTCTGTGGAATCTGCCACATGATCTCGCTTACTGCAGATTCTGGTGGGATTTGTGATATCGATGATGCTCGTGCTGATTTCGCTGTGATCTGCCATAGAGCTGATTCTACTACTGATCTCAGTGAACTCTGTCACAGCTCCTACAATCTACCCGATTCCACAATTCCTGTGCTACCTTCATATGAACTTCGGTCTTTCCTCATTCTGCGCACCCAGGCCCATGACAGGGCTCACATGTAGCTGGTCCTCATGACTCCAGCCAACAGTGGTGAACAGCTCTGTGGAAGCAGAGTATGTAGCACTAGCTGGAGCTACTAGAGAACTACTGTGGACTTCAATGTTCCTATATGAGTTACAACAACCAACACCAAAGACAGCCAGGATCCATGTCAGTACTGGGATGTTGATCATTCACTCTCATAATGGTGAACTCACTTTTGATCAGAGTGTACCAGTCCTGTACAGTGATTCCTCAGGAGCCCAAGCTATCACAAGCAACCCCCAACACTTCAAGAGAATGAAGCACATTGACATCACCCACTTCTTCCTGTGTGATGAGGTTGCAAATTGGCAACTCACAATTGCCCCAGTCCAAAGCAGTGAGAATGTCGCTGACATCCTGACAAAGCTGCTTTCAGTGCCCACACTCATACACATATGGGAACTACTTGGATTGTCAATGATGAAGGAGTCTACTGGATCAAGAGGGGGTGTTGGAGATTACAATCAAGCAAGACACTGAAGGATGAGGTAAAATTGATCCAATTGGAGATCAGGCAGAGCTGATCCAAGTAGAGGACAGATCTGATCAGAGATTGAGGATAACCAATCTCACTAGAGATTGGGCACAACAAGGTCCTGCTCATTGTCATGGTAGATCATGAGATAGGAGTACTCCCACCTTCAGCATGTGCTGCTCACATGTATATATATCTCACAGAGAGTGCTAGGCTCTCACCATATTCCTTTAGTCAATTTAGTATATGTTTCTGCCATAACAAAGTAGTGACATCATACTTAGACTATCCCCAATCACCAGTATCAGGACCATAAAACTTCTTTACTTTCAACACAGGCAAGGTCCTATTTTCGCAGACTGAGAGAAGCAAGGAGAGCAACGCAGAAAACGATCGAAATCGCCTTCCATCTTGAAAATCCAAAACTCGCTCCTTTTTATGGCCTTTTTCGCGCACTTGCAAAATCAGGCAACTAGCTCGGCCTACAGTGCCTGAGAAGATGTCTCACTCGACCCAAATCAGCAGTAGTGCCTTAACTAGCCCCCGAAGCGCTTTCTTCCTCTACCCCGCCCATGTCCAAAAAAAAACAAACAACAACACCACCACAACCAAGCACAAACACAGAAGAAAGTACTTTGGGAGTAAGCAAAACGAGATTCAATACGATTATTGTGTACGATGCTTTGAGAGAAGAGAAGATGCGTCTGTGTTGAATCTGTCAAGAGGTGCGTGGGGTATCTAGCTTCACATGAAAGGACCAAAGGAAGAAACGACCTAAGCAAGGGAAAGAAGAGGAAAATTGCGATGCTGGACTAGCCAAGAGTATGTAGAGAATGTGTCATGTTACCAAAGTGGAGATCCGTCCGGATCGTCTCGAGGCTTGCCTACGAGGCCGTGACTGAAACTTGGTGACAAGTAGAGAAGGGGGGAGCAAGAGGAAAGATGCGATGCTGAGCAGCCAAGCTCCTGGCAGGGACAGCGAACTATGCCAAGTGAGAAGGCAATCATGATCTCCAGCAGTTATAGGGGTGGAGGTAAGGATCAGCTGCGGTAGCATGCCCGTGGTGAGCATGGTGAGCATGGTGAGCATGGTGAGCATGGTGACCAAAGGCTGGTGCTGCGGGCAACTTGTAAGCCACAGTGCAAGTAGGGCTGAGATCGGAAGCCTTAGGAGCAACACCATAGTAGCGAGCCTCTTCCCACTGAGCCGAGTCAAGATCCGAAGGCGGTGTGTCGGGTGTGGTGCGACCACTGATGGTGAATCGCGATGCGTAAGGCGAGGGTGTTGCCGAGGTGGCGTTGGAAGGCGCATACGACATGGAAGAGCATACCGACGAGGAAGAGATGGAAGCGGCAGGCGAGTTCGAGTAGTAGGAACGCTCGCCGTTGCAACTGCTCGACACGGACAACGAGAGGGGCAAGCTGTGGACTGGTGTCATGTAAGGACGACATCTCTCGCGAGCGTTGTTGATAAAGGGGTGGATGAAGCTCGGTGCAGTGGCACTGCGTTCCTGGCGGTGGCTGGCGCTCTTGACCATGAGTGTGGCGGTAGGGTTGCAACTGCTGGTGGCGAGGTGACCAGTCGAGGCCGAGGCGGCAACGACGGCAGGTGCGTAGCCAGAGATGCTTGCGCGCGAGTTGAACGAGTGCGAGACGCTCGACTGTCTCGAGTGTCGACCAGAGACAATGCGCTGAGGGCCGGCAAGCGAGTCGATGGATGGCGACGAGAAGTCCGAAGACACGAGTGCTGGTGTAGGAGGGGCAGAGGACTTGGTGCTCGAGACGCTCTCGGATCGCTCGCGATAGATATCCGAAGCACCAACGTCCATGCTGCTGCGACGAGACATGGACTCGAAGATCTTGCGGACGACGTGGTCGATGCGGCAACCGTCACAGTGCTGCTCGAGCTGGTAGGTGAACATATCGAGGTCTTCGGGAGAGACGTTGACCTTGTAGCCAAGATAGCCGAAGAGCTCGCGCTCCATCTGGTTGATCTCGCGCAAGCTAAAGAGACCCTGACCGACGATGGCCCAGGACTTGTTCGAATAGGTATCATCACAGCTGCTCTTGGATGCAATCATGAGAGCCGAGATGAAGAGACGGTGACCCGAAGAGCCACGCGCGGCAGGGAAGCGGATCTTGAGTCGCAACAAGAGGTACAATGCCTGGTAGGTGACGGCCTCGGGGAGACGAGTTCTGTAGAGAGCATAGGCGATGAACTCGGAAAGGCGAGGAGCAGTGTTGCGGTTGGAAGTCGGCGAGGATGCGGTAGCCGAGGTCGAGTCCAAGGGGCAAGCAAAGAGGTAGAGGATGAACCTCTCGCAAAGCTCCGAAGTTTCCCTGTAGCCATAGAATCGGTCCTGCTGTGCAGATCGGGACGAGGAAGGCTTGGTGGAAGAAGTGGAAGCCTTGGAAGCCTTGGCGGCGGCAGTGGAAGAAGACTGGGCGGTCATGTTGGACTGGTAGCCGTGAGCGGCAGTGTTGTAGTTGGAAGCTACTCTGACGGCCATGGTTGCTAGAAGGCTAGGAGGTGTTGTAGAAAGCGGAAGGGCTGGGTAGAAGGGGGGGGGGAATATCGCCTGGACAATCAAAGATGAACGTGGGTGATCAAGGCTGCTGTGCACATGAACGGTGGCGGGAGTTGTACTGTACTGTAAAGGTGGAAGGAGAAGAGATGCAGTTGATGAAGGCCAAAGGAGTCGGCTTGTATAGGAGGTAGTCGGAGTGGGGGGTTGAGATGCTTATTGCTGTGACGGGGGTGAGCTCGTGTCAAAAATGCTTTTGAAGGGTTGCCGGTCTTGAAGTTATGAAAGAGGCGGCTGCAAGAAGATGGGATCCGCTTTTTTATGCTCCGAGTCTAGAAAGTGAAAAAGGAGGGCGGCCAGGAACTGCAGAGTGAACACGTTGAGAGGTGGCCAAGGATGAGTTCTATTGTAGGGAAGATGAAGAAGAATGCTGATGCCCAAGTGGAATGTTGAGATGAGGTGAAGAATGGGTGATCCGTAGAGCCGAATGTGTGTGTGTGTGAGTGTGAGAGAGAGAGGCTGCTTTTGATGTATCAAGCTCCAAGGATGAGCGAGTGGGATGCAACGGGTGGGGGTGAAACCGAACAAAGCGTTGCTAGTGGGAAGGGGAGAGACGAAAGTAGTGCAAGTCACCTCGATAGAAGGGAGGAGGAGAGGTTGAGTACAAGTTGAAAGAGAGAAGGATGGGTGGGAAGGAGGAGGAGGATGAAGGAGGAGGAGGATGAAGGAGGAGGAGGATGAAGGAAGCAGGAAGAGGTGGAAGAGATATATTGCTTCTGGGCAACACGCTAACAAGGCTTGGACGGCCTCTATGGAGAAAAGCTCTATGGAGAAAAGGTGCACAGGAAGACAGGCTTGCGGTTTGGGGAGAAGAGCAAGACGAGTGGCATAAACTGGCGGCAACGGCGGGTCGCCACAGGTCACGGCAGTACAGGACACGACAAAGGAGAAAGGGGGAGAGATACAATAGCGGCAAGGAGGTCTTACCGGGACCTTGTCTTTTTCTGCAATTACAGTGCAATAGTGGTGATGCTCTTTCGACTGCCCCTTTTCAAGGTCACCGGCGGGGTCCTATCCAGATTCCAAGCTTGATCAAAGGGCATTCCAACTCGGGATCTTGTCAAGCGGCAAACCTGGCATTGAGCGGCGGAACAGTGTGTTGTCGCTTATTTATTTTTCTTATTTATTCAACTTTTTATTTTATTTTATTTTATTTTATTTTATTTTGGGTTTTCTTTTCCTCCTCACAAGTTGACTGCAATTCCGACTGTGAAGCCAGTTCCGAACAAGTTCACCGAAGGAGTTTCAAATTTCTCCAAGGCTGATATAGCACAGAAAACGAAATCGAATCTTTGTATGAATGAGAAAAGAAAAGAAAAGGGGGGGGGGGGAGGGAAAAAGAAAAAAGAAATGTGACAAAAGAAAGGGAAACTCGCATCCAACGTCCTATTTCGCCTGTTGACAGGCGGAGCTCAGCTGCCAAAAGTAGCGCCGCGCACAGGGCAACTGCATCCACGCCCGGCTCTCCACCAGAGAGAGCAACGAGGCCTCGTCAGAGTTGGAGGCTCTTTTTCGAATTATCACAAGGAATTGAAGAAAACTCGATTTATTTTATCGCTCAAAACACTTCAACGGCCAAGAGTGATTTGATTTGTCTTGCCCTCTTTAACAAACAAAAAGAGAGGTCTGAGACAGCGCTCTCGCTCACCCTCTCGCCGACACTTTCGCCTCTGAGCCTGTCCGAGAGGGTCAAGGCGCCGAGCAGAGAGAGTGCAAGTGAGCTATGGGCACGCCTTGGGCCTCACCCTTTTCTCCTTTCTCTCCCTTTCGCTTACCAATCTCCAGACTTGGCCGAGGGGGCCGAGGGCCGAGGGCCGAGGGCCGAGGGCCGAGGGAGCCGACTTGGCCTTGGCTTGAGGCACACGAGCCTCGACCTCTCAATACCCACCCCCAACAGGCCTGTCGATAGGAAAAAAGAGAGTCTAAAAGCGGCTCTAGCGGCTCTCATCCGATGCCAGCAAAGCTCTAAATTGGCAACCGAGCGGCTGAAAAGCAAAGGGGAAATCCTTGTTTTGGGCGCTAAAGCATCTTGCACGAGGTCCATTAGGATTTGATCAACCATATCGAAATGGCCTACAGAACAAGCGGCTGCCACCTGAGAACCAGATATCCAGAGCGAATGCCAGCAGCCATAAACCAGGAAATCGCCATTCGCCTCAAGCGGAGGTCGAGCACAGGTGCATGTGCGGGATCCTAGGGGAGCAGCAGCTGAGTTGCAAAACCAAACCAACCACACAGAGACAAACGCGCCCTTCTTGAGAGACTAGCCAGGCAGGGGTCTGCACCATGCATCGTTGTTGCACAGTGCCATAGCAACTTCATTGTTGCCTCCGCTCGTAAGCATGCTTCTTGGAGCGACTCGGAGGACAAGTTTGAACAACGATCAACCTCTCCAACTCCCTCTAACTTCCACTACCAAGATCGTCTTCAGAGCAAAGACCTAGCAGACTTTCTCTCCATAGCACTCAAAGCCAACAGTCTTGGTCAATAGCTTCCAAAAAGAGGCGAGCAGTATTCAACGCTCGTTTGCCTTGCTGTGTGCTCCCTTCGATGAGCGTTGCTCCTCTTGTTCTGACGTCAAGCAGGGCCACCTTTACAGATCGCTTCAGTAAGATCTAGCGCCCTCGCTTCCTGCCTGCTTGCTGCTCGTACAGCCTGGCCATGCAACACTAACTTTGCGCGTCTGTGCGATACTCTGTATCACTTAGCCGACAAAGCTAACCACACCCAATTCAAGCTCCATCGCCTTCTTGCACAACAAACAAGACTGCACTAGGCGCTTGTTGCATATACACCCTCCTCGACGCGTCGACCGCTTGCAATGGCATCTCAGTCGTCTTTGTCTTGGTCGAGCATCCTCTGACAGCCAATTGCTCAAACATCACCGAGTCGGCACCCGAAAGATGCCCTCTGCTGGATCCTCTTGCACCATCGACTCTACTCGTGATGCACCTCCACCGCCAAGCGCCAAGCGCCAAGCGCCAAGCGCCAAGCGCCAAGCGCCAAGCGCCAAGCGCCAAGCGACACGGCCCTTAGCGCCATCGCATCGCACTCACCCTTGAGGATCAAGCAATGCCGTGTCGCTGTGATGACTGGCCATGATACCCTTTGATGTTAGACTGAGGATGCGAGAGCATTGTTGCTAGAACAAGTGCAGCGCATTCAATGAGTGACGCTAGTGGCCAACGAAAAGATGAGAAGCGGAGAGGAAATTGCTCTTCGGCTTTGTAGGCCGTCATTGTCCCTTGGTGCATACCAAGACAAGCAAGAGAAAGAGAATTTGAAAGCCTTACGACTCCTTCTCATGCTCTTCTTGTATGCAAGGCACCCACCCACTCGTCAAAGGCTTCTTCTGACGTCCGAGTCTAGCGATTCTGAGCATTTCGCTTTACCCATCGGCACACAAGAAATCCATTTTTTCTTCCGGCCCTTTGATGGCAGACACACGATAGCGATCGAGCAACGCACTACAGTATCATCTTTGCGACGGCTTGATGTGGATGCAATCGCTTTGATGGTCGGACTTTGATATTGACGCTTGGTGTGGAGCCAGCTCAAAACAACAGTCATTGCGGGGTGCAGAGAAAGCAAGCTAAACAGAAGAAACGCTGGCTTGCTCGATTCGCAGTCTTCAGCTTGCAAACATCGCTGAGAGGTGTCGCCAGACGACTTTCCATTGGGCTCAATTCCAGCCAGCACTTGGACATGCAGCGAGAGCGTGAGCTAGTGTTAGTGGTGAGGGGCAATCAAGCTAAATTGGAGGTGCACATGCTTCCTGCATGACTTTGCATCGTATTGCAATGCCTCTCATCGTCAGGTGGGAGATTCTAAGCAGGTCCAGGCCGGATCACAGGGGTCCTATCGCTTCTTCTTGCCTCTCGGGACTTGGGATATAGGATTCATGTCGCAGAACGCGATAATGTCGGTTCCTTTGGCTGCTCCCTACGCATTGGCGAGTCAAGAAAGGTCTCTGTTGCACAAGTCGGCAGCGTCAAGTGTGCTTTCGGCCAAAGCCTTTTAATCCTCTGCCAGCATCACCCGCTCGCCGATCTCGTCGATTTGGATATTTCGATTCCAGCCGGAGAGCCACCTGAGTGGACACTTCAAAGTCCGATCGAGCTCGGCAAATATTGGCATGAACGCTCGTTGTTCAAGCGTCAAAGCCGTCAGCAACAGGAACAAGCTTGAAAGGCTGTCGACTACCAAGTCGCTTAGAGCAGAGCCTGGCTTGCTTTTCGTCAGGATTCATCTGACGTTGCAACAATGACGACGATCATGGAAGGGTTCTGATCAACGTGGTGCGGGAACGCGTTCGCTTCCGAGATCGCAGATCTTGCCTGAAAAAGAACTCCATCTCAACCACCAGACTGAGTGGTAATAGTTCTTCACCGTCAGCCGCAAAAGGAAAGAAGGCAGCCAGCCGACCAATCATGATCCGCATGCTCGAAGCGAAGCGGTGCAACAACCTTTGACCAGTTTGCATCCCAAGATGGAGGCTAAGCGAAATGCAAAAACAGTCGGTCGCAGCTCGCCTAGAGCAGCATGGAGGCCAAAATGACGCTCGATACTCAATACTCGTATTGCAAGCCTTTCCTTTCTTCTCCTTCCATTGGCCCTTTCATGGCTCACTCTTGCGTAGAGAAGGAATACTAAGCGAAGCCTCACTTGTGCTAGACGCGAGTTCGATTTTCAGCCCAAATGTTGCCCTTTTCTTTCCAGCTCTACGACGATCACAAGTGGCAGCGCAGATGCATCAGTAGCTTAGCAATGCGCGCTCTGGTCAGCATGAGCAGCATGAGGAAGCGACATGAGAAAGACTAAGCGAGTCGTTCTACGAACTGTTTCTAGGAGAACTATGCAGCTCGTCTAAAAAGAAGCCAATGTCGTCAACGGTCGCCATCCCGATCCGTCTCGCGACCATCTGTTTCCCATCTCTATCATCACATTGACCAACATCGGCAATATCTTGGTGTCTACCCGTGGTCAGCATGAAGCGATGCATGCACTGCTGGCCCCCACAAGCCGAAGCGAGAAGTTCATAAACATCGGTCAGTGAGGTTACGCACAGGGGCGCTCGCGAGCTTCAAGCCTAATTCTCTTTTGCATCTCTATCATTCTTTGTCGCCCAACTCTCATATCGACCATACGCCTTCTTTCTCAGAAAGAGCATGTGTGCACTCTGTCCAAACCCTAGCTCATCATGTCGACCATTCTTCTCTGTTCTGTGAAATTAGGCATCAGTTAAGCATTGGCGCCATAAATATACAACAATATCCGGGCGTGTTCCTTCTCCAAACAAGCCCGTGTCGGCCGGGTTGTCAAGGATACCGTTATACAGGATAGGGCGAGGATGGTGCTAACCTATCCTCAGAATAAGGATCGCCGATACAAAAGATCGCTCAAGTGCGGAGCAAAACGCTTATCATCCTGCTATCAACCCGATTGCCACAAATCCAACAACCGCTTGAATCTTTTCTTTCTTTCTACTTGTCTGTCGTCCATTTCCTATAACCCTATTACTTTGATTAGCATGGTGATCAAGAGAGATGATCGCGCTGCTGCTGATAGGGCTCCTCATTCTCGCCTGCGGCTCTGCTCCCATCTGGAAAATCGCTGGTCCGCGTCCGCTATGCAAGCTGCACGCAGTAGCCTCACCTTGACGCCAATCGATACGCGCCGGAACAAGTAGGGAAACATGTTCCTATTCCGACGGCGCTTGCACCGCACAAAGACTTTCTTGGGGCGTGGCAGAGTCACAATGGAGGCGTTCGAGCGCTACCTGGGTTCTGTCCTTGTGATGTCACTCAGCTCGGAATGCTGACCATGACCATCGTACAAGATGAGCATTCTAAGCTGCATCGGCAACTTCTCTCCGCACGCTAACCTCTATTTGCTTACTTTCATTGACGTCGAGTAGAACTAAAAGCGGCAACTAGCACCAACTGGCTCCGGTTGTTGAGCAAAAGCTTGAATCTGGCCAGGGAACGGTGTCAACCGAGTCAGATCGCCGTTGCCGGCCAATCTCGATCAGGCCGCGGTCTAGTCATGTGCCGCTCAGCGGCTCCGACATGTCAGGGGCTCAACCTACTTGAAGACGATCCAAGACGTTGCCAAGATAGTCTAAAGCTCTGACAGCAATGCCAAGGCTTACTAGTCAGGAGCATTGGTCTTCCCTTGGTTCTTGCGCTTTGTTCACGTGGGCTTAGCTACCGCAGCTGATCCGACCTGCTTGTAACACGGATCCGGGGCAATACTGGCGTCCCTAGCGCTGGCCAGGAGGCCTCATCAGAATGCCACGTGCTAACCGAGTGGCGATGGTGTGTCGCACCAGAAAGACCTCTTCACATTTCATCGTCAGACACGCAGCGGCTGTCTTTGTAGCTCTTGACTGCATTTCGCAATCAGGATACATAAGCATGCCAATAGGTGCACAAGGCGTTTGTTGTACCGCTGCTCCGACCGTAACAATGACAAGGTTGCCGAATGCAGGCACCGCCATCGTGAGAACAATGTGTCGAACAAAGGGCTCGAATTGCATCAACCCGTCGTGGCAAAGGGACCAGGAGCTCTACTGCGGCTCCAGCAAACAATGTCGTAGTTTTGCCAACACTGAGGTCATAGCACTTGACCAGGATTTCGGATCCCCTTATGTCTCGAATCCAGATGGACAAAGGAAACTGTGGAGGCAGGTTCATCAACCATTCTACGATCAGCGCCCCATTTTCAAGAATGATGTCCGAGTTCTGTCCGTCTAAAGCGCTAGGATATGCAGCAACGAGGTCCAAGCTCAATGGTGAGAGTCTAAGACAATGTTGGAAGCATGCATCCGCCAAAAAGAGCGACACATGGAGAACGTCACATGGAGAGCGACACATGGAGAGAGCGACACATGGAGAGAGCGACACATGGAGAGAGCGACACATGGAGAGAGCGACACATGGAGAGAGCGACACATGGAGAGCAATGGGATCTGCATCTCAGGCGGTGCTTGCGTGAGAAAGAGCAGATTAAGTGCTCCTCTTTCTTTGACACGTTCCTGGTTCGAGGCGGTACCCAGAAGCAGCTCTGACTCGGTCATGTTGAGTCTTGTTGGGAGATAGCGTGGGAAACGTGCATGAGCCTGTGAGAATACGACTGTCTTGAAAGCTGCTCTAACTCTCTTTGTCGATAGCTTTCGCACTCTGCACCCATCAGCACTTTCGTACCATCATGTCTGGGTATCTAAATGCACCAAATCAAGTTCGCAACTGCACCGCTCTTGGCCTAGCGCTTCACCCTTGTTGGCCCGAAGCAGGTTCCTGTTGACTTCTCTTATCCAGCCTTTGGCCACTTCCGGGGTTACAGAAGTCTCCAGAGAGAGCGCCTTGGATTTGGCACGAGGCATGATGATGGTGGTCACAAAGCACAGGCAACAAATTGACTCAGCACTGCAAAATGAAATGGTACAATGACGAGATCGATCTAGCACTACCACATGAGTGAAGGCGAAGAAGACCTCTCAATGCAGCTCCCCAATCACCTTGCCAACCTGCGGGCGCTGGCTTGAACTTTGTTTTGATTGCAAGAAAGGCAAAATGAAATGGTACAATGACGAGATTGATCTGGTGCAGTTGCCAACTTGGGTTGATGCATTTAGACACCCAGACATGATGGTACGAAAGTGCTGATGGGTGCAGAGTGCGAAAGCTATCGACAAAGAGAGTATGTACGCTTCAGCCCCGCCTTCACTTCGTTTACGGAGCATCACCAGGGCCTCTTGTCTGGTTGCATCATCAGCATGTACGACTGCTCCTTTGGCCAAGCAAGAAAGTCACCAGACTCCACCATTGTTCGAGCTTCCGACAAGTGCAAGCCTCTGACAGTTGTGGCAAAATAATTGAAAGGTCTCAGTGCCACAACATCAAGGTGTGGTCGCCAGAGCCGCCACCTGGTCTGCATTCTCAATACCCGATAGCAATCAAAACTCGGCCGCAAAGGGAGACACTCTCCAGCCAACTAGTGACGAGGCTCGAGTTGGAGCAGTGCATCGTTTTGGCATTCAGCAGGATATCTTGGGTTCTCAATCTGCTCTTAACATCTGCGGCCATAGAACCTTGAAAGCACCGCATCCCGTCCGATCTGCGAAGTTAAGCAAGGTATCGCCTAGTCAGTACTGCGGTGGGGGACCACGCGGGAATCCTAGGTGCTGCAGTTCTCTTTTTCTGCTTTTTCTTGCCTTTTTGCCCAATAACGTTACTGCACTCATTCTCCATTGGCAAGCTCTTCTCTACCTGCGAAGTGATGACATGGATAGGAAGCTGAGTATTACTGACTTGATTCTAAAGACAGACTACCTTCAGTCACGACGACATTGAAGCTGGCCCCGATTTCATGACTTTCACTGGCAACTACGCGATGACCGCATTTCCCTCGTTCAAACTGGTGGATCTTCATAAAGCGTAGCGCCCAAATGCCGACTTGTCTGAGATACTGCTGTCTGCGATACTGCTGTCTTCTGCCGGCTCTTCGAGTAGCCTTGTGTCGGTCGACATTCCAAGGTTGCAGTAAGCTACTAACTTAAGAGCTGAGTGCGGCAGGAGAAAGGCACATCTTGATCAACTTTCCTGAGCTTGAAGAGACCCTTTCCGTCGCGTCGCGTCGCGTCGCGTTACTCATTCGCCCTTCAAACGCGTTCGGAGACACTTTGAGAAGAAAGGCATCTCTCATCATCTTGATTTGCACTGATCACCATCACCATCACCATCACCATTCGATCTCTCTAGTCAAGCCATTATGATGATCGAACAACACGTTGATGGACTCTTGCGCCACATAGGCCTTCGAGTCGGCAAGTCTCATCCTTACACCCCGCTCAAGCAATAGACTCGAGAACCAACACTGACTTCAATCTGCTCTCTCATCTTTGGACGGCAATCACAGACCACGACTTGACTCCAGTCTCGGCATTGCTCATCGCTCTGGCCATCATTGGCTCTCTCAGCGTCGGTACGTTTGTTCTTCGTCTTGTCCAGCTCTTTGCCGACGTCTACGTGCTTCCTGGCAAATCGGTCTCCAAGTTCGGTGCCAACAAGAGCGACTTCTCCAAAGCCAGCTGGGCCGTTGTCACCGGTGCCACTGACGGTATTGGCCGCGAGTTTTCGCTTCAACTCGCCAAAAAAGGCTTCAACATCCTCCTCGTCTCCCGTAGCCCCGAGAAGCTCGGTGCGGTAGCCGCCGAGATCGAAGTCGCCAGCCCCGGCGTCAAGACGAAAACCCAGGCGATCGACTTTGCCCTTGGCGACGAACGTCAATACGAAGGTCTCCAACACACCCTCAAGGACCTCAACATCGGTGTACTCGTCAACAATGTCGGCAAATCGCACAACATGCCTGTCAACTTTGCCGAAACCGCCGAAGAGGAGATGGAGGACATTATCGAGATCAACGTTCTCTCCATCCTGCGTGTTTCCCGCATGATCATCCCCGCCATGGTTCAGCGCAAACGCGGTCTCGTCTTAAACCTCGGCTCATTTGCTGGTCAGGTGACCACTCCTATGCTTGCTACCTATGCTGGTTCAAAGGCTTTCTTGGCCGCATGGTCACAGGCTCTTGGTGAAGAGTTGAGGAGAAGCAACATTACCGTTAGCTTGCTCAACACTTACTTTGTCGTTTCCAACATGTCCAAGGTTCGCAAGTCGAGCGCTATGATTCCCACGCCCAGGCAGTACGTGAGCCAGGTTCTCAAGACGATTGGTAGGAACGGAGGCGCTGTGGGAAGACCTTATACTTCGACCCCTTGGCCTATGCATGCTATTGTTGATTGGGCGACGGCGTTTATTCTTCCTCGTGCCTGGCTTCTTAGCTACACTTACCGTACGTACTCTCGCCAATCGGCTGTCTATCTTTTTGTTCGGGCGCTCTACTGACTTGCATTTCGCCTGTTCCTATCTTGTCCAACTACAGACCAGCAAGCTGCTATCCGCAAGCGTGCTATCCGTAAAGCTGAAAAGGCTATCAAGTCTTCTTGATTACCTGATCGCTGTCGAATACATTAAAGTGCTCGGAATCGTCTTGACTTTGCCAGATGGTTTCTGCAAACCATCGTGCTTTTGTATCAACTCTGTAATCATGTCAACTATCAAATCAACATTGCTGCGAAGCTTCGGTCATCTCTGCTTGCTCAACCGATGGTAATTCTGAGCAGCTCTACACACAAGTCTCATGGACACAAGAGCGCTCAGAAAAGGCCCTTATCTCGAATGAGATGGTTGAGAGTTTGCGAAATGCTTGAAGTTGCAAAGAAACAAAAAAAAAGTTCCAAGAGCATATCTCAAGGAGTGCATCGACCAGTCCATCGAGGGTACAAAGAAGCCTCACGAACGGTCCAACGGTTGGTGAGCCATGCCAAGAAACGCTCTACACCAAGACCATAACCGCCGTGCTCGCAGGTACCGTACTTGCGCTGGTCAGTGTACCAGAAGTAAGGAGCGGCATCGATACCCTCATTCTTGTATGCCTCGAGCAACTCATGCTGATCAGCCATCCTCATAGAGCCACCGACAATCTCGCCGACACCAGGCATGAGAACGTCGACCGAGTCAGTGAACTCCTCGTCACCTTGGGTACGCTTCATGTAGAAAGACTTGATCTCGCGTGGGAAGCGGCAGAGGAAGATGGGAACGTTAAGTTCGTCGGTCATCTTTCGTTCGGCAGCCTCGGCAATGTCGTCGCCGATCTTGTGAGGTTCGCCGTCCTCGTTGGGGATGTTGTGTTGGTTGAGCCACTTGATGGCCTCCTTGTAGTCCATGCGACGGAAGGGTCGCGAGGGCATCTGGAAGTTGGGGTTGAGCTGGTCGAGCAATGCCTTGGTCTTGGGATCGCCAAGAACACGCGTGAGGGTACCGCAGATGAGATGCTCAAGGTGCTGGAGCAAGTCGTCAAAGGTGATAAAGGCAAGCTCACCTTCCAAGTGAGTGTACTCGGACAAGTGTCTACGCGTGTGCGACTTTTCGGCACGGAAAGACTCCTGAATGCAGAAGACGTCACCGAGGGATGGCAGACAGGTCTCGAGATAAAGCTGCGAACTCTGAGTCAAGTAAGCGGGCTGGCCGTAGTAGTCGAAGCTGAAAAGAGTCGAACCACCCTCGACCTGTGTTTGGACCATGCAGGGAGGAGTGACCTCGGTCATGCCTTGGGCATCGAACTCGGCACGGAAAGCCTTGAGCACCTCGGAACGGACCTTGAGTACGGCAGAAGCAGTTTCACCACGAATGACAAGGTGACGGCGGTCAGCCAAGCTGTTGGGATCAGCATTCTCGGCAACAACGTTGGTGTAAGCCTCGTCTCCACCGGGAGCCTTGCCGAGACACTTCCAGTAGTCGGCAACAAGCTCATGACCACCAGGAGCAGTCTTGCCTTCGGGAACAGCCTTGAGCTGACCCTGGATCTCGACAGTGGACTCGGTGGTGAGGGTGAGAGCATGGTAGGTAGTAGTGAGCTTGCCAGAGAGAACGACCTGCAGGTAGCCAGTACCGTCACGGAGGACGATGAAAGTCAAGTCCTTCTGGGACCGCAATCGGTGGACCCAACCGCAAACCTTGACACGCTGGTCACGGAAGTTGGCACCCTGGCTGATCTTGATCTTCTTAGCAGAGGACAAAGGCTCTTGGAGAACGACCTTCTTACTCTCCTCGAGACGCTTCTCGTCGTTGGCGGCCTTGTCCTGTTCCTTGGCAGCTTGCTCGCCAGCCTTCCCCTTCTTCTTGAGTGCAGTGGCATAGAGTTTGCTGACCTTCTTGGCGGCGGAAGCCGAGATGGGAGCGTAGCCGTCAGCGTCAACGCCATCCTCGCCAGGTGTCGCATCAGCCTTCTTGACAAAGAGGGATGCATCCGGACCCTTGGCAAGAAGAGCAGCTAATGGCGTGGCAAAGGGTGAGCTTTTGGAACCATCTGCAGACTCGTCCTTGCCCGCCTTCTCGTCAACGTAGACGGGAGTGCGGCCTCCATTGGCCTTCTTGTCCTTGTCGCCGGAGATGTGAAGAGCCTCTGCGGCCGAGGCGAAAGCGTCCTTGATTGCGGACATGGTCTGTATAGATTTGTTCTAGATGGTCGAATCTAGTGAAGGTATTCGATGGTTGATCCTTCTGAACGGTTATACGTTGTTCCTCGAGATGATGGGCCAAGGAAAGGATGGGCCAAGGAAAGGATGGTTAAGTTGGCAAGATAACAAGAGAATTCAAGGCAATGGACCGAGCTCAAAACGGCACGTGACCCCCAAAAAGAGGCGTGCGGGTCTGTGCTGTGCTGCTTTGGAACTTTGAGACAAATGACTCGCACGATCTGCGTCAACTGACAGCCTGCCTGCCTCCGACTTTGGGCTTCCCGATCCAGTCAAAAGAGAGCTTCTGCGGCAGATTCTTTGCCCGATTGTCTTTACCCGATTTCCTGTTCTGTATGGTGCTGAGCATTTTCTGTCACTGGAATCGAATCGGGCAGCCAACTGCTATTTTTTATCGAGATCAGAAAGATCAGACGCTCATGTTGAAATGTGAAGAAGTTTTGTCTCGATAACTGACGATCGGCAAGAGTCTGAGTACGATGTCACTACTGTTTTAGGGCAGAAACATATATACTCGATTGACTAAGAGAATGCGGTGAGAGCCTAGAGCTCCTAGCTTGATATATATACATCGTCGTGGCACATGCCGAATGTGGAAGTTGATGTACTTAATGATCTAGCCTGACAATGAGCGGGACTAGGTTGTACCCGATCTCTGGTGAGATCGGTCACTTGACCAGATCGGCTGTGCCTGATCCCCGATCAGATCGGCACTGCGTCACCCTTTAGCGTCACCCTTTAGCGTCTCACTGGATGGTAATCTTGAGCAGCTCATGTTGAAGTTTGAAGAAGTTTCAGTCCCGATACTGGAGATCGGGTAGAGTCTGAGTACGATGTCACTACTTCTTTTAAGGCAGAAACATATATACTCAATTGACTAAAAGAATGTGGCGAGAGCCTAGTGCTCTCTGTGTGATATATATACATGTAAGCGGTACATGCCGAGGGTGGGAGTACCCCTATCTAATGTTCTACTATGACAACGTGTGGGACTGTGTTGCACCCGATCTCTTGCGAGATCGGCTTGCCTCGATCTCTGATCTGATCGGTTGTCTCACTAGATCGGCCCTGCCCGATCTCCGATCTGACCTGCCCTGCGTCGTCCTCTGTCATCGCACTGGATCGTAATCTCCAACAGCTCAGTCCTCTCAATTCTTCCAAAGAAGACTTGGATTCTCTCTCTCAGCTTGTCTTGAGCGACTCTTCAGATGCTTTGCTTTGCTTTGTATATGAAGGTGTCAACATCCTCTCCGACAACAACTCCGCTTTCCTCGTCTACAGTCGTATGCTCGCCAAGAAGCGCAACCTCAAGGATTGGATACAGCGGGCTTCCTCCGAGCCACAACAGGAACCATACGACTCGGACGACGATCTCGCTCCTGCAAAGATGAGCGTCTCGGGCGACGAGCGAGATGCCGTCGATCCCATCCAGAGCTGGTCGCCATTTTCAGAGGCTGCTCAAATCCACCTCAATAGCACAAGCACACGAGAGCGCATCGACTTTCTTGAACGAGATGCTCTCAAGGCCGCCGAGTTGTCAGAGCTTCAACCCGTCCAAAGAGCAGAGCTTCTAACCATAATCCTTCGCACCTACGCCAAATACATCGACCGACAATCTCGACTTGCTTCCCTCAATGTCTTTTCCAAGCTCATTCAGTTCGACGAAGCTGCTGCTCCACCAGAGTCAAATGGCCCCGTAGCAAAGCATGCTCTTGCATGGCTCAAACGAGAGTCTGAGCGCATCTGCAAAATTTCACCGAATGCATCCTCCATCACCTCTCTTGCAACCATTGCAGCTCTGCACGCCTACGTCTGTGCCCTCTACTCCACACTCTGTGCTTGCCTCATATCAGCCGGTGACAACGCACCAAATCCAGCAGCCTTGCCAACATGGGAGTCCCTCGTTCAGGTCTTGGCTATGACCTACGATGCCATTCTCGCCGACACAGCTGGAAGGAAGAGCGTCAGAAAGAATGCTGTCACCCTCACAAGACGAACACTGCGAAATGCACACCCATGCCTTCCTCAACTCATGCGTACCATCTCTGCTATCTCCACTCCGGCTACTGCTCTGCGCTCTGCCTCCCTCCTCGGAGAAGCTGTTGGCGTCTGCGTAAGACTGCGAGCCGGTTCAGAGCAGGTCAAGGGTGCTCCCCATGGTATTGGCTGTGGATACGTCAAGGACGCCAAGAAGGAGATCCTCAACTTCTACAGCACTCAACTTGTCGCCTCCAAGACAGCTGTCCCTGATCATGCTCTCCGTGCGTTAGACGACTTTGTTGCGGACCAAGTCACGGAAGAAGATCTTGCATCGACACTTCGACCACAACTTCAAAAGATGCTGCTTCGCTCGCCTGAGGTCGCACTTCCCATCGCAACAAGACTCTTTGCTGCCGTCAAGGTCGACGTTGGCCCCCATGTCAAGCCTCTACTCGACCCTCTCTTTTCGGCTTCTCGATCCACCAATGCGGCTACCAGGTCAAAGGCATCCGACTTCTTCTCGGCCCTCTCCACTCGCATTCGTGACGATGACTCCGCCAAGGCTACCGTCGTTGACGAGCTCATCGCCCTCCTCAAGGGCGGCAAGGCAGCCACACCTGAAGCGCGAACTTCCGTCTACGTCATGCTTTCCTCTGTTGCGCCAGGCGAGGCGGCCAAGAGCTCCAACATCATTCAAGTTGTCTCGTCACTGCTTCCGAAAGAAGCACAAGAAGCCTCCATGCACGCAGCCCTCTCATGTATCACACATCACCTTCTCTGGCTCATCGCCGAGGCTGACACCGTGCCGCCTGCCGCTGTCTCTACTGCTCTTGCCAAGGAGATGCAGAACTCCAAAGTACCTATCAGGAAAGCTGTCTGCCTCGCCATCGGCGAGCTCTTCTGGTCCATGACCGACTCCAAGTCTGCAACAGCCGCCGTGCGCACCTTCTCCGAGTCGCTCCTCCCTGCTTTTGAGGCAAACCTCAAGAATGCTTCTACCAACCCACTCACCGCGCCCGGTGGTCCATTGGAAGGCTACATCGCAGCTGCTGTGCTGCAAGGTCGTCTCGCCAGCATCGGTTCCGACAAGATCAACAACGTCGTGCGCAAGAACGCTGCACTCGAGGGAATTCTCGTGGTTGATCCCAAGCCATCTTTCCTCCTCGCTGACAAGGTCTTCCGCAAGATTGCCACTCCCGAGGAAGAGACGTGGCTCTCACGTGCTTTGCAAGCTATTATCGCTCGCCGTTCTAAGGCTTTGGCTGCCGACAAAGCCGTACAGGTGCAGGTCGCTCTCGCTTTGATCCACCTTCTCTTCCATGCAACAGGACCCAACTCAAAGCGATCTGTCTTAGAGTTGGTGCAGGACCTTGCCCAAGTCGAGACCATCCTCACGCACCACATCATCACCTCTGGTATCTCGGCTTTCCTTCAGCAGCCACCAGCAACCGCCAGTGCCGCTACTTTGTCATCATCCAAGCCTAATGGAGCAGCCTCAACCGCATCTGCATCTAGCTCTGCAGCCGCTGCTGAGACCGAAGACGCAAAGCCATCTGCCGAGACTCGTGCACGCGATCTTCGCCGCCTGCTGTCTGCCGCTTCCACCTTCTCCGAAGAGCTTGACACCGAGGCGAGGAAGAAGGCCCTTGTCGACACGCTCCTCCTTGCACATCACACCGACCTGCTCGACCGCGACACCTCTTGCTTCATGGACCTTACCTTCAAGGCCAAGATCCTTCCCATTGACCTCATCACATCCAAGCAGCAGGACCTTATTTCCGTCGTGCGTGCTGCCCTTGATGACGAACGCATGCGAGAGGCTGGTTTCGCTGCTCAAACAACCCTCGTTCGTCTGGCACCGGACTCGGTCATGGCCGAGCTCGTCTCTCAGGTGGAGGCAGACACGCCTTTGGACGACCTGCATGCGCTCACACAGGATGAGTTGGGCATGTGGCGCACCGAGCCAGGCAGTCTTTACATTGACGTGCTTTCCAACTCCAATCAAGACTCGATCGACAAGAACAACAAGAATGCGAAGATGGAGCAGTGGGAGAAAGAGCTCCGTGCCGACATCGCAAAGAAGAAGGCGGCGCAGAACAAGACCCTCACCAAAGAGCAGAAGGATGCAGTTGACGCTCAGTCCAAGATCGAGGCACAAGCTCGTGCCAAGATTGAAGAAATCCGTTCTAGATATGTGCGCTGTCTCCGTACCGTTTCGTCGATCGTCGGTGCACGCACAGAGGAGATTGAGGGCTACATGCAAACGCTTGTTAACTTTGTTCTGCGCACATTCGAGGTACCACAAGCCCGCCTCTTGTTCGAGAAGGAGGTGAAGGAGGCATTCTGGGCCCTGTCGAGCTGCTGCTCGATCCGCCTCGAGGCCTATTCGATGTTTGTTGGCGTTGCTTTGTTGCGAACGATCGACGAGGAGTTGGTCCAGGAAGACTTCCGGGTCGAACCCATCAACGAGCTCGTGCTGCGCATCCTCTACCGACTCCGCTCCTTGTCGGAGCAGTCGCCGCTGGATGCAGGCACTGTTGCTTTCATCGACCCTTTGATTGTGCGCATCGTTCGTGCCGGTGGGTTCGGCGTGGATCCTGAAGACACCGACTCGGTGCTCGAGCAGATTCAGCTTTCGCTCGACTTCATCGATTTCCACGGCTCTGCCTGTGATGACATGCGATACCCTCGCTCCTCGTTCATCGACAGCCTGGTCACTATCGTCGCTAAGCACACACAGATATCTAAGGATGCCGTCTCGGCTCTGCGTGACATCGGTGAGGCACTCAGAACAACTGCCTTGCCTGCCGAGATCCAAAAGCTGCTCTCCAACACCATGGTGGATGAAGTCTACGTGCGTAATGGCTGTCTGCAGGCCATCCAGCCACTCGATCTTACCGACCTCGAGTTCCCCGTCGAGCTCTGGCTTGCATGCCACGACCAAGACGAGGAGAACGCGCGACTTGCCGAGAAAGCTTGGGAGGAGAACGGCTTGGACGTGCCAGAGTCGTTTGCCGATCCTTTGATTGCGCTGCTTGAGCACAAGAACGCTTACGTCCGTGACAGCTGCGCCCCTGCTCTCGCTGCAGCTACCGAGCAGCACCCAGAGCAGGTCTCTTCGGTCGTTGGAAAGCTCTGCAGCTTGTACAAGCAAAGGAACAAGGTGCTCGCTCCCGAGTACGACCGCTTTGGTATGGTCATCGAATCGACCAAGAATCGACAGGACCCATGGCAGACACGTGCTGCTGTTGCTGTGGCACTTCGTCACTTGGCTCCTTACTTGCAGGGTTCCGATGTGCCATCGTTCTTCGAGTTCATGATCGATGGTCAGGCGCTTGGAGATCGCAGCGAAGAGGTGCGACCTAGCATGCTCGAAGCTGCTACCGCTGTGATCGACTTGCACGGCAAGGAGCATCTCACCAAACTCATCACCATGTTCGAGGCCTTCTTCAGCAACTCAAGCGGATCGACCGCTGACGATGGCATCACTGAAGCTGTCGTCATTCTGCTTGGTCGCGAAGCTCGCCATCTCGACCCTAAGGACCCTCGTGTCAGCAAAGTCGTCGACCGTCTCATCGATGCTCTCAAGACTCCTTCCGAGCTGGTTCAGTCTGCTGTTGCGGACTGTCTGCCTCCACTTGTGCGGGCCATCAGCAAAGATGTGCCACGCCTCTTCGATTCCCTCTTCAAGGAGCTCTTTGATGGTGCCAAGTATGCTGGACGCCGTGGTGCCGCCTATGGTCTTGCTGGTCTCGTCATGGGTCGGGGTATCGGTAGTATCAAGGAGTTCCATGTGATGGGAAAGCTTGCTGAAGCCTTCGAGGACGCAAAGAACCCCACTCGCCGTCAGGGTGTCATGTTCGCCTATGAGACGTTGACACTCACGCTCAAGCGTCTCTTCGAGCCTTACATCATCAGTATCTTGCCGCACATGCTTGCTGGATTCGGTGATGTATCAAGCGACATTCGGGAGGCGACACAGGACGCAGCCAAGGCGATCATGCAAAACGTCTCTGGTCACTGTGTCAAGATCATCCTCCCGACATTGCTCTCTGGTCTTGATGAGAAGCAATGGAGGACCAAGAAGGGTGCCATCGAGCTGCTTGGTGCTATGGCATACTGTGCTCCCAAGCAGCTTTCGCTCTCACTGCCGACCGTCATTCCTCGACTGAGCGAGGTGCTGACTGACTCTCACACTCAGGTCCGCACCGCGGCCAACAAGAGTCTGAAGCAGTTCGGCGAGGTCATCAACAACCCAGAAATCAAGCAGCTGGTACCAGTGCTGCTCAAGGCGCTCATCGATCCCAACACCAAGACAGGTGCGGCTCTAAAGGGCGTTCTGGAGACGAGCTTCGTTCACTACATCGACTCTCCCTCGCTCGCCCTTGTCATCCCCATCATCGACCGTGGTCTCAAGGAGCGCAGTGCTACCATTCAGAAGGATGCTGCCCGGATCGTCGGCAACTTGGCTGGTCTTACCGACTCGAAAGACTTCGTGCCTTACTTGGGCAAGCTCATCCCCATGGTACGATTGGTCCTCATCTCACCGGTTCCCGAAGCACGAGCTGTGGCTGCCAAGGCGCTTGGTACTTTGGTCGAGCGTCTCGGGGAAGTGCACTTTGTCGATTTGGTCCCCTCGCTTCTTGCCGTTCTGCGATCCGAGGCTACTGGTGTCGACCGACAGGGTGCCGCTCAGGGTCTTGCCGAAGTGTTAGCAGGTCTCGGTATGGAGCGCATGGAGAACTTGCTACCAGAGATCATCAACAGTGCCTCCGACCCCAAGCCGTACGTTCGAGAAGGTCACATCTCTTTGCTCATCTACCTGCCCGCAACGTTCGGTCACCGGTTCGCTCCTCACTTGGGTCGCATCATTCCTCCCATCCTGAGTGGTATTGCGGACGAGGCGGAGACGGTGCGCGAGGCATCGATGCGTGCTGGTCGCATGATCATCGCCAACTACTCGTCCAAGGCTGTCGACTTGCTGTTGCCGCACCTCGAGACTGGTCTCTTCGACGAAACGTGGCGTATCCGAATGTCGTCGTTGCAACTCACTGCCGATCTTCTCTTCCGTCTGTCCGGTATTTCGGGCAAGAACGAGGTGGAAGAGGAAGGCATCGAAGAGGAAATGGAGCAGTCGGTCGCCAACAACTCGGTACAGCGTGCTCTCATCGAGGCTCTCGGTCAGGAGCGACGCGATCGCATCTTGGCTTCGATCTACATCGTTCGACAGGATCCCAACATTCCTGTGCGCCAAGCTGCGATTCACACATGGAAGGCATTGGTGCACAACACTCCCCGAACTGCACGAGAGGTGTTGCCTACGATGCTTGACATTCTCATCAAGTCGCTTGCATCCAACGGCGACGAGAATCGCGAGATGGCCGCCAGGACACTGGGAGAACTGGTCAAGAAGCTCGGCGAAAAGATCTTGCGCGAGACCATCCCAATCCTGCGTATGCGTGGTGCCACTTCGGAAGATGCCAAGACTCGATCGGGTGTCTGCTACGCTGTCACCGAGATCTTGGCCAACTCGACCAAGGGTCAGCTGGAAGACCACGAGGATGCCATTATTGCGGTGGTGCGTCACGCGCTTGTCGACGAATCCCAGTCTGTGCGACATGCGGCTGCTCAGGCGTTCGATGCTACACAGACCTACATCGGACCTCGTGCTATTGACGAGACGATCCCAACACTGCTCGAGGCGCTTTCGGACACAAGCGGTGGTACTTCGGAGACAGCCTTGGCTGCATTGCGCGAGGTCATGCGTGCTCGTTCGGACGTCGTATTCCCTGTCTTGGTGCCAACGCTCATTGCTCAGCCCATCACTTCGTTCAACGCCCGCGCGTTGGCAGTGTTGGTGCGTGTCGCAGGCTCTGCACTCAACCGTCGTCTCTCCAGCATCCTCAATGCCCTCTCGAAAGCTCTCGACACGGAGAAGGACGAGACGATTCATGCCGATCTGCAAGCTGCCGTCGAGGCGCTGCTTGGCTCCGTCTCAGATGTTGACGGTCTGCACCAGACCATGCTTCTGTTGCTCGGATGGGCAGGGTCCAACACTTGGCCTCAGCAGCGCGTTGCCGGATGTGGCTTCTTCAAGGTTTTCTGCCAGGTCAAGAAGCCGTCGGTCGATGTTTGGGACTATCTTGTCGACTGGTTGCGCAAGCTCGTCTCGCTGCTCGACGACCCCGTGGCCGACGTAGTTGATGCGGCATGGGAAGCCTTGGATGCATGCCTCAAGACGGTTGGCAAGGACGAGTTGGAAGGACTCGTGGTTCCCTTGCGTCGCAGCTTGGAAAACACAGGTGCTCCAGGTCGCAAGCTCGCTGGTCTTTGCCGACCCAGAGGTGCTTCGCCCTTGGTGCCAGTGTTCCTTGCTGGTCTCATGAACGGCACTCCCGATCAAAGACAGAATGGTGCATTGGGGCTTTCGGACATTGTGGAGCGTACTCCAGCAGACGTGGTCAAGCCGTTTGTCACCTCGATGATCGGTCCTCTCATCCGACTGTGTGGCGATCGTCACCCTGCTCCCGTCAAGGCTGCTATTCTTACCAGTTTGGACACGATGGTTCGACGTATTCCTGCGCTTGTACGACCTTTCTATCCTCAGCTGCAGCGTTCGTACCAGAAGGCGGTTTCGGATGGCTCGAGCGCAACTGTGCGCTCCAAGGCCGGTGTAGCACTCGGAAACTTGATGGGTCTACAAACTCGTGTTGATCCGGTGATCGTAGAGCTCGTCCAAGGCGCACGCGCGGGTCTGGGCGAAAGCAGTGGAGGAAATGCCGCAGCCAGTGCTGGTCTTGCCGGTGCTGCTGCAGGTGGTGCTACTGACCCTGCTGAACTCGCCGACTCGTTTGCCCTCGCTCTTGCTCACGTGCTTTCCAACGCTCCAGCCAAGAACGTCGGCCAAGGGAGCCGCGATCAGGTGCTCGCTCTCATCGACGCCACCTTTGATGCTCGCAATGCTATCAAGGATGCTTTCCGTCAAGGTATGGCTGAAGTTGTAGCTTCGCTGATCAAGCTGGATGCTGACATGGCAACGAGTGTTTTGCAGAAGCACGTTGTGGGTGGTGGATCAGACGATGTTGCGTTGCAGTCTCAGATTGTACGTGCTTGTCTTGAGAAGGATGCAGTGGCATTGCACGACTTGGAGATTGCAGATGAACTGGTGAAGGCGGTCATGTCATGGATCAGCCAAGGTTCGGCCATTTCAAGACCAGCTAAAGAGTCAAGAGACCTTATTAGGGATTCAGATGCTTGGAAGAAGGAAGCTAAGGCTGCGGATTGGATCTGATCCATCCATTCATTCATTCATTCATTCATTCATCAATCACATGTCGGAGTACTTTCAGTGCAGACTTCGGCTACGATCAAAAGTGTACAAACGATTCCTATAAGATCCTGCGTGCGTATATCATGCTATAAAGTTTGAGATGATGGTTAGGTGGTTCTATCGTCCGCAGAAGTGAGATTTGCTCGGACGGGAAAGATTTAGGCTGAGGATCCTAGTGTTCTCGGCTTGATATATATACATCTATGAGGTGCATGCCGAATGTGGGAGTATCCTTCTTCATGATCTAGCTTGACAACGAGCAGGACTGTGTTGTACCCGATCTCTGGACAGATCGGCTCGGTCAGATCTCCGATCAGGCTTATGTCAGCTTTCATCATCATGTTGGATCGCTTCCTTCGGCAAGGATACGACGTCATTATGGCTGCGGAAAAAGGCAATTTTCGAGAACTCTCGCGTGGGCGAAGAAAAAGAACGCCGCGAATCGAGAGAGAGCTCGAGAGCCTTTGTGGAGGGCTGATGAGAAGAATTCACAGGCAGCAGACGGCGTTGTGAAAATCAATCCGGTCTTTCGGTTTTGGAAGGAGCCGGAGAGGCAACTTGACCAGACTTGCATCCAATCCATCCCTCCAGTTTGTTTTGTGTGTGCAAACCATCTCAGCCAGAAACTCGAAAGCAGAGCTGTTGCTAATGAGGGAAGGGAAGCAGGGAAGATTGATGATCAGGGTAAGGAGATGCGAGAGACAGAGGCGTGGAAGGGCCAAGAGGGCAAAAAGCAAAAAAGCGGAGAATCGAGACCGTTTCGCTTCGCTGCCTTCTGCTCCACAACCCTTTTCTGTGCCGCTTTTGGGCGCCTGTGTGAGGGTGAGCAACCTGAGAATGAACCAAGCACATCCATTCATTACTCACAGCCACCATCCCCAAGCCTTAAGGACACGAGGGCCCGCAAGGATCAACTCGCAAGGATCAACTCGCAAGGATTAACTCGCAAGGATCAACTCACAAGGCTTCAAGTAGCTGGAATCACCAGAACATCCCCCAGCTGGAATCGCAATCTCGCTTCAACAGACCGCCTTCCACTATCTGTTCACACAAGGAGCGAGTCAAGAGGCATTGACAGACTCGATAGTATTCACAACCAACTCGAAATCTTCCGTAGGCCTCACGCTCACAACAGCATATCACCATGGCGCAGAGTCAACTGGTAAGTACCACCTTTTCCAAGTGAGACGAAAGTCAAGCTAACGCTAACATCTTACCTCACAATTTTGATCTTGACAGCCACCGTTCGCACAAGCCACAGCTGGCGCCCTCGGCTCGATCACATCCAACACTCTCATCTACCCTCTCGATCTCCTCTCCACACGATGCCAAACCCAGTCTCGTGGCCGAGACGGTAAAGGAGGCTACCAATCCATCAGCGCTGCTCTCAAAGAGATCGTCGATCAAAACGGCATCAAAGGACTCTACCAAGGTCTTGCCTCTGACACGCTCTCCAATACCTTATCCAACTTTCTCTTCTTCTACTTCCGTTCGTTCTTCATGGAATCCGTCGTCGAGCGGAAGAAGGCCAAATTGCCACCACCACCGCCTGGCGCCAAAGGAAAAGGAAAATCTGGATCGATGGTCATCACTGCTGCTGAAGACCTTGCTATCGGAGCCCTGGCAGGTGTCGTCTCGCGCTTCTTCACTACTCCACTGTCTAATGTCACGGTGAGGATGCAGACTTCAGCCAACCCCAAGCCGAAGCCCAAGGAAGGGTTGGAGGCGGTGCAGAAGAGGAAAGAGGCAAGTGAAGTACAGCCTAGTTCAGACAGTGAATCGGACGATGAAGGAGGTTATGCGGAACCAGCGGGGATTGTGGATGTGTTGAGGCAGATCATCGCTGAAAAGGGATGGTTAGGGTTGTGGTCAGGATTTGAAACAGCGGCCATGTTGAGTATTTCGCCTGCTCTGACGTTTTATAGCACCAATGCGATATCGACGCTGCTGATTCCGAAGGACAGGAGAGAGAAACCATCTTTGTTGCAAACCTTCTTGACTTCGGCGATCGGAAACAGTATCTCGACTATCATTGTCTTCCCTCTGATCCTCTGCAAGACTAGGCTGCAGTGGAGAAGTCCGACAGGTAGGAAGATGTATAGGAACTTGCTGGACGTTTTGAGCAAGACGATCAAGAGAGGAGGACTGAAGGGTTTGTACCAAGGATTAGACTCGCAATTGATTAAAGGCTTGTTCAGTTTCGGTACTACTATGGTAAGTGCGACACTACACCACCCAGTCGAGCGTGACAGTTGCGTGAAGAAGCAAGGATCAACTGACATCTCTTCTGGTACTGTCATTGCTTGTGCACAGATGGTGAAAGCAAGAATCGAGACACTGTTCGTGATGCTGTACTTTGCGATCCGCAATCGTCGTGCTGAATTGGCTTGAATGGCTTTTGTCTTTGGATCTATCATTGTCTTTCGCCCTTGCCATGCTTGTATCAAGGGCCATGGTTGTCATCCTTATCGCCCGACAACTAGAAGATGATGAGAAAATGTGAACAAGTATAGTCCCGATAACTGGTGATCGGGGCGAGTCTGAGCACAATGTCAATGCTGTTTTTAGACAGAAACGTGTATACTCAATTGACTGAAGAGAGAGAATGTGGCGGGAGCCTCAAGCTCCCCGCTAGATATATATATACAAATGTGCGGCACATGCCTGAGGTGGGAGCACTGCTATCTCATGATCCATCTTGACAACGAGCGGGACTGTGTTGTACCCGATCTCTGTGCAGATCTGGCCCCCATGTCCCGATTACGTTTATGTCAGCACGTATCATCATATTGGATCGCATCCTTCGGCAGATGATTGCTGAGGAAATTGTGCTGGCTGTGAGAGCTGCCAAATGTACATCACGTGGTTTGGTTTGGAAAAAGATGACGAAATGCTGCTTCTCTGTGCCTGTCAACGGAACTTTTTAAGAGCGTCCGTGCACGATGCACGCCTCCACGCTGCTGTAGTTAAGTCGCTTCTCAACATCAGTCACTGCCTGTGCCTCTTGTCTGAACCTTGCTTGTAGCCTCCATCATCTCGCTCTCCTCCCTCTCTTGGCCAAAGGAAAGGCAAGATGAACGGCATCAAGAAAGACAGACCCGCTTCCACCTCGTGGTCGGGTGGGCCGAATATACTGCCTAAGCCATCTTCTGGAGCAACTGGCACAGTCGGAGCAGCCGCTGAAAAAGCACGTGCTCCGATTCAAGGCGCTCAAGAACTCGCCACTTTGGCTCGTCAGGCCACAGGATCGGGTCAAACCGGATATCCCATCCCTCAATCTCAGCCAGACACGCAAATCGCAGACTACGTGCTCGTATTCCAGCACATTTCTCGCAAACATCTCCGCTCCTCCACCAAGGTTGCCGCCTCCGAACGGACCCGAATCGGAACCGAATACGACCAACTCGTCTCCCGTATCCGATCCACCGGTCTCCGAGTGACCAGTCGAGAAGGAGCAAAAGGTTCAGGTCAGATCTTGATCTTTGTCAAAGCAGACCTCCAGCTCTTGCATAGGCTGGCAAGGCAGGAGGCATTGTCGGATTACTTGCATGGCGTGCTCTCCGTTCAACCTCCTCCTCCTCGTTCTTCTAGTCTCGATCCAGGCCACAAGAAGGATGTTTCCGGTTTGCATTTGACTCCAGCGTCAAGGTTGAGGTTGGTCGACTCTTTGTTGACTCTGCCTAGCATTGCTTCTCATGCGGTGCAGAGTGCGTCTGGTAAAGCACAAGTCCCATCGGGTGCAGGCTTGCGCTTGGGCAGTTCTGAATTCCCTCATCTGCTGGATATGTCTGCTATTCACGATCCGGCTTACAACTCTGCATGGATGCAAAGATGGGCTCATATTTCACCTGCAAAGATTCTAACCGGTGTTGGACTGGAAGACCTAGACTCGATCCGAGAACACTTTGGCGAAGACGTAGCTCTATATTTTGCATTCCTCAACTCTTACTTCCAAGCTCTAGCCCCCGCTTCCTTGTTGGCTGCCTCCTTCTGGTTGCTCGGACGAAACTTCTCCCCCGTCTACAGCTTTGGCTTGGTCATTTGGAGTTGTCTTTTTGTCGAACTATGGAGGATGAAGGAGCGTAAACTTGCCGTCAGATGGGGAACCCTCGGCGTCAACACCGTTGATCGTCGTCGACATGACTTTGTCCCTCGCATCACCCGCACAGACCCCGCCACCGAGGAGCCCGAGGAAGTCTTTGAATGGTGGAGACGCGAACTCCGGGTCATCCTCTCCCTTCCCGTAGTTGCACTCTTCGCCTCTCTTCTCGCCGCGACAATGACTTTGATGTTTGTAGTCGAGATCTTTGTGACACAGCTCTACCACGGATCGCTTAAGTTCGCTGTTCCTTTTATTCCAACAGCCTTGTTGGTGGTGGCGGTACCGCAGATTATGGCCGCTTGGCAAGCAACGGCGGTGGCGATTACCAAATGGGAGAACCACTACAGCGCCAAATCCTACGACTACTCTCTTACTCTCAAACGCTTTGCTATGCAGGCCATTACCGCTTACGGTGCCTTAACCCTTTCAGCATACGTATACATTCCCTTTGGAGAGGCCATCATGCAGACTATGGTCCAACGCGGCTTTTTCAAACATTCCATCCAAGAAGCGATCAGGCAGGGTAAGATGGCCGACAAAGGTATCGATTTCCACATCAACCCCAACCGTATGCACACGCAATTATTTGCGGTTAGTGTTACCAGTCAGTTCCTCAACGCCTTTACTGAACTTGCTCTCCCAATGCTCATGCGCAAGGTTGCCGAATGGAGAGAGGAACGAGCTGCAAAGAACGAGAGTGGGCCTTCGATTCCTCAACGACAAGACTCAGCGTCTTCTTCCGGAAGTGCTACACCAGTGGAAGGGGTAGAAGAATCAGAGAAGCAATTCCTCTCCCGCGTTAGGAAGGAACTCGCATTACCACCCTACGACCTCTTCGGGGACTACGCAGAGATGGCAACACAATTCGGCTACATCACTCTCTGGTCCACCGTATGGCCTCTTTCCCCCGTCATGGGTTTCGTGAACAACTTCTTCGAACTTCGTTCCGACGCCGCCAAGATCTCCCTCAACACCCGCCGCCCTGTCCCTGTACGAGCGGAAACCATCGGACCCTGGCTCGAAACGTTGGGCTTCATTGCTTGGCTTAGCGCCCTCAACAACGCAGCACTCGTCTACCTCTTCCAGCAAAGCGAACATGCGCATTTGGACGGTCATTCCAAATACGAAACTTCCATGCGAACTCATCTTCATCCCACAAACCTCACTGTGGCACCGCCGGCAGCGGGATCTCAATCGATGTTCAGCTTTTCGAGGTTGTTGCCAAGGAATATTCCAACTTCCGGTCCGGCGGGGGCGATTGTTGCAGCTGTGTTGGTGGCCTTGTTGGCCGAGCATGTTTATGGATTGGTTAGGACATTGGTTCGACATATTTTGGAAAGGTTGGTATGGAGGGGAAGTAACGAGGAAATGTTGGTGAGGAGGAGAGAGTGGGTCTTGAGGGTTGAGACGTTGAAGAGTCATGCTGACGCCGAAGGGGTGGAGGAGAAGGTTAGGGAGCAGTTGAGCGTGGCGCAGGGAGAAGAGGAAGCATTTTGGAGTACAGAGAGAGATGTTGGTGCTAGTGCGATTAGAGATAGTGGTAAGACTGAGTAAGACCCTGCCCGATTTAGCAAACCTTGAACCAACTTCGATGTCAGAGTGTCTAATTCTGTTCGAACACACTTGTCTTGTCTTCACATCGTAGTCAATCGGAATCTTTGCAACATGGCGACGTCGGTGTGTGCTGGGTGTGTGCTGGGGGTTTTCTGCGACGAGACGATCTTCACTTTCATCGACCAGTGCGAAGATTCATGAAACATGAGCATGATGGGCTTTTCAATGATTCATTCGACCTTCTCGAGTGTGAGTGGAGCGGTTGATGTGTTGATACTGATACAAGTTCGTCTTCAATTGCGTCCTCAAGCTTTGCTCTACTGCCCGCGGCCACGCCCTCCTCGTCCACCACCTCTCCCTCCCCTCTCACCACCATGCCCACCTCGTCCACCACCACCATGCCCACCTCTACCATACCCTCCCCTACCTTGCCCACCACCACCTCCGCCCCTGTTGCTACCCAACGAAACACCCCCGCTCAATCCACCACCACCTTGTCTCTGCTTCCTGGCTACTTCTTCTTGCTCTTTTACCTGGTCAATGACTGAGTCTGCTACCCGACAGTATTTGATCTGTACACCCAACACATCACAACATTGGAAATGAGAGAAGTTAGTCGAGTGGATAGAAAGGAGAAAGAGAGGGTGGAGGGGATACCTACGGTGCTTCCTCGAATATAACATTCTTTTTGCTTCCAGAACTGTTCGCCGCTCTGCAAATCCACACCCACAGAAAGAAGAATATGATGTTAGTGTAAGAAAGCTCGAGGGGGAAGTGGAGGGGAGGGTGGCGAGGGGAATGAGACGTACAGCACTAGTTTCATACACCTCTCTGAGGGTGAGGTTCATAAAGTTGTCGCATGCTACGAGATGTCCGTTGAATGTTGATCCATTTTTGAGTTCGACAAGCTTCAATATCGAGGTGTGCGAGGAGGAAGGTGTGCATGTGTGGTGCATTGAAGCGATCGCCACGAGTCGAGAGACGTAGTCAGTAAGGCTGCATCGATGGATTGAGAGTAGAGTACCGAAGTCAAGAGGGGCGTACCATGGGCTTGTTCTGTGCTGCGTTTAGCAGCGATAGAGGCAACTGTTCAGCGAAGAAGGTGAGGCAGAGCGAAAAGCAAAGTCAAGGGTCAGATACAACACATGGGCTTGGCATTTCGAGTTGACGCTTTGGATAGCGCGCTTACCATTGTTTAAGTCTATAGCTGGTTCTGGTGCTGTGATCGGTATGTGTTCTGCGTGGATTGGAGGTTGACGAGTATACCGGGCTCAGTCAATTGCGGATTGACAGGAATCCAGTGGACGGTGCGAGAATGCGCTGTTGCGTGCTGCGTACAAAGCCTGGAGCGCAGTTTGTGCTGCTGTGATGTTGGTCCTCCGAAGTCGTTGCTGTTGCTGCTTGTCGAAGAAGGATGAGAACAAGGTCACGAATGAACGAAAGCGCGATGTGGATAGTGGTTTGTGCTTTCGCAACCAACTCCACCTTCTCAGCCCAACTTCCCGATCTCCCTCCTCCCGAGCTTCATCTTCCCGATTCCGATCCCGATTCCGATCCCGATTTCATTCTCTAGATCCCGATGAATTTTTCAAAAGAGCTGAGTCGCATGACAGGTTTCCTTACTTCTTCCATAACCACACTTTGTCTTCTCCTTCCACACATCCACTGCCATCGTTCACCCTTTCATTCCTTCCACCTAGCTCGCCACGATGTCGGCATTTCGTAACATAGACGTAAAATCACCACACATACAAGAACTTCAACAAACCATCCAAGTCGAGCTCGCAAATCGCGGGTACTCTTCCGAAGATGACCCGGTCATGGCAGAATACATCGTGGTGATGCTAGCGAATCAAAAGACAGCAGATCAGATTACGGCAGAGTTGCAGGATCTGGTAGGCGGGGAATATGATGCGAGCTTTACCGGCTGGGTTTGGGATGCTACGCAGCAGTGTTTGGATAATAGTGATGCAGCGCAGGTGCAGCAGGAAGGTGAGGCGAGTGGTAGTGCTGCTCCTGCTGCTGCTACACCAGTGGTACGAGGCGCAAGGAGTACAAGGCAGAGGAGGAGTAGGTCTCCACCATCGACTAGAGCAGCCGGGCGAGGTGGTAGAGAGGAGGAGAGGACAAGCAGGTCACCAACTGCTACGAGCTCAAAGCGGGAGGGTGCAGGAAGGCGGAGTCGAAGTCGATCACCGGCTTCCTTACCATGGGGTAGAGGAGCACCCAGACCTCGAGATTATACCGATTTGGATTCGTTCCGAAAGTCAACTTCACTACGCCGAGATGACGATAAAGACTTTGATGGAGCAGCATTCTGGAGACAAAAGGCGCAGGAGAAGAGGAGAAACCCACCACCACCCGTGCTGAGGCATGGTCCACAACAAATTTTTCAAGCTGCGTATGGTCGAGCTTTACGCAATAGCACCAATGCAAATGCAAATGCAAATGCAAATGCAAATGCAAATGGGAATGGGAATGGCGAACGGCAACTCTTCCCTGACTCGTCACAGCGTCTGCCAGCATACGAATCAGCTCCAGCATCGGCGGCGGGGGGAGTCAGCATCTTTGGCAGAGCAGGCATCCCTGATCCTCGTGCGCCTGCCTTCGTTCCCAACGTCTCCCTAGCCCCTTCTTCGGCATGGAATGGCACATCAATTCTGGCTAGGATAGACCCAATGCTACCGAACAACGAACCAATCCCACTTCCCACCACCACAATCACCACCTCGCAGCATTCATCAGACTTCCCAGCTGCCCCAACCGAAACCTCAACCTGTCGTTGGAACGTAGGCTGCACAAACCCTATGTGTCCCTATTCTCACGCCTCTCCCGCCAACGCTAGTCCGGGTGGAGATCCAAACGCACTCGTCCTCAGCCAGCAAAACTGTCGATATGGCGCAGGATGCACGAATAAAGATTGTACTCGGAGCCACGTTTCCCCCGCCGTAGCTAAGATTTCTGCTCACAACCCTCCACCGACTGCACCATCAGCAACAGCAACATCTACAGCGGGAGTGTTATCAATGGACACAGCTCTACCGAATGGGGCTGGATCCAGACCGTGTAAATTCGGCATAGCCTGCACTCGAGCTGATTGCTTCTTTTCTCATCCTCCTGGTCGAAGCAATGGTGGAAGTGGGGCAGTGCAGTGTAGATTCGGCTTAGGCTGTACGAGGAAGGAATGTTATTACGCTCATCCACCAGGTCAGAGAGCTGCTGATGCACAGCAGCATGGGGGGACGAGCAATAGGCTACAAGCTTTCGCGGGGGAGGTTGAGGAGATGGAAGTGATCATCCCTGGCGCTGGTGCAAGTCAGCAGAGGGAAGGAACAGCTGCGTCATCTACAGTCGCTAGCACTTGGCCTGGAGTGGAAGCTTGATTTGTTTGTTGTATTCTAGCCATGAGTGTATTTATACGTACAAAGTCCAGCATGTGTGGCTGTTGTGGTTGTTAGATACATCGCCAGTCCCCTGTTTTGTGTGCTGATAGTGTGTGGTAGAGGAGGGTTTAGTCGCCAATCATCCAACCATGACTAGCTTCCCCCATTCTTCCATCGAATGACAATAGATTGTGCATTGTACATGAACATTGCTCCACCATCTCTGTTCCCCTACCCTTCTCCCAATCTGAGCGGAAGTGCACTCTAGCTTCATCCTCACCTACTTTTCTTCTTGCGATTCCGTACTCGTCTCTAACGACAACATCCTCTTGACCTAAGCCTACATTGAACTCGCGTTCATCTTGGACATCAGTATCAAGCTTGTTTTTCGTTGTAGTATCCAATCTCCCCTCCACCTCCCCTTCCTTCACCGCTCTCTTCTGCTTTCGCAGAGGAGCAGTTCGCAACATCCACTGCAGAAAAAACCTCGCACCACACCAATCTTGCTTGCTGAACACGGACTTTACTTGCCCTGCAACCACTACCTGTATTGCATCTACAAATGCACTTCTTTCGTGTACTATTGCGAATATCACCTTCTCCTGCGCCTCGTTCAGACGGGCAAGTGACATGGTTTGTGTCGACTGCTGTTCTCGATCTTGAGAAGAAAGAAAGCGAGAGTATGAGACTAGGTCGTCAATGGTGGTTGAGGGAGAAGGTGCCAGGATCGTTTCGAACTCGATATGCAGCAGAGAGGGGGAAACGGAAAGGGTATGGCAATAAAGTGCTTTTGAACGCCGGATGAAAGAAGAGAACCATGAATCAAAGGCAGAATGTGTTAAGTGTTGAGGGGATAGGTCGAAGATCAATACTCTTTGTGCTGCTGGCGAGGGGCCGGGGGGGAAGCCGAAAGAAGGCAGGGGGAATAGAGATGACATCTGCTCCTTTTACCAAGATGCGCTGAGGAAGGCGAGAATGGTGAGAGAAATGGTGCTGGGAGGGAGCTTGATAAAGAGGAGATGCTCGTGTTAGGTGGTAGCAATAGCCGGTGCTGGAAGGCTAGGAAGCAAAGTCGAAGCGAAGACCCATGGCAAGATCGGTGAAGAGTCTGAATGGGAGGTAGCAAAGAGGATCGCAAAACCAAACATTTATAACACAAACCAAGCAAGCGCAGAAGAAGGCCCCAACAAGCTGATTAGAGAGAGGCTATGATCGTGTGGATGGTAGAAAGGGGAAGATCGATAAGGGCAGCAGCTTTCAATATACCAAGCAGTCAACTCCTTCGCTACCGCTCTGTATCAACCAAATCAGTTGCGCAGCGTCGATCAGTCCTGCTGCGCATCAATCCTTCACAACCATCTTTCGGCGCAATCGCGCTGATTCCAACCCGAAGCCCATAACATCGCCACCGCAAACCTTGATCCTTTGCACTGCACCGAGCCAATCCCGATCGGCAAGAGTCAGGTAGCGATGAGTGGACAAGATCAACTCCCGCACAAGTTGCCGGAATAAGCCCAGGCTCAAGCTTCGACGAACAGGCACGGCTGCTCTGGTACCTCAAATCTGACGTAGGAACCACTTCTTCTGCTTTTGTGCGGAAAAGAGAAACAGCTCTGACTTGTGTCTCACCAAGACATATATAGGACGAAGGGGGTGTTGGGGGGCGAGATCATTGTCTTTTGACTTGCTTCAGCCACCCACCTTCTTTTCTCTTACCATTCTGACCGACAAAAAGACTCGACGCGACAGGTGCGGCAGCATATGAAAGAATGGTGGGAACGAAGCCTGAAACAATGGACGGCCAAGAGATTGCTGCAGCGACTGCCTTTGCCGATCCGGCTGTCACGACGGCCATCACATCAACTTCTGATACAAGTGCATCTAACGAACAAGAGCCTACACCTATCCAAACCATGCAGACGTGTCCAACATTAGCGACCCGTGACGACGCAAACGCAGTCCCCTCACTCACTCCCGAACAAGGCTCTGGATATCTCTTCCTTCCAACCCGTCTTATTATGCCCACCACACAGCCTCAAACCGAAGAAAGGGAAGTGATAGAGATAAGCGATACCGACGACGAGCCGAGTAAGAAGGGTCCTGACAGACGGAAGAAGCGAGCTGCGAGCAACCCTACCGCCGAATTGCGTCGAAGCAGGAGACGGACGGGCGAACCCAACTATGTTGAGGTGCGGCAGCGTAATAGACAGCTCGAATCGGCGAGAGGATCTCCCTCGAAGCGCAGTACAGGAGGTCGAGGAGGGCGAGGAGAGCAAGAAGGGCGAGGAGGGCAAGGAGGGCAAGGAGGGCGAGGAGGGCGAGGTGGCCGTCTTTCCACTTCCGCCCGTACACAATCCCTGCCCACAAACACCCCTCGGATCGTTCGGAACATTTTCTCTATCGACTCTTCTCCCTCCACCCCCACACTGCCTTCACAGCTCCTGCCACCCTCCTGCCAACCCTACCCCCCGCGCACTCCTTCCCCTCCCCAATACCCTCCCCAATACCCCCCACCAGCGACCCAACCCTGCATCAGTGCCGACCTTACGCCCCAACAACGCATCACACACAACCTGCAAGCTCTCAGCCAAGCAGTCTCGGAATCCAACTCAGCCTTCGTTCGCGGTCTACAAGCCTACGATCTGGTTTCTCACGATTTAGCCTGGCTCAAGATGCGGTTTTCTAGTGTGGGTGCGAGGGTTAACGACTATGCAAGGTGGTTGGCTCAGATGGCGAGGTGGGCGAACGTGAATGCACTGGGGATTCAGAATGCAATCAAGGAGGGGAGAGGCGAGGTGCCACTGACTGAGCTTCCTGAGGTGAGAGCGAGGCGGCAGGGACGGACGAGGGAGCTGTGAAGGCAGGGTTAGACATACGGAAGCAAGCAGGCGTATGGGCGGTGGGAGAAGGTGTGCATTGCAAGCGCGGCGAGAAGAGAAAGAGCGGCGGTAGTTGGTAGCGAGGAAAGGGATCTACACGTGACTGAAACGAGACAGAAGGGAAGTAGAATACATGCAGAAGCGGCAGGAGTCAAACTGAAACTCGATATTGGGGTGCCGGGAGAAGTAGTAGTCGTGTGCGCCATGGAAAGACGGAGAGGAGTGGTCAAGTATAGACCTAAGTCGTACTTGAATGAAGCCATGATAATATCTTAGTATCAAAAGATCTTGACCATGTCTCGTATGTGTAAGCCTACTCAACTTCAGCAGGCTCCGACATCTTGACAGCCTCTACGAAAGCCTTGTAATCAAACGTCTTGCCACTCTTATCCATAAAGGGTCCAGCCAACAATCTATCGATCTCCCGCTCCGTCATTTTATCACCTACTTGACTCAACCAGAACCTCAACTCCTGAGCATCGATCTTGCCCACGTCCTTCTCGTCAAAACATTCGAATGCTTCCATTAGTACCGTTTGATCGTCCAACTCTGCCAGATGTTCTCCGAACATTGTTAGAAACTGGGTGAAATTGACACCGTTGTTGGGGGAGGAGTGTTTGAAATAAGATTCAAGTGTGGCGGGGTCGGAGGGGAGTGCGAGGTTTTGAAGCATTGTAGAGATATCGGATCGAGTGATGAGACCGTCGGAGTCGGTGTCGATCATGTTGAATGCTTCTTGGAAGCCTTGGATTTGCTTTGGGGAGAAGGCGGTGTATAGGGCGGATGAGGATTGGCGGGGATGGTTGCCGACTTTACGACCAGTAGGGTGGAAGTTGGTGGAGGAGGAGCCACCATTGAGGAAGGCGGCTGCTGAGGAAGTTGTGCTGCCTTGAGATGACATTTTGCTGTTCGAGCGGAACTGTGGCGGTGATCCTGGTGAAAGGTCGGCGGGCCCAAGGTAGGATTCTTGATGGTCGGGTTGAGAGAGAGAGAGCTGCTGGGAGAAAGGGTAAAGTGTTGGTGTAACGCTCAGGGGCTCTCCTAAAGCGAGCGGCGCTTTGCTCACGTGCGCTGCCAACAGACAACACCGCTTCCTTTTTTTTCTCTTCCCGAAATGTGTAAACAACAAGCGATCTCACAATTATGAGAAAATGCACGTGCCACTCTGAAATTTTTCTTGGTCCAAGCGATCATCATTCATCCATCCTTGGCGACGCTCAACACTTGCCTCCATCAACACTTGCCTCCATCATCATCTGGCCTCAACAGACCAGCACCTCTGCAAGAACATTACTCTCGGCCAAGAGTCTCACAGCAAGGATAGCACGAGGAGGATCGCACCAGGCTCGAAGAACACCGAAGCTCACACCGGACCCCGCAACGTCGCGTTCAACTCCCACCCGGGCTCATAGCTTGTTCATCTCGCAAAGCCCAAATCTAGACTCAGCACAGGGCAAGGAAACGGATGACAATGTACGCTTCCGCTCAATCTCGCAACCGCAGCGGTGATGCAGCTTACGGCTTCGCTACACCAGTACGAACTCCTTCCACCTCCTACCACAACCCTTCTTCCTACTCGCAAGCATTGACACCGGCAGATGCATCCGCCAAGGCTGTCCGGTTTCAAAGTCAACCTCTTCCCCCGCAAATGCAACAACTACAACAAGTAGCACAACAACCCTCTTCCTCCACCTCCACAGCACTCACACCTAATCGCTCACCATACCAGAACGCCTCTTCCGCATCGCAAATGCAGTCTCCATCACTGCAACACACCGCCTCTGCAACGCCAAACAGCATGACCAGCACCCGCCCCGCTCTTCCCCCTTCAGCATCATCCCCAGAGGTCTCCTCCTCATCGAGCATCGTCCTCACCCGCCGACTGAAATGGAACCTTTCCGCTCTCGCACTACTCTGGATCCTTCCTGCACTAACAACCCGTCCTCGCGACATGTATTGGGCCCTTCTCGACCAAATATACATCTGGGCCGGCGGCGAGACAGACGAGATTGTCGATCGAGTAGTAGGCTGGGTGCTTTGGGCGCTTAGCGTTGTGTTACTGTTCAACGCTGTTGAAGCTTCAGTGCTTGTTCAGCGATCTAAGGCCCCCTCTTCTGCCGCGCTAGCTCCGGCTGCTCCGCAAACGCAACAAGGTAAAGGGGCAGTGTTGGGAATCCACTCGCCACAAGTAGCTAAAAGCATCAACTTTGTCGCTGCATCCAGAATGAAGGGATCGCCCAAGACTAGGATTTCGAATCTTGGTGCTGGATCTCCTATCGCCCATACTTCCTCTCCGGCTCGAGGTTCGCCAAGTGCTCCAGCGGGGGAGTCGCCGGTGGTGGACTATTCGCAATTCTCACCCTCACTCAGGCGTGCGTCTGGTCCTATCACTACCTCTTCCCCTACGAGTACTGGTTTTGGTAGTGGGAGTGGCAGTACCAGCAGTGCAGTAGGAGGCGTAGGCATGGTTGGACCACAATCATCGCCTTTAGCAGCGTTCAGAGCGAGACATCACAGCAAGGGTGGTTCACCGTCACCCTCAAGCTTGAGAGCAAGGTCGATTACTCCATCCGTGAGCAACGTCGATCTGAGCTTTGAAGCGGATGCAGGGGACGCGGATGCCGAGGAACGAGGGTTTTTGGGAGATGAAAGTTTCCAAGTTGATCGTGCACTTCGTTCTCTGCGTACTTCGTTTGGAGGTGTTTCAAGCACTCCTGCGCCTTGATTCAGATAGATGACGCACGTTGCACAATCATACATTTGCATTCCCACATCTATCTGTTGCGAAGTGGAATCTACTTGTGTGGTAAAAGGGAGGGTTAGGCATCCTCGACCTCTATCTCACTCGCTTCTGCAAGGGCGATATTTTTAATCACCTCCCCACTCGCAACATTCTTGCCCGTTGGAATACCGAACCTCCTTTTCACAGCAGCAACTTCAGTCGGATCACCGGTATTCTTTGTCAAATCATCGCTGATCTTCACCACTGCTCTATCCTCGACTGAATCCAGCTTGATAACTATATTCAGTGGTTTACTCTTCTCGCCATTTCCGGCCTCGGTTTCAAAATCATTTGTGAAGCTCGTACCGACACCAAAGCCAGCCCCGATTCCAATCTCTTTACTATACTCGGCCAATTCTATACATCTATCCACGTCTAGCCCATCACTGTAGATTACCACCTTTGTCTTGGGATCCACGCCGATCGATTTATACGCGGTGAGGGCTTTTTGAGCGAAAGCTTTGCTATCTCCCGAATCTTGTCGGAGTCCGCGCCAACGTTTCGCAATTTCGATCCCGGCAGGATGGGTGAGGAGGTCAGACCAGAATACGGCGGTGCTGAAGGTGTCCGTTAGGGCGATCGTTAGGTCGTGGCTGGGGCTGTTGGGGATGAAATCGGGAGGAGAGTAGACAGCGTCCCAGAGTTGAAGAGCGTGGAGGTTTACCTGGCTATAACCAGTGAGGGCGGCGATTGCCATTGTCCATTCATGAGCGACCGTTCCGATGGGCACTAGGGAGAAGAGGTGTGCGAAATGGACATTACTGGTGCCGAGTAGCTTTCCATCGTTGGGGTTGGGGGTGGCGGAAGAGGAGGCGTCTCCAGCGATAAGTGCCTCAAGCACGCTTTTGTGCGTCTGGTAGGATCTTCTCCTCCTAGTGCCAAACTCTGAATACCTGATCCCATTCGCCTTGAGCCTCTGCGCTTTGCGCCTCGCCTTCTCATACTGCCCTTCTAGCGTCCACCAGGTGTCCACAGTGGAGAAATACACTTGAGAAACAATGGCCATGAGTGGAACTTCGTAGAAAATAACTTGTGCCCAATTCCCTTGCACTCTAATGGCCAAGTCTCCCCACTCTGTCCCCTCAGCATCGGTAGTACTCGGGATAAAATCAAGCTTGACCTGAGTTTCGGGTTGAAAACGATACTTTTCAAGGTAGTCCAAATACTCGGGACGAAGATATGGGCAGGTTTCTTCGAGCCATTTCCGCTCGGCAGGGGTGAGTGCAAGCGAGGAAAGGTTGGAGATATGGGTACGGACAAGTTGGATGGAAGCGCGGGTGAACTTCATCGTGGAGGCGGATCGATTGGTGAATTTGTATGCTACACGGGTGGAGGGGTAGTGTTGGAGAACGGCTTGTTGCATAGTGAGCTTGTAGAGGTCCGTGTCGAGCATGGAGCGGATTGGTGCGGTTTCCGGGCCATCTTTGGTTGGAGACGACATCGTTGCGCGATGTGCTCTTCCAGGTCGGTGGAGGAAGGACGGAAGAGGCAATGGTGTGTGGCAAGGCAAGGTGGTGGAGCAAGGTGGTGGAGCAAGGTGGTGGAGCAAGTGGAGGAGTTGAAGATGCGTCGGCATCCTAAACCGAATCACGTGGTTCGTGGAGCACAAGCAAGACACCGGTGAGTCAGAGCTGCATGTCAACATGCATTGATATGCATGTGGGATATATAAGTACTTCAACAATAACACTCAGGAGATGGCAACACTCAGGAGGTGACAACACAGGGGTGATATGAAGAATAGTTCATTATGATCTAGTATGGGCTGAAGATAGCAGTCAAGTATATATATGTTCACATTGTAGCACCTATCAATTAAAACACAACAACCGTTATACACCTCAAAGGTTGAGCTTGCTAGTAGCTCCTAAACAGTCACATTTTACCTGTAATCTTCAACTGATTAAGAGTCTGAAGCTCTACCAACTGAGCTAGCCAGGACCATCAATAACATGGTACAAGAAACCGAAGCTCTACCAACTGAGCTAGCCAGGACCATCAATAACATGGTACAAGAAACCGAAGCTCAAGCCATAGCAAGCAAGGTCAAAGGAGGAAGAAAGGGCAAGGCAACACAACTGCATGTCACTGATAATGAGGCCACCAATGAGTCAGACACCGAGGTGATCAACGACAACGCCGATGAAGAAACTGACTCTGACTCAGACCATGACAATGATGGCAAGCAATACAACTTTCATACCCTAGCAAAGCTACTTGAGCCAGTTCCAAAACTCACATCACACAACTACTATAGTTGGAGCGCCCATATCAAGTCTTTCCTATGATGTGTCCCCCATGCTATGAAGCATCTCGATGGAGCATATGACAAGAAACATCCCAAGTGGAACTGCATGTTCAATGATGCCTTAACGAATGCACTACACAGTACCATCGATACCACTGGAGAGTTTAACATAAATTACTTGATTCTTGACATCATCAGGGAACATCATACATTCAATAATGTATGGAAGAAGATTGAAAATGGACTCACCAATGATGCCACCACCATATCTTGTCGTATTGCATTGATTGCTCAGCTAGGAGAACTCAGGATGTACAACTCAGATGTATGAAAGCTCATCCAAAAAATAAGAACCATCCAAATGGAGAGCAGCTTACTGGGAAAGCCATTCGCTGATGACACCCTGTTTTCAAATCTACAAAAGTGCACCATCCGACACCCAATGTACAAAGAAACTGTTGCTACCATAAGCCAGCTTAGTTTCAGTGCCCTCACCACTGCCCTATCCATCTGGCAATCGGTGATTGAGAACAACCCTGCTTTGAGGGTTGATCCCCACCAAGCTAGTGCCAGAGTTGCCAGCAGCGATGACCAGAATGAGACACCTGGAGATGATGAGAAGGATGAAAAGGATGCTGACAGCACCAGTGCCAAGGTTGCCGCCAGACCCCAAAGGCTTCAATGTTGGGTCTGCAAAAGACCTGGACATGGGATCAGTCAATGCGATGCATCAGTGACTATACCAGAAAATTCTCCCCTTGCCAGGCTCAAATAGGAGATCTGGTGCTCCCTCACACATAGTTGGCCAAGCACTTTAGATTCAAAAGAGACTTCTCATTGGATCTTAGACTCAGGTGCCAGCTATCACATGGTAAATGACTATAGCATGCTCATTGGTCCGAGGACCTGCCGAAAGCGCATACTCACTGCTGGAAGCGAGGTTCTGGAAGCAACTGCTATAGGAGATGCTAGCATATCAACAAACACTGGAGATGTTCTTCTCCAAAATGTATTGTATGTTCAGCATCTCAATGTTAACCTATTGTCAACAAATTCTCTGACAGATGAAGGAGCACAAGTGATACTAGATTCAACCAGAGGGCAAATATACCTAGCAAATGGCATGTTACTCAAGATGACCAAGAATTGCGAGTGAGGACTTTTGGAGTTCCAAGGTGACACATGGCAGGAAAACGCAATGATCACATCAGCATCATTATTTGAAGGTGTTGATGAAGATTTCAAGTGTATTGAGAACAAAGTCAAGATATCTGAACAACAATTATGGCATGAGCATCTAGGCCATCCGGGCCAAGACAAAACGAGAGCCATCATCAACCATCTAAAAGGTGACCACCCAGCAAACCTAAATCCAAATGCCGCTTTGACATGTGAGCATTGCATCCGAGCTAAAAGCATGGCAGCTCGAATGGGTCAGGGTGGCAGAGAAAGGTCCATCTCTCTGCTTGACCTCATTCATATTGACTTGATAGTCGATTCATCGCATGCGACAGAGTACACATGCACTTTGGTCTTGATTGATGACCACAGCAAGTACATGTATGTATGACCTCTATTATGAAAGAGCCACGCTTTTAAGGAGCTAAAATCAATAATTGCATACCTAGAAACACAGGCAGGAAAGAGTTTAAAAGCAATATGGTCTGATCAAGGTACTGAATGGAGGAGCAATGATGCCCATGAATGGGCACATGATAAAGGCATAGAGTGGCAAATGACAGTAGGATATGATAGCAGACAGAATGGACATGTAGAAAGGATGAACAGGAGCATAAGTGAGAAGATGTGGGCCCTACTTATGCAGAGACAATTGCTGAAGAGGTTCTGGCTGTATGCAATATGGGCTGCAGTGTTCAAGATGAATCTCACCCCAAGTATAGATGGTGAGGTCCTGTATCAGGCTATGTTTGGGAGATCGCCAGAACAGCTTATGAAGCTTCTACATGTGTTTGGATGTTTATCATGGGTAAATATTCCTAAAGCTAAAAGAGACAATAAGAAGCTTGACCAATGGGCCATAGCATCCATATTCCTAGGATATAGTTTGGAGAGAAGAGGCTGGCTCTTCTACAGCCCAGATTATAGATCAAATATATTCTGGAGCAATTTGGCAAAGTTCATGGAGACCAAATGCTGGTCTGATAGGATGGAGTGGCAACCAGTGACTACACAGCCACCACCAGTGTTAACAAACAAGGAAGACTTTGGCGATCTGAGGTACACAGATGAGAACCTTTTGACAAGAGGGAAGAGGAAGCATTGCAGGAATACATGGACATGGATAATGTCAATGAAACAGATGGAGGATGGACCTCAGATGAAGTTGCCAAGGAAGTGATCGAACACAATACCATTGCCGATAGATGGAATGATAATAAACTTTATGGATTTATGGCAACCAATGACAATGAAAGAAAGAACCTGGACCCAACTGTTAGCGAGGTGCTATCCAGAGAAGATAAGAAACATTGGGAAGAAGCAATGTGTAAGGAGCTGGATGGGCTTAAGGCCATGGGCATGTGGGAAGTTGCCGATCTCCCGAAGGGTATGAACACCATCGACATGCATTGGGTACTAAAGATAAAGACAGATGCCAACCTAATCCCGACCAAGTTCAAAGCAAGGTTAGTGGCATGGGGCTTCACTCAAAGAGAGGGTATTGATTACACAGAAGTTTTTGCCCCTGTAGCACCTATCCAGTCAATTCGAGGAGTTCTAGCCATGGCAACTGTATGAGACTGGGAAGTAGATTGTGTCGATGTTAAACAGGCATACCTGAACTCGACATTACATCATAGTATCTTCTTAAAGCCACTGCTTGGAATGAAGGTACCCCCTGGAAAGGCCCTGAAGCTAATGAAAGGCCTATATGGATTAAAGCAATTGGGTAGAGAATGGAATATGGAGCTAGACTCACACCTATGAAAGATAGGTTTCTATTGCATGCCGAGCGCTCCATGCCTATACTCAAGAGGAACAGGTGATAGCATGACAATCATCACAGCCTAAGTAGATGACATGCTTATAACATCACCCAGTCATACAGAGGTAAGCTGCACTAAGGATGAGATAATGGCAAAATGGGGAACAGAAGATAAAGGACCTGTGAAGAAGTTCTTAGGCATAAGGATAGATTGAGACAGAATATGGAGAAGGATGACACTCGATCTAATGGCTTACATTAAGGCTATGGTGAGAAAGTGGCTACAAACAACTGATCTGAAGTCATGGGTACCAATGCAGAGCCTGATGGGTGTTACAGGTGGTGACAAGTGTGACTCATTGGCAGCAAAACAGTACCAAGAATTAGTTGGACAGCTTTTATGGGTATCTAACACAGCATGGCCCAACATATCATTCACCATAGGAACACTAGCAAGATACATGTCGAGCCCAACAAGCAATGCATGGAAGGCAGCATTACATTTAGTGAAGTACCTCAATCAAACCAGTGAATATAAGTTACTCTTCGGAGATGAAGCAAACAAACACTTGGGACAGCAAATTGTTATGTATACTGATGCAAATTGGGCATCGGACCCAACGAATGGATGAAGAAGCACATCAGGGGGAATAACATACATGTATGGGTGCCTGGTTAGCTGGAGATCACATGTTCAAAAGTGCATGGCATTGTCAGCAGTCAAGGCTGAATTTGTAGCTGCTTCAGAGGCAATGAGAGAGGCTCTTTTCTTCTCATACCTTCTCAGGGACCTGGGAGTTGAGGCCCATCCACTGACATTGCAGACAGACAGTCAAGGATGTATCCAGGTAAGCAAAGACCCCACCAAGCACTGGAAGTTGAAGCACATCAACACAAGGTACCACTTTGTCAGAGACCATGTTCAGGAAGGAGAAGTCAAAATTGATTTCATCGGGACAACAGACAACATTGCGGACATCCTCACAAAGCTGTTAAAGGGCTTGGCCACATCTCAGATTGCATGCCTAATAGGATTGATGATGCCATCAAGGGGGGGAGTTGAAGATGTGTCAGCATCCTAAACTGAATCACATGGTTCGCAGAGCACAAGCAAGACACTGGTGAGTCAGAGCTGCATGTCAACATGCATTGATATGCATGTGGGATATATAAGTACTTCAACAATAACACTCAGGAGATGGCAATGCTCAGGAGGTGACAACACAGGGGTGATATGAAGAATAGTTCATTATGATCTAGTATGGGCTGAAGATAGCAGTCAAGTATATATATGTTCACATTGTAGCACCTATCAATTAAAACACAACAACCATTATACACCTGAAAGGTTGAGCTTGCTAGTAGCTCCTAAACAGTCGCGTTTTACCTGTAATCTTCAACTGGAGGTCTGACTTGGCTTCGACTCATCCAAGAGCCATCCGAATTGCGCAAGGCGAGTAATGTTAGACCGACGAAAACTTACAAGCTTGGCCGAGGTCTTGAAGTTTCTTTGCAATTTTAAAGCTCGCCACCAAAAAGTGCAAATTGGTGCATAGGTGTTAAGTTGCAGTTGGAGTAGGCGATTTCCATTTTCCGCTTTCATCCAACTCACCAACACTGCCTTCTCCTCCTCCTTCTCCTTCTCCTCCTCCTCCTCCTTGGTACGGTCAACCACCTTGTTTTCCGCACGCTTCTCTGCTAGCATTGCTACTCCGAGCCGCTTCTGGACATCGACATCGACTAAAACAACCGAACCGAACCGAACCGAACCGAACCGCACCGCACCGCACCGCATCGCAAGCAATCGCCGTCACAAACCTCTCAAAGAGGCAGGCATGCGTTCTTGCCTCACCCCAACCCCGCTCGCAGCATACCCCTTCAGTCAAGATGTCAAACCTATTCAATAAATACGTCCGTGTACCCACTTCCTCCTCTGCTCCTCTACCCGTCAGCTCCGCCGATACTCGCTCTTCTCCCACAACAGGCTTCGGCCGCGCCCGCACAAGATGGGCACTAATCGCAACCGCCCTCGTCACCTTGTTGCTATTCTTCGCTTTCGCATCATCCAACTCTGAGACATCTGCATCTATAAAAGCCAAGGCTGGAGAATACGCACATCGTCTTCCTTGGTCTCCTCGACCCTCCTCACCCACTTCCACCAGCTCTTCCTCTGTGCTCAATGTGGACGGAAAGGAGTTCAACCGGTGGCTCAACGGTTCAGGTCGACCCGACCTCAGATATGACTCTCCCTTCAACCCCGAAGATTTGACCCTAACAGAAGACGAATGCGATGCATTCTTCCCTGGGCTATGGAAAGAAATCGATCGAAGTGTAGACTATTACACCGAACATCCCCTCACCGCTGAATATCTCGACAAGGTCTGCGACGATGGGATTTGGTCCCATGCTCGAGTTTTAATCCATAACAATCGCGTCTATCTCAAGTATTTCCAGCAATCAGCATTCACCCGCGTTAACTCGGCCTTGGCACTTTTGTTTCAGAGCGTGGTGGCGAGTAAGGAGAAGTTGCCTGATGCAGAGTTTTGTTTATCCGCCAATGATTGGGGTTCGATGGGCAAGTTTTCGCTTGACAGAGCGCCGTATCTGGAGGATTTATGGTTGATGCCTGATTACGGCTTTTATTCTTGGCCTGAACCTGGGATCGGCAGCTACACCGAACATAGGGAGAAGACGTTGGAAGTTGAAAAAGCCACACCATGGGAGAACAAGATTTCCAAACTATTCTGGCGTGGAGCAATGGGTGTTGGTACCGCCGACCGAAAAGCTCTCCTCGCTGCTGCATCCGATCATCCTTGGAACGACGTAAAACCTTTAGACTGGGGTAATCGCGACGGATTCGTGACAATGGAAGACCATTGCAAATGGAAATTCCATGCCTTTCCCGAAGGTATGACCTATTCAGGCCGTTTGCGCTATCTCCAAAACTGTCGTTCGGTCATCGTAACTCATGAACCCAGGTGGATCCAACATTGGACACATCTTTACAATCCCGACCCCACTTCTCCGGACCAGAACATAGTTTTTGTCCCAGAGTACAAAGGTGATCAACCAGGGACCGAGGTCGAAGACGACAGAGGCCAGGTATTTCGCGATACAACGTGGATGCGCCTACCCGAAGTAATGCAAGAATTGCTACGCGACGACGACAAGGCGAAAAGAATAGCAGACAACCAATGGCGTTTCTTCCGGGAGAGGTATGTTAGTCCAGCTAGTGCAGCTTGCTACTGGAGAAAAGCGATCAAAGCTTATGCGGGCGTACAGAGGTACAGTGTCAACTATACGGGCACAGAAACTAGTTATGAAAGTTTCATTCTGCTGGGCAGTAAGTTGAAGGCTATTGCTCGCTAACTCTACCTTTTACAGGATAGTAATCGTTTATGCATCTTGGTTGCAATCGCAATTGTCTTATCCGATCCAAGTAGGTGCGTGTTGTACGAGAGAGCCATGTGTTGAACAACTAGAGTGACAGCGAACTCAAGCATATCGTGCTCGTTCCATTCTATCCTGACCGCAAGCACAGACCCGATCGCCATCTGCACGCTCAAACGTCGAGAGATGATAAGAAACTAGAATTCAAACGAGACAAAGGAATGCTATAGAAGTATAGAAAGAGCCTACAGCACCTCCACCACGCAGATTAGAGATGCTCATCAGAAGCCTTCCTCTCCAAGTCGAACGCATCGCTCAAGTACGCCTCAACCTCGGCCTTATGAGCGACCTTGCTACCCGTTGCCACCGAACTGCTAGGAGGCCTACTTGCAAGAATCACAATATCATTCTTATGATGTTGCGTGTGTCTACAAGCGGTCCTCAACCTGGGCTGCAAATAACTCCAAGCACCATTGTTCAACGGTTCTTCCTGACAGAAGACCAAGTCGGCGTTAGGGTACTTGTCAAGTGCTTGGACTACTGCTTCGTAGTGCAATGGTGACAACTGCTCGATCCTCGAGATAGCGACATCTTTGATGTTGTTCTCCCTTCTGTGCTTGAGGAGTTCGAAGTAGGTTTGGCCGAAAGTAAGGATATGACGTTTGATCTGGTCAGCAGGCACCAGTTGGTCCTTACCATCCGTGGCGTGAGGGTCGGGGATGAACCTCTGGAAACCAGTTCCAGGGAGCAAGTCTTCAAGATTGGATCGAGCCTCGGGATGACGCAAAAGAGATTTGGAAAAGAAGTTGACCAAAGGTTTACGGAAGTCTCTGTGAACCTGACGACGAAGAACATGGAAGTAGTTAGCCGGGGTAGTGCAGTACACTACCGCCATGTTCGAGTCTTGGTGCTGCCTATTGCTCTTCTCCGGAGTAGGGAATTTGAAAGGATGATCATCACAAAGCTGCAAGAACCTTTCAATACGAGCGCTCGAATGTTCGGGTCCCTGTCCATCATATCCATGAGGCAAGTTCAACACCAATCCAGTCCTCTGCAACCATTTCCTCTCCCCCGAGGCAATAAACTGATCAATGATGCACTGGGCGTTGTTGGCAAAGTCACCAAACTGAGCTTCCCAGATGGTCAAGTTCTGAGGTGAAACCAGGGAGAAACCCAATTCGAAACCCATGCATCCGAACTCGGAAAGAGAAGAGTTGCAAACAACAAAAGGTGCCTGACCCTCGCCAACATGCTGAAGAGGAGTGTAGGTGCCCTCGTTCTCCTGGTCGTGCAAAACGGCATGACGCTGAGAGAAAGTACCTCGTTCCACATCCTGTCCCGAAAGACGAACGTAGTTGCCCTCAAGAGCAAGCGAACCGAAAGCAAGAGCTTCACCCGTGCTCATATCGATGTTCTTACCCTCCTCGACCGTCTTGAATCGCGTCTTCAAGATACGGCCCAAGTTGCGGTGAACGGTGAAATCCTGAGGGTAAGACGAAACGGTCTTGCCAATGTGCTTGAGAGTCTCCTCTTTAACACCGGTATCCTTGTGATCGAGGATCTGCTCACGAAGCTCCTTTGGAGAAGGGAAACCTTCCCAGGCACTCGAGAGCCATTCGCGCTCCTCGGGCTTGTAGCTCTTGCTCTTGTCGAAAGCTTCTTCGAGCATGCTCCACACCCACTTCTGGTGCTCTTCGATGTCGGACTTGGTGAAGCTGCCTTCCTCGACAAGACGAGCGGCGTACTTGGTCAAGGTAGGGTCCTGTTTGGCGATGGCGGCGTACATTCGGGGCTGAGTGAACGAAGGCTGGTCGGTCTCGTTATGTCCGTGACGTCGGTAGCAGACAAGGTCGATGACGACATCCTTCTTGAAAGTGGCACGCCAGTCAGCTGCAAGCTGGGAAACAAATGTGACAGCCTCGACGTCGTCACCGTTGACGTGGAAGATGGGAGCATCGATCGACTTGGCAATGTCCGAAGGGTAAGGAGTGGATCGAGCGAATCGAGGGTCGGTGGTGAAACCGATCTGGTTGTTGACGACAATGTGAATCGTACCACCGGTGGCGTAGTTGGGCAAGTTGTACATACCCATGGTCTCGTAAACGACACCCTGTCCGGCGAAAGCAGCATCACCGTGCATCAAGAGAGCCATGGACGACGTGTGCTGGCTGTCCTTAGCAAAGTCTTGCAAAGCACGAGTTTTACCGAGAACGACAGGGTCCTCAGCTTCGAGATGCGAAGGGTTGGCAACGAGGGAAAGAGCCACCTTCTTGCCCGAAGGAGTAGGTCGAACGTAGTTGGCACCGAGATGGTACTTGACATCTCCTCCACCCTCTCCGTCGTCCTGCTTGCCGGCAAACTGGTGCAAGATAGCCTCGATGGGTCTGCGAATGACGTTGGCAAGCACGTTGAGACGACCACGATGGGGCATACCGATGGTGACGCTCTCGACACCGTGCTCGACAGATCGGTCGATCAAAGTCTTGACACCGGGGATGAGCGACTCACCACCCTCGAGACCGAAACGCTTCTCGTTAGGGTACTTGGAGGCAATGAAACGCTCAAACGAGTCGGACCAAATCAAACGATCGAGGATAGTGCGCTTCTCCTCGACAGAGTACTTGAAAGGCTCGGGGGTCTCGATGCGCTCACGGAGCCAGTCGCACTTTTCGCGATCAGGGATGTGAACGTACTGAACGCCGATGGGGCCACAGTACATGCGCTTGCAGGCATCGATGATCTCGCGAATGGTGAGTTCCTGAATGCCTTGGTTGACAAAGTTGGGGAGGAGACCGGGACCAAGACGCATCTTGCGGTCAAGGTCGCTCTCGGACCAACCGTAGTGCTCAATCTTGAGCTCCTCGGGGACGTTGGGGTCAAGATCGGGGTCCAAGATGCCAAGCGGGTCGAGGCGGGCAATGCGGTGACCACGGACCTGGTAAGCTCGGACAAGGAGCTGAAGCTTGAGGTGGTCATCGACGGCCTGAGTGGAGCCGCTGAAGCCAGAGACATCAACAGGAGGAGCCTCCATGGGAAGAGGCATCAAGGTTGGTGGAGCACGGAAAGCTTGCTCGCTGGGAAGACCGTTTGCGAGACCGGTAAAGTAGACATGCCAAGAAGCGTGAACGGAAGAGGGGTCCTGCTTCCATCGCTTGTGCATCTCCTCGGCATAGTAGGCATTGGTGGTGTTGATGAAGGTGTCGCTGCCAGAGGGAGCGTTGGGCTGGGCAGGGGCAGGACTAGCCTGATGCTTTTGGGTAGAGGACTGGTAGTATCGAAGCGAGGCAACGTTGAGAGCGGCAGGTTTTGCAATACGAGCCGAGGCGGCGGAAGCAAGGGTGGAAGCCCTCCACGCGGCACGAGGCAAGGATGGCGAAGTGATGCTTCGCAGCATGTTGGCGAATGGAGCTTGGAGCTAGAGCAGACCAGGCAGGTGTCGCTTTCTAGCGGTGTTGCTTGTTTTTTTCCTGGAGAGTGGTAAGCGAAGATCGGTGACGACGACCAGAACGACTTGGAAGGCGACGCACCAAGAGTCGAAGCAAGCGGGAAGGATGCAGGACAAAGACGAAGCGTGAAGAAAAAGGAGAAGGTGGTGGTGAGAGGAAAGGGATGGAGTGGCGTAGGAGAAAGCAAGGAAAGGCGTCGACGAATGAGGAGACGCTTGAGTTGTGGAGAAATTCGACAACGACGAGCTCAAGCTTGCCCAGCCAAGCCCGGCCCGAGTCAGCCAAGACGTATCGTACGAATGGATAGATGCTCTTTTTTCCAATGGTGAGCAAAGCGGGCACGTGACCAACGGCCAACACTCCATTTCGTCGCAAGGCTTTGAGCGGATCGCGTTGTCAAGCAGCCATAACTGAGCCTTGAAAATGAGAACAGAAACTGGCGCCCGATTTGAGCCGAGAAAAGCATAGCACACCAAGAGCAGACAAGGAAAAGGCGGGAGCGATAACTTGGGCTCTTTTCCCAAGTCGCAACCAGGGCGAAATGTTGTTCTTAGCAGCTCAATTCACCGCTCATCTGCTTCGGACAACGAGTCAGGCAGGAGTCGACCAAACTCACTCGTCCTGCTCCAGGTCAAGATGTCTGTGTTGGTTCTGCTTAAGTTCCGTCGGCCAAGTTCGATGGTAAGTGAGCGGAATGTTTCTTCCTGTGTTGCTGGCTCGAGAGCCCTTTGCCCCTTGGCCGCGCACCGAGACTTGCGCTCACTCTCAAACCACACAAAACGACAAACCGCGATGCGTTTTCACGTTTAATCTTTCGATTTGGAGTCCGATCAGCTCCTTGACCAGCCTGATCTGGTTGAAGTGCAGCAGCTCAATTTGATACATACTCGCTTTGTAGTGTCTTCTTTGGCGGGGGCTAGCATTTAGCGTGCTTGGGTGTCACAGGGTCTGCGCAGTGTCAGCGGTCGCGTGCCTGAGACCCAAAATCTGTACTAAAAGTCAATTACAATCAATCTCGGCAAGATCTATTGTAACAGCCTTCTATAATTATTCTTGCTGGAATCTGTCATAGGAGCCTTCTATGACTCTTCCCACTTGAATAGGTTGTAACTAAAGGTTATCATGATTCTTGACTAACTGCTGTGGACACTCCATCTGGAGGTAGCTTGGCACAATCAAAGTCCAATAGTCTCCTGTAACTGACACCAAGGTCTGGTGCAAATGTGTTTGTCTCGACACAGGTGTCCAGTGTGTTGATGGTTTGCTTGAGTTGAGTGATCCTGTCATAGGACCGCATGCACAGGAGGATCTGGAAGCATATGAGGAGTGGTGCAGGAATCGTCAGATCAGGCCAAATGAGGGTCCAAAAGCCAAATCCATTGAGATCAGTAGTAGAGAGGTCCTACAACAGATCCCACTCAAATTGGTAAGAGCAGGAGCTTACAGCAAAACCCACCAGAATCAGTAGTATCATGATCATATGACAGATCTCACTGAAACCAGCAAAAGGACATCAATATCATGGATGGGTGGCAAGGACATCTGGGTCTGCCACAAATGAAGCAGGGGACCTGCTTGGTAAATGAATCCAGGGCTGGAGATGGGAGAAATGAAAGGGGGTGTGAACTGTTGCTCACATGAGGTGGGAATGACCCCTGTTGATGATGAGACAACACAAGGACTGTCCATCCACAGGAAGCACGAGACACGGTGCTGATGAGCAGCACTGCAGGATGGATAGAAGGAAGAAGGGACAAGGAGGAGGAGGAGCAGTGCTGAAGAGGCGTTCCAGAAGCGGGAGCAATGTGTCATGGGCCTGGATGCGCAGAAAACAGGAAGATCCATTGATTCATATGAAGGTAGTGCAGGAATCGAGGGATCGGGCAGATCATGGGACTTGCAGAAGTATTCACCAAGATCTGTGGAAGAAACAGCTCTATGGCAGATCTCACCAGGATTGGCAAGAGCCAAGATGGTATCACAAATTATGCTGGGATCTGTAGTAACAAAGTTTAGATGACATGTTCTGCAGAGTTGAGGGGCAAGGATGATTGTACAACAGATTTGGCATAAAACTACATGGCAAGGACATTCGGGGTTGCCACTGGATGAGGTAGGTGTCAGTGGTCATGCACCCAAAACCTGATATCTGTAATAGAGTTGCATCTATTACAAATTCTGTCAAGATATGTGACAATGCTTGGGGTATTGCAATTCTTGGTGAGATATGTAGTAGAGGCATCTCTATCACTTTTCTTGCTTGGAAATGCAGTAGTGGTTTTGCTATTGCAGGTTTCAACTGACTGCTGTGGACACTCTGTCCAGAGGTAGCTCAGCATGATCAATAACTGGTATGAACTGGTACTGACACCAAGGTCTGGTGTAAGAGATATGTTTGGTGGCACTGACACAAGTGTCCAGTGTATCAACTGTATGCTTGAAGTGATCCCTGGACTGCAGTGGACAACTGCCTTCAGTTCTATCTTTATCCAGACTGCTGGTTTGCTATGAACTGCCTTCAGACATCAGTGAGCAGTGATACAACACATGTGCTACAATGGAAGCAACCTATTGAGATTGCAACTTGCTGACAGAATACTAATGTATACTTATGTGTAAAGCTATAACTAGTAATGTATGGTGTAGAGTGGATGGGGATCCACTCACTTGCTATGATGAGGAGCATGGTTATATAACCATCCCTGTGATGTTGCCTGTGACACTGCTCCTTCCCTGAGGGCCTTGTCAACTCTGCTCCTCCTCCTTGTCCTTCCTATCCTGTCCATCCTCCTGGTGCTGTTTCTTTACCGCTTCTCTCGCTTTGTGCAGACAGATGGTTCTTGTGCTACTTCATCATCATCAGGGGTCAGTCCCACCTCATCTGAGTGGCAACTTGCATCTGTTCATTACCCTCCTGTCATTAGCACCCATCTGTTTGCATCGATTTCATTGTCGTGCAAGGTCCCTACTTCATATGGTGGCAACTGTCCTCCCTTGTACAGTATCCTCCCCTTGTCGTATTGGCGATGGGGTGCCTCCCTGACCGATTCTCGTGAGACCTGTCATACTCAGCATGATATTGCTGTCACAGGGTCAGCAGGCCAGCGCAAGAGAGTGCGCCAAATTGATCAATGGCAGTCATGGGAATGTCATGCAATGGAGCAATGTATGAAGGGTGCGCAATGGATCAATATATGGAGGGTGCGCCAGATTGATCGGTGCCAAACCATCAGGGATCAACAAGATTAATCGGGCTGGCAGTGCATATGAATTATGAGATCGATCGAATCCTGGTGTCAGGGGTCGCATGCCTGAAACCTGAGATCTGTGGTAGTATTGATACTATCACCAATTCTGTCGAGTTATGCAACAGTGCTAATGGTATTTCGATTCCTAGTGAAATATGTGACAGAGCCATCTCTGCTGCTACTCTTGTTGGAATCTGTAGTTGTATTGATGTTATGACAGATTTCGACTGACCACTGTGGACACTCCATCCAGAGGTAGCTTGGCATGATCAAACTATGATATGACTCTAAGTGAACTTGATGTTGACACCAATGGTCTGGTGTGAGTATGGATTGATGATGCCAACACAAGTGTCCAGTGTGTCAACTAACGCTTGAAGTGATCCCCAGACCACAGTGGATGACTGCCTTCAGTTCTATCATTATCTGGACTGCTGGTTTGCTAAGAACTGCCTTCGGATGTCAGGAAACAGTGATACAACACACATGCTTCAATGAGGAGCAATCTATTGATTACTACTATACTGACTATAAACTAATGATACTTATGCTTAAAGTAATACTAGTTGTTATGATATGAGTAGAGTGGATGAGGATCCACTTGACCATTTGTGACAAGAAGGTATGACTATATATCTCTTCATAGTGTTGCCAGTGACACTGCTCCTGCTCTCTCTCTCCAGAGAGTACCCTCTTTGTCGAGTACAGTACAGGGATCCCCAAGGAGGCCCCTCCTCTGTATCGAGCCTTGTCCCTCCTGTCTTTCCTGAGCTGTGTCAACTTCATTGACACTGCTCCTCCTCTTCATGTCCCTCTCGCTGGTGTCCTTTACACAGCTCTCCTTCCTTTGACCAGCAATGGTTCTCTTTTACTCCTGTCCTGTGGGCCCCTGAGTGGTAACCGACTGCGTGTCACTGAGCTCAGTCCCTCTCGCATGTGAATCATCATATGGACATCCTTACTACCGATCTCCACAGAATCTGCCACATGATCTCGCTTGCTGCAGATTCTGGTGGGATTCATGATATCGACAATGCTTGTGCCGATTTCACTGTGTTCTGCCATAGAGCTGATCCTACTGCCAATCTCAGTGAACTCTGTCACAGCTCCTACAATCTACCCGATTCCATGATTCTTGCACTACCTTCATATGAACTTCGGTCTTTCCTCGTTCTGTGCACCCAGGCCCATGACACCTGGGTTCCAGATTAATCTCATGGGGATCGGTTGGAATCAGTCAGATCAGCATTCCTCAACAAGTCGGCCAATACAAGCAAGTACTAGGAGACTCAGGAAGGAAGGTACTGGCATCAGAAGGAGAGGCACTCAGAGATAACCATAGGAGGGAGCAGGGGACTGAGCTCAGTATCACACAGACAGTTACTGCTTGAGGGGTGCATGTGTAAAGTCACACAGGCCCAAGCACAGGGGTGACCACATGACCAAGGGATTTGGTCATGAGGTTCAACAAGTGGCTAAAGGGATTCACAAGACAAGGTCAAGAAGGAGCTGTGTCAAAAGGGGTCATCACACATCATCAGGCAGAAGGAGAGCATGAAGGTGAGAGGGCAGTGTTGCATAACCCTTACACTGTGCAAATGGTAGGGGCACAGTATCAATGGGATTGATGCCAGCAGGACAAGACAGTGTTGAACAGGGGACAAAGGCCCCTCAGGAGGAGCAGGATAGGTGTCGTGGGC